TTCTTTTTCTTTTTTTTAAAAAAAATATACTTTACAGCCCGACCAAATGTTTGGTCTGTGGTAAGTAAAGTAGCGGCAGCAGACCCAGCCAAGCCGGCCGGCTGTTGCCAACTGCTCTGGTCTATAGACCCTCTCTCTGTTTGAAGAGTCGCTCTCTAATAATTGACATTCCTAGATAAGGGAAGCTGTCACCACAGCGACCAAGTCTTTACCTTACAACGTAAAGCTTTGGCTTGGGTTAGACTCGATTAGGGGCCCCCGTTCACTGAGAACACAAGTGAGCTGGAGACTGGAGAGTCCGAGAGGTGACTCTCCTTCCCGCCTCTCCACGCACTTATACTTAACCATTTAAACCGACGCGTTTCCCCCACAAAACATACAGTCGATTCACTTTTGCGGTCTGTTCTGTGAAGCGCTTCGAGACGTCTCGAAGACGTGATGAGGCTCTGCGTCAAATACAGGGACTGTTATTATTATCATCAACCACGGCAAGAAGCAGGCAAAGCCTCCGAGCTTTACACAAGGCAGACACAGAGAGAGAAATATACAGCGTAGAACAGATTGCTTGTTCATGTTCGTTCGCTCGCTCCCTCCCTCCCTCCCTCCTATCATGACAGACTTAATGGCAGTGCAAAAACAATTACAACACAGCAAGGTATGAAACTTGCTACGTCCTGCTTTTCAGACTGCTGAGTTGGGGATCTGTTACCTGAAGGCAGCCCTCCCACCAGTAACTCCTCTCTCTGACTCTTTTGAGGGGATAACCCCACCTTCCGAGAATACCTGCCCCGAACCTGTAATCTGACCCTCCTCGCTCTTCGAATGAACTATGTTCCCGAATTCTTTTCCAAAACAGGAGCGAGTGCGCTTGTGAAAGGCGCTATTATAAATGTGGTTTGTTGGTTGTGGTGACTCCCGAGGACATTGCATGACTGTTTGCGGGGTGTTGCTGTGCGCAAGTTGCTTGCAACGTTCCGCCAAATCGCAGCACTAAGTACGTGAAGGGCGTCTCGATGATCACTAAGTTTGCATGTGCGGCCAGTAAAACCGCTGCGTGAAGCTGATTTTCCGGAGGGCGTCCTCCAGATGATACAAACAAAACAATAATAAGGTCCGTTGTAATGGTCCAACTGTATAGTAATTCCTCCGGAAACCGAGATGATGTGAATGTTGTGTAACTGTTCATTTACAGTTTAATCCAGAAAGGATCTGGTGAATCAGGTCTTCAAACAAATGAAGTCGGGGGCACAACAGGTTTAGGGGTACAGAGAGACAGAGAGTGTGTGTGTGGGGGGGGGGGGGGGGGGAGAGATCAGGGGAATTGAACCAGATTCTACCAACCTCATCGGGAATGGAGGGGGGGGGGAGAGGAGGAGAGGGGAGAGAGGGAAGGGGGGAGAGGGAGACGGGGGGAGAGAGGGGAGGGGAGAGAGGGGAGAGGGAGAGGGGGGAGAGAGGGAGGGGGGGGAGAGGAGAGGGGGGGGAGGGAGGGGGGGGGGGAGGGAGAGAGGAGGGGAGAGGGGGAGAGAGGGGGAGGGAGAGGGAGAGGGGGGAGAGAGGAGGAGGGGGGGTAGAGGAGGAGAGGGAGAGGGGGGGAGAGAGGGAGAGGAGAGGGGAGGGGAGAGAGGGAGGGGGTAGAGGAGGGAGAGGGGGGAGAGAGGGAGGGAGAGAGGAGGGGTAGAGGAGGAGAGGGAGAGGGGGGGAGAGGGAGGGGGGAGAGGGAGAGGCCACGTTTTCACAAACCGCCCACATTATTACCTTTACCAAAAGCCGCACAAATCCCCAAACTCCTCCTCTTCGGATGTTGTATATTTAAGGGCTGAAAAAACCCACAGAGACCCACAGTCTTCCTCCCCCCGTGAGGACAAACCTCCGCTGGTTCTTAATCCACTGTGAGGAGTGCAACCCCCTCTCTCCCTCTCTCTCTCCCCCTCTCCCTCTCTCTCTCTCTCTCTCCCCCCCCCTCTCTCCCTCTCCCCCCTCTCTCTCCCTCTCCCCCCCTCTCTCTCCCCCCCTCCCCCTCCTGTTAGGCCCTGACCACTCAGCACAGCCCTGGATGTTACCGGGTGGGGGGGTGGGATGTCGAGGCTGAGGACCGGCTCCGGGAGAGCAGCTCGGAATGATCGATCGGTTCGCTTCTGGTGCGGCAGGTGAGCGGGTGTGTCAGCGATGGAGGATCGGGGGGAAGGACGGGGGAGGGGTTGGGGGGGAGGGGAGGGGGGTGGGGAGGGGGTTAGGGGGTCCCCGGGCTCTCAGCTTCGGGTGTTGCTGTAGATCGCTGATTTGAGAGAGAGTTTAGTTTAGTTACCAAAACCCGAATGTGTTCCTCTTCCCGATCTGTTCCGCGTGGAACAGGAGCGTTCACTCTGATTTAATGCCAATTGTTCTCTCTCTCTTTTCCACTCTCTCCTTATCTGTCTCTCTTCCCACCCCACCCCCCCCCACACCCCCACCCCCCCCCACTCCCCCCACTCCCCACACCCCCCCCCACTCCCCCCACCCCCCACACCCCCCCCCCCCCCCCCCCGACAGACAGACAGACTGAGTGAGTGACTGAGAATCCGTTTGTAAGAGGGAGAAATGAATGACTGTGGCGGCCTCGGCTCTCGGTGTGTGTTGACGATGGGGGGGGGGGTTGAGGGGTGTGTGGGGGGGGGGTTGAGGGTGTGGGGGGTTGAGGGGTGTGTGGGGGGGGGTTGAGGGGTGTGGGGGGGGGTTGTGGGGGTATCTGGGCTGATGTTTGTGGGAGTGGGTGGGGTGGGGTTGTGAGAGCCGGACTGAGGCTTGAGATGGCCCGGAGTAGAGAGAGAGACTGGGGTGGGGGCGATGGCGGGTTGTGGGGGGGGGGGTGGGGCGGTGGGGGTGATGGGGGGGTGTGGGGGTGATGGAGGGGGTGTGGGGGTGTGGGGGGGACAGTGTGAGGCGATCCCGGAACCTCTTCGCTCGATACAAAGTAACAACAACAATAAAAAGAACCCGAGAAACCGATACAAAGTAACGGGAGCGCGAAAAATGGATACAATGTAACAACAGTGATCGGAAGGAACCCTTTGCCATTGATACACCCCCCACACACACCCCACACACACACCCCCACACACCCCCACACACACCCCCACACACCCACCCACACACACACCCCCACACACCCCCACACACCCCCACACACCCACCCACACACACCCCCACACACACACACACACACCCACACCCACCCACACACACACCACACACACCCCCACACACCCACCCACACACACACACACCCACACACACCCCCACACACACACCCACCCACACACACACACCCACACACCCCCACACACACACCCACACCCACACCCACACACACCCCCACACACACACCCCACACACACACCCACACACCCACCCACACACACACCCACACACCACCCCCACACACCCCCACCCACACACACACCCCACACACACACCCACACACACACCCACACACCCCCACACACACCCCCACACCCACCCACACACACCCCACACACACCCCACACACCCCCACACACACCCCACACACACACACCCCCCCACACACACCCCCACCCACACACACCCCCACACACACATCCCCCCACACCCCCACCCACACACACACCCCCACACACCCACACCCCCACACACCCCCACACACACACCCCCACACACACACCCACACACTCCCCCCCCCCACACACACCCATACACACGCACACACACCCACCCACACACCCACACACACCCCCACACCCACACACCCACACACACACCCCCCACACACCCCCCCCCCACACCCACACACACCCCCACACACACACACACACCACACACATCCCCCCACACACACACACACCCACACCCCCCCCCCCACCCCCCCCACACACACTCCCACACACACACACACCCATCCACACACACACCCACACACACACCCACACACACCCATACACACCCACCCACACACACACACAAACCCACACACACACACACCCACACACACACACCCACACACACACACACCCACACACACACACACACCCATACACACCCACCCACACACACACACACCCATACACACCCACCCACATACACACCCACACCCATACACACCCACCCACACACACACACCCATACACACCCACCCACACACACACCCATACACACCCACCCACACACACACACACCCATACCCACGCACACACACCCACACACACGGTAACGGTGCGGCAGAGTGGATACACAAAGCAACCGGTTCCAGCGGCTCCGGGTGTTTTTGCACCCGTTTGGATCCCGATCATTTTTAGAGGGAGTTAAATCGGACTTCGCGATGTTGAATGCATCTCAATCTCCGGGCTCGGGCTTCTGTGCTTTCAAATCTCCTCTTGCCAAACCGTTGCTCGGTGTAAAAGCCCCTTTCTTTTTTAAAAAAAATTTAGATCCCCGTCCCGACAAACCACCCCCGAGCCAAGGAAACCGAGAGAATCGGGGTATTTTTTCCCCCCCATTGAACATGACTTCAATTCGGTCCCTGTAATTTTTTTTCCAGCGAACGGTTAAAGTGTTTATTGAGGAGCAAATCGGTTCTGTGGGTAGGAGCTGTTAAGTACTTATATATATATATATATATAAATACACACTCTCTCTCTCCTTTGATCAGACGAGTGGAATGTTTTCAGTCACCCGGCGAGAGTTACTGTCTGTCGTTTGTTTGTCTCCCGTGCATTTTTCGAGCTCCACCGAAGGCGGTGATTTCTACAGACACAGAACAGCTGTTTGCCCCTCATCTGCAACCCCATTCCCACTCCCAAACCTCCCCCCCCACACACCCACCCACCCACCCACCCCCTCCCTCCTTCCTTCCTCCTCTCCTCTTGTGGTCATTTTTCACGCCTGACCCTGTGACAATTATAGGGTTGAACCTGATACTTGCTGCACAGGTGCACTTCCCAGCAAAGCTTTCCTCCTAATCCCAGAGGTACTCTATGAGGCATCTTATTACCGGGCTGGAGGACATCACATGAGTCAGGTTGTTGGCAATGAATGGCATTGGACTTGTGATCTGATCCCGATTCCCTTCCACAATTGACTAGAATACATATTTAGCTTTCGCAAGGGAACCAGATAACTAATAAAAGAAAAAGATGTTCGGGATGGCTTAAGGCCATCTCACTTCGCCCTCCACCCCACCCCCGTTCAGAGTCAATCTCTGAGACGCTGTGGAGAAAAAAGGGAGTAAGCTACAAGGTGGGGTGGGTGGGGAACGGGTTGGTAAGTAGGACTGAAAAGATTGCTCTTAAAAGAGCTGGAACAGACGCAATGGGCTGAACGCATATTCTTTCTGGGCTGTACATGTACATACGATGGTTCTGTGGTCAATGAACTTGTGGACCGAGCTACGGGGTGAGAATGGGGCTCTGTATTTGATGGGTTTCGATTGGTTTCCTAGATTAACGTTCATCGCGTTGACTTGTGGCGAGACGCTTTCTCAAGCCGTTCCATTGAGCTCCTTCGATTCCCTCCCCTCTTGAGCAGTGGTGCAGCACTGGCTGGCGATGGACGGGAAGATCCTGGGTGAGATAGCTTCTCTGCACTGTTGTTAGCTGATCTCAGCCAGTGCAGCAGACGGGGAAAACAGCCTTCAGCTTGTCTCGGTCTGTGGCCTCGTTGCCTGCGGGTAACAACTCTGTGTGTTTCAGCATCCGTCAGGACCCGTCTACTGTCCTTCGGGTGGACAATAAAGATCCCGTCGCACAGATTGGAAAGGTGTTTCTCCCTGGGCAACAATCCAACAGATATATCAGCTGTTCCCCTCAGCGCTGTTTGCGGGATCTCTAGCACGCAATAGCTGTCGGCTTTGGTCACAAAAACAGTCACTAAGCTTGTCAATAACTTCTACGAAACACTTTTTGAGATGTTCGGGCGTGTGACGCTACTATAAAAGTGCTTGGTTTTCAGCCGCTGTGCGTGAGCTACATAACTTACAGACCGCCAGCAGGGACTGAAATTCCCCTCGCAATCTAAGGCCTAAGTGTGAAATTATTTGTTCTTAGTTTTGTGCCTAATGTTCCAAAATCACTTGCAACCTTGAGGTCTGGATGTACCAAACCTGACCTCGAAGCTAGGAGATTAAACCACAACGTAAAAATTCCTCCCCATGACCACAATTTCCTTTCCATTCCCCCATTCCAGCTCAAGCCCAGCCCCCTCCACCCCTTCCCCACAAACCTCCCCCCTCCGCACACTTATTTACATTGCATCGATTTGTGGTGCGGTAATGAATTGACTGTATTTTGTGGGTGAAAAGCAGAAACGCAGTGTCCCGCACACAGTCGTGGCTCGAGTGACCAAATTACTATTTTTTTAAAAATGTATTTGTTTATTTTCTCTCCCTTTTTGTCCTTTTAGGCTCTGAACTCGGCGTAACGTAAAACCGTGCTTCCCTGAGAACCGAGACGGGGAAGTTTTGCATTGAGAAGCCGGAGAGACAATGTCCCAAAGAGCAGCGCTTCTTTTTAAGACGGTGGCTTATGTTCTGACTCTGTTGCTGGTCAATGCTCAGGAAGAAAGAGCCAAGCAGACCACGGCATTTCGCGACAAGCCCTTCGTGACGGTTTGGAACGCGCCCACACAGGACTGCAAGCCCAAGTTCTCCATCATCCTGAACCTTACATCATTCGACATCGTTTCATCCCCCAACGAGGGATTTTACAACCAGACGTTGACTATTTTTTACAAAGAGAGGTTGGGGAAATATCCCTATTACGAGAAACAAGAGGCTGTGAATGGGGGGCTGCCTCAGAACAGCAGCCTCAACGACCACCTGAGTGAGATGGACAAGGACATTAAGAAGTACATCCGATCGCATTCCATGGAGGGTCTGGCGGTCATAGACTGGGAGGAGTGGAGGCCGTTGTGGATCCGGAATTGGCAGAGTAAAGAGATCTACAGAAAGAACTCCAAGCAGCTCGTCTCGGACAAGCACCCGGACTGGGCGGACGACCAAGTGAGCCGGGAAGCCCAGCTCGTGTTCGAGCAGTCTGGCCAGAAGTTCATGGCGGAGACCCTGCAAAAGGCCAAGAAAATCAGACCCAAGACTCTGTGGGGCTACTACCTGTTCCCCGACTGTTATAACCACGATTACAAAAATAACCTGGTCAACTACACCGGCCAGTGTCCGGACGTGGAAATCGCTCGGAACGACCAGCTGATGTGGCTTTGGAAGAACAGCACGGCCATCTTCCCGTCCATCTACCTGGACCCCATGCTGCGCTCCTCTGCGAACGGGAAGAAGTTTGTGCGCTCCCGGGTCAAGGAGGCCATGCGCGTTTCCAACCTGCACAGCGCCAACTCCTCCCTCCCCGTCTTTGTTTACACCCGACCCACTTACGTGCACTCTGTGGACTTGCTGTCCGAGGTGAGGGGCGTTGTTTTGAGCGGTGGGGGGGTGAGAAGGGGGGTGTGGGGGCGGTGGGGGGGAAGCCCCGAAGGTGCTGGATTAGAACGTTATATCTTCTTTATGTTTGTTGAGGCGTTAGCACTGGGGGGAGGGAACACTGCATCGAAACTGCTGTGTCAGTCAGCCTTGTGCACTTTCAGCTCAGACACAGCGCGGGATGTACTGCTACAGTCATATAATCGGTTTTACCCTCGCGGCGGTGGTGTTGGGCACCAAGTCAACTCGTCTGTTTGAGGGAAACTGACAACCTAATGCCAAGTTAGGGGTGTCTTGTGCTTTTTGTCTCGTCGGGTAACACTGTAAAGTGGACGATTGCCTGGGCAGTCTGTCGGTGAAATGCAGCAGCCGATTGCACACAGGCAGTTGTCCCACAAACAGTCGAGGAACGAGCGACCTCACCACCTGTGGCCGTAAAATGTTTCTGGGTCTGGGGAAGTTTCAGCCCATATATATATATATAACGTTGCAAGCCGGTTCAAACCAATCGCAGCACGCAAACACTGACAGCGCGGTGTCCATAGGACCCTCTCAATCAGTGAAGCCGCAAGCGCAAACTTTTGTGTGAACCTGGGAACGCGTGTCTGGGTCCGGCGGCTAAACCAACTGGGGAACTTTCATTCCCGTTATCTGACATGGCTTCAATCAGCTGGAGATGTGGCGGTTTCTGTATAAATACAATAGCAATCCCGGGGTTTGATAGAACGCCTTATCACGTTGTTGAGACATCTCAAAGCGCTTCCCAGGTTGTACTGTAAAGTGCATTTGATTGTATAATTTGAGGGCGAAACCCAGCGGTTAATTGTGGACGAGGGGAAATCACCCGCTTTTGTGTTATTTATTGCAGCGGGAGGAGGATTATTTGCACGTGGGAAGAATAGTGATTACTTCCGCTGATGAGGAACTGCGCTCTTACTGATTTGTTGCTTATGTCTCGACAGCAAGATCTGGTGACGACAGTGGGCGAGACGGCTGCTCTGGGCGCGGCCGGCATCATCTTCTGGGGAGACGTGGCTTACGGGAAAAGCAACGTAAGGAATTATAGTGTTCTGTGGCTCCTCGCGTTTAAACTCAGCTCGCAAGCGAGAGGCCCGGGTTCAGTTCCCGGCAGGGCGTAACATCGGGCAAGTTTCCTGACTCCACACACACACACGAGCAGGAAGTTTTACCGAGCAGGAAGTCGTCGTTGTTAGTTAGTTGTGAGTCGATTGGGGGGGGGATCGCTTTTGCGGGGGTAACAATCCCTTCCGGAAAAAAAAAAAGAATAAACTGGTCACTCAATCCACTGTTGTGGGGGGACGCTGCTGTGCGCAATCGGCTGCCGCGTTTCGCCCACAAAATATACAGTCAATTCACTTTACAGTGTGTTCTGTGAAGCGCTTTGGGACGTCCGCCCGACGTGAAAAGCGCTATATCAAATGCAAGGATTATTATTATTATCCTGTGAAGGGCTTTGAGACGTCTCGACGACGCGATGAGGCGGTGTATCAAATGCGAGGGTTGTCCTGTTGTAAAACATTCAGGGCTCGGTTCGAAGCCAACAGCACTCCCTGATGGCCGGCAGAGGCACTGCGGCGGAGCTTTGCTCGTGTTTGTTTGACTGAGGTTTGGTGGGTTTTGTTCTGTAGGTCAACTGCAGGATCACGAAGGACTATCTGGACGGCGCCTTGGGCCGTTACCTCCTGAACGTCACCACAGCGACTCAGGAGTGCAGCCGGGCTCTGTGCGGAGGAAACGGTCGCTGCTTGCGTAAGGTCAGCGACTCCGAAAGCTACCTTCACCTCAACCCAGCGAGCTTTCAGCTGCAAACCCTCAACGCCACCGGAAACCCCAAACTGGTGGTGACGGGAAAGCTGAGCCAGGCGGATATCCTGCAGTTCCAGGACAGGTTTCGGTGCCAGTGTTACGTGGGTTGGTTCGGGAGTGACTGTGGCACAAAGGCCAACTCTGCCCAACACACACTTGCCAACGGACTAACTCTCTTTGTGGCACTCCTGCTCTCTCTGATGGTCCAGAAATAAAAAAAAAGATGCAGATTTGTACAGTATTTCGATTATTTTCTATGTGTAAACTGCCTTTCCGAGGGGGAGTGGAAGTTGGAGGAAATCTCTCCCTTCTGAGACCTGCCTGACTGCTCACTCATACCAGTTACGTTAGTTTAAATGTTAACGCAAGATTCTTTACGTGTTGATCCTTCAGAAGGCTTTGTCAGATAGAATAGCTCAGTGTTTGTGTTTTCGAGTGTTCTGGTGAATCACCCGATATGTTCCTTTTGAACTTGTTAGAAAAAGCGGTAAATAAGTCAAGTGGAAGAATTATAGCAAAACAAAGCAGTGCCAAAGCAATAAATCTATTGAAAACGAACTCATGGCTGAAGGGTGGGGCGGGGGGGGGGGGGAAAGACAGTAGACTTGTTAAGTCATCGAGTACTGGATCCCAGAACAGATAGGAGGCTGTTGAGTGAATTTCTTGTCTGTGTGGCTTGGACCTGGGCTCCTTCCTTCAGCTTAAGAACATCAGACTTTGCTTAGACAAAAGAAGACAAAAAAAAAGTCCATCGAGTTGGCCTTTCGCCATCCTGGCAGTTGCACACACATGCCATGTCTTGAGATATATACCGTGTCCCAAGATAAAAAGAAATCTATCTAATTAATAGCCTTTGAAAGAATCAACACTTAAAAGTTTTTGTGTCTCCTGTGATTCCCGAGCTCGACTGAAATCCAGCGCAGAGATTGCAGCGTTTGAAAGCTGTCGTGTTAATACACTCGGATGAGTTGGGCCCTGTAAATCGGAAAGGGGCTTAATATCAGAAATTTATGGTTTGCAAGCCTGACACTCCTGAATATGCAAAATCACTGGAATAACACTTTTTTTTAATTAAAAACGTGTACTTGTGTGTATGTGTATACATTGTGTGCTGGTAACTTTGGTGTCCATAATTAAAATATTTATTCCATAATTACAGTTTCGCGCTTTTGAAACCTTTCGATGTCGACAGGACGTTTATGATGTGTTCGGTTCTGCCACCGACGCGACTGCCTTTCTTTACCGGTGTGAGAGACTTCTTTTTGCGGCAAGATAGACTCAGAAGGCTGTGTGTTGTGTGAACGCACCTTTCATAGTATTTGTGAATGAGCAAATAGCGCTCTTTACCTGTGCTCTTTCGACTTCAAAGTTAACCAGAGGACTGGACCCAGCGGTTAAAATTAATTGAACAGTAAATACAATGGTGAGGAGACCAGGGGTAGACCACGTAATGCAACACACGCAAATTTAGTGAGCGAAGCAGACGGGTTACTGTGAAAAGGCACATTGTTCGAAATGTCAAATTCCTGCCTTCATTATAATAATAATCCCGGGATTTGATATGGTTCTTGAGAAGTCTCAAAGCGCTTCACAGAATATACTATAAAGTGAATCGACTGTATATTTTTGTGGGCGAAACTTGGCAGCCAATTGCGCACAGCAGTGTCCCGCAAACAGTTGTAGATTGAGTGACCAAATTATTATTATTTTTTGAAGGGATTATACAGAATACACTGTAAAGTGAATTGCCTCTTATTTTGTGGTCAAAACAATCAGCTCAGATTCAAAGATCTGTCAGCCTGGTGGTATCTGACCAGCAGACTCTTATCCGGAGCATTCGCAGATGTAAATTCTATGCCTTATTGAGTGAAGAGCTGTGAGATGAAAGAGAAAAACAAAAGAATCCATAAGGTTTTGTTTGCAAAGCCGCCACAAAAATAAATCCTTACAAAATGACATCTCAAGTGTTTCTTAGGAAAATGTCTCGGAAAAGGCCATTTTAACAGCGATAAATACAGCATATAACATTTCATAGCTTGTATTTAGAGGAAGCTGGAGTCGTGAATACAAGACTGTGAGCTGCTGATCTGAGCCTCACCGTGGAGTCCTGTAGCTCAGTGGTTAGAGCACTCGCCTCGCAAGTGAGAGGTTCGATTCTGGGCCGGGCAAAACCTTGGGCAAGTTTCCTTACGCCACACGCCTGATAATGATCCCTCAAGAAACTAAACAATAATAAACTGGTCATTTCAGTGCACGACTGTTTGTGGGGACGCTGCTGAGCGCAATTGGCTTCCGCGTTTCACCCACAAATATACAGTCAATTCACTTTGCAGTATATTCTGTGAAGCGCTTTTGAGACGTCTCGAAGACGTGAAAAGCGCTATATCGAATGCAAGGAATATTATTATTATTATTATTTATGGCTTTCATTGGTTTCTGTGAGTCGAGCTTCACTCCAGTAACTTGGGAGGAAGGCCAATGACACAGAGCAGATGCCAAGAATGTTGGTCAAGTTTCAGAAGCATCAATACAAAGCTTCCATTGTTTTTAAGGAGCTTGAATTAATTCAAACCAACCTACGAGGAGTTCGTTAAATTTATCAGGCTCATTTTCCTGTTGGCGTACTGGGGGCATCGCACAGACAATGCTGGCAGCTCAGTTACTAGCACTCATAGAAAGACCTCAAGTTACTCAAACCTTGACGAATTTGGCAAAGGCACACCCTTCATTGCTCCATTGTGTTTACGACTTTGCCCCTGAGTGCTTTGAGGCGTCTCAATGACTGTAGCGCTATAGCAATGCAAGGATTATTATTATTATTTCATAATTTCAAAGAAGGTTGGGTCAGAGAGTTATTAAAGGCGAAGGCTTAGGATTAAACGATGTGCCAAGATCTAACAAACAGGCTCGATGGGCTGAATGGCGTCCTGCTGTGCCTGTTTTCCGACATTCCTGAGTTTAAAATTGGTTGATAAGCCTCGGAATTCTAGGACAGACGACAATCCACACGAGACACACATTATCAGACAGTCGCTCCCTATCACCACAGAGATAGATAGATGCCACTGCCCCTTCACAGCAGCACAAGACATTGCCCCATTCAGTCATTAGTACAGCAAATTCTGTAAATGGAAACTGCTGAACTCAGAACCCAGTGGCCTATTTGGAAGTGGGACAAAAATCAAGATTTACAATTGGAGTTCAGTTTACTCCAAAATAATGTTTCGGTGGAGCGGGCCAATAATATTTATTTCCATTTGACTTGGGATAACAGAAGTTATTCCCCCACCCTTCTCTTGCCCTATCTGCAGCTCTAAGAAGCACTATGTAACAGGAAACTGTGGGTAGAAGAAGGCTGGGATAGGGGCTGAGCATAAATCCCTTCTCACTTCACGTCTGACCAAGAATCAAAGTGGTTACGAATCTTCGGAAATCTCGATTCTCTTTCAATGTAGTACTACGAACGTAGTAGCTTTTTTTTCAGGAGGACTTAAAGGTGGTAAAATCATTTCTTGCTGCTAGAGATCCTTTTTAAATTGGACACCATGTAGGAGTAACACGAAAAAGTTTAGTGAGTGGGAGAGAGAGCAGTGACGGGTGACTCACCAAGGCATTGGGAGAACATTGAGCAGTCATCTGTGATACGTGATCTTAGATACATCAATGGGCCGTAGGACTGTGCGATGTATGTGGGTGAGGGGAATGAGGTGAAGGAAGGAATTACAGCCAAATCCAATCCTGTCTCACCAAACAGACACATATCTACACTTTCATCAAGGGTTACTTACCTCTCTTTTGCTCTGTGAAACTGTAAGATGTTGGCAGTTCTTTCTGGTTGACGGACCGTTGTTAAGACTGACAATTATTGTGTATAAAAAGTTCAAACAATATGAAAATCAGACACGGGAGGATTCCGCTCTTGGTCTCTCTCCAGTAACTCTTGCTAAACACGCATGTAAGATTGTTCAATGGGACTGAGAAATGAATCCCAGAACAGTATTTTCAGATTTGCCAAAGCAGCAGAACAAGAGCACACAGGTTCAGGGTTGCAAAGGTAATTAACAACTGGAACACATTACAGGCGGAGCGGTTCAGGCCAACATTCTGGACTCATTTCAGAAACAGCTTGATCCTGCGGTGGGAAACTGGTAGAGTGGGTATTTTCGGGAAGGTTAAGATGAAACGGTTCACAGCCTATACGTCAAAACCTCTCTTGTAACCTTGTGATAGAAAGTGTGGTGAGCCTGAATCTGACTGGGCCGTGATGCCACTCCGTATTACTGACGCTAACCGTCCAGGCTCAAAGGTGAACGATGGCTAAACCAGATCAGAGAGCTGCTGATGATTTTAGCCTCATTCTTAAAGAGAGGGGGAAAAAAATAAGCAAAAAAAAAAAATCTCAAACACAATTAACTCGAGGCATGTCTGGCACTCCTGAAGGTACTGTATGTGAAATGAGCTCGGGTGTGTATCTGCAGGGACGCCGGCATTTGTGGAATTATGTGGAATTAGAATGAAGGGAAGGGAGGAAAAGACGAATATGGATTGTTGGTTCGAAAATAACTGAGTGAGAGTACAGTAAGAGAGGGAATCTGAGCCTCTCTGGCCATCTGGGCTCTGGCTGAGTTCCAGCTGCTAATAGGTTTCTGGCTCACAGATGTGTTCTATACGATAAGTCTTTAACTTTTTAAATCTGCAAAAAGAAACCCTCACCAGCAAGATTGCCTACAGGTTGGTTTTGGAAATCAAAAGAAATATCTAAGCACTTCTCTTACCCGCTTACAGGCGTCTAACTATCAACTGCACACTACCGCTGTCCATTACCGCCCCGAAAAACCTGATCGCTCGACCTCCAGCGCTCTGAGTCTTCTGCAGATGCTCTTTTGAAGAGTATTTTCTGTGTCCCTCTCACATTCTGACCTCCTCTCCTCGTCTTGCCTCATCCTACATGTTCCCCTGTATGATTTGTCCTCAGTAAATGGGATTTATTTCCACACATATGGGGACGACACCCAACCCCGCCTCCCTGTCTCAACCCGACTGTTCGGGCTAATCAATCTATCGATCGATTGATTGACTATAGATCAGCTCTAATGTTCCTCTGCGGTAAGGGGGCAACGCGGAGTCCAGAAGCTCAGTGGTTAGAGCACTCGCTTTGCGAGCGAGAGACCTGAGTTCAATTCCAGGCAGAGGGCGAAACCTCGGGCAAGTTTCCTTACTCCACACAGAGCCTAATAATATTCCCTCCAAAACCAAAAACAATAATAAATTGGTCATTTTCAATCCACGACTGTCTGTGGGACATTGCTGTGCGCCATTGGCTGCCGCGTTCGCCCACAAATATACAGTCAATTCACTTTACAGTGTGTTCTGTGAAGCGCTTTGGGACGTCCTCCCGACGTGAAAAGCGCTATACTCCACACAGAGCCTAATAATAATAATAATAATACCGATGGCAACGTGAGCCTTTACGGTATACTCTGCGAAGCGCTTTGAGACGTCTCGATGACGTGATGAAGGCGTTTGCATCAAACGCGGAGAATATTATTATTATTAAGAATAGTTAATAACAATAACCATGTGTACCTGTGTCATCTTTGAAAGCAATCCTCAGGTGTCCTCCCTCCCCTGCCCTAACACAGGGGGCGCTGTTCAGCTGTTCAGCCTCCGGGCGGCAGGTGGCGCTGTCACTGTCACTGTCGCTGATTAGCCTCCGGGCGGCAGGTGGCGCTGTCACTGTCGCTGTTCAGCCTCCGGGCGGCAGGTGGCGCTGTCACTGTCGCTGTTCAGCCTCCGGGCGGCAGGTGGCGCTGTCGCGGGCTCCGCTGCCGGTCTGTTGCTCCCGGTGACTGAGGACAGACATGGCGGCTGCTGTTGGTAGGGTGACGGGGACGGCGCTCCTGAGAGCCGGGAGAGTGAGTAGCAGAGCCCCCGGGGGGGGAGTGGGGGGGGGGGACGGGGAGTGGGGACCTGACCTCAGCCGCGGCCTCTGTGACCGGCGGCCGAAGGGCAGGAAAGAGCCGCCGCGGCCTCTCCCGACAGCTGGAGCCGAGATACAGGGAAGGTCAAACCGGCAGCTCCGAGCCCAGAGGCGGGGGGAGGCCTCGGGCCTGGGGGAGGCCTGGGGGGGGGGGAGGGGAGGCCTGGGGGGGGGAGGCCTCGGGCCTGGGGGGGGGAGGCCTCGGGCCTTGGGGGGGGGGTGGGGTGTCAGACAGACAGACAGTGTAGGAGCTGTCACTGTGCCTCAGGGTCTCGGCCGCAGTAAACAACAGAGAATATTATTAATAATAATCTCTGCGTTTGATATCGCGGCCGATCTCGTCTTCCCGACGCCTCAAAGCGCTTCCGCAGGAGACGCCGTAAAGTGTAGTGACTGTGTGCATTGTGGCCGAAACGCGATCAGCAGGCGGGCGCTCGCCGGTTGACCCCTGTCGGCCCCGACAGGTAGAGGCTGGATCCGGCTCCGATGTGATGCGCCGCAGGGTTCACACTGTCCTGTTAGTGCTCAGGATCTCGTACCAAATGACCGGCTACTGATCGCCCTGGTTGGGGGGGGGAGAGAGGGGTGAGGGTGGGGTGGGGGTGGGGGGGGGTGGGGGGTGATGGTGCACAGGCTCTCCTTGAGGCCGAGTTGACTTCGAGGTGACGGGATTGCCAACAGAATGTCAAGATCGAGCCTCGCCTCCGTGACGGTCCCCGGATGGTTTCTGAGCCACATGGATCCGCAGTATTCCGGGGCACCGCGGATGACCGTACGGCCGGCCTGGCTCATCGGCAGGACTCGGAGAGACAGATCTGTCACTGGGGGCACGGATTCTACGCGCTCAGCTCCTGTTAATCCTGCAAACCCAAGCTCTTAACGGGCAAACGGCAGGAAGCTTACCAGCGCGCTCAATGGCAGGCCGCACAGTTGTAGTTGCTTGAAGTCCAACATTATCTCGTTGTCTCCCGCCAAACTGTGTCTTAATACTTTCGGGATTAAGAAATGCAAGAGTGCGTCCCTCCAGGGAGAACGTGCGCTCCAAATCCAGACACAGGGACATTTCCATATGTGGTGACATGAGTCTGTGGAACTCTTGTCTGATTTGGATTCTCTTTAAGCACGATGGGGTTCTGCTGCCATATTTGTCTACAGAACAAGGAATCGCATGGCAGTGTTTACAAATGAACTGCTTTCAGATGGTTTGATGTGCTTTATTATTCTTTGCTATAGTGAAAATAAAACCTCGCATGTTGGTACTCACTGCTGTTTTTCTCCCTGCGTTTGTAGTCGTCTCTTTTTCAAGCAAAGAGATGTCAAAGTGCAGTGTCGTATGCTCAGACCACGCTGAACTTTCCAGAGACCAGGATTACTACCCTGGAGAATGGCCTTCGTGTCGCCTCAGAGGAGACCGACCACCCCACTTGCACGGTAAGTGTGGAGCCTGCTGATCTTACAACCACCACCCTGGAGTCACATTATGATAAATAATTTGTAGTTTTTTTACTGTGGAATCGTGCTCAAAAGGAACGGGTTCCTATTTAGGTTAGTGCACAAATTGTACCTCTGACTACGTGGACTCTGGATTGTGTTAATCTATGTGAACTCTATGTGAATCGACGTATGTATTGTGCATTTTCATGCACATAACCCAGAGGTCAATGGATCAAACCCATCCTGTGCAAGTGGTGATTTCAGCAATGTGTGAGATCTTTCAAGTGTCAGCCTGACTCGGTCGGTAGCATTCTCGCCTCTGAATTGGAAGGTTGTTGGTACAAGCCCCACATTGGGACTTTGAAATCACAGTCCAGGCTGACACTCCAATATAGTCCTGGAGGTGTGCTGCATTGTTGGGAGATGCCGTCCTTCAGATGAGACATTAATAATAATAATAATAATCCTTGCATTTGATATAGCGCTTTTCACGTCGGGAGGACGTCCCAAAGCGCTTCACAGAACACACTGTAAAGTGAATTGACTGTATATTTGTGGGCGAACGCGGCAGCCAATTGCGCACAGCAATGTCCCACAAACAGTCGTAGATTGAAAATGACCAATTTATTATTGTTTTTGGTTTTGGAGGGATTATTATTAGGCTCTGTGTGGAGTAAGGAAACTTGCCCAAGGTTTCGCCCTCTGCCTGGAATTGAACTCAGGTCTCTCGCTTGCAAAGCGAGTGCTCTAACCACTGAGCTACAGGACTCCACATTAAACCGAGGTCCCACCTGCTTGTTCAGGTGGATATTAACGATCCCATGGCGCTGTTCGAAAAGAGAAGGGATTTTGTCCCTTGTTCTTGCCAGTAAACCCAAATGGTCATTCACTTCATGGCTGTTCTGGAACACTGTGGTTGTTGTATAGTTTTGTATGCGGATCTGACTGTATGGGCCCGTGTGTGGGTCGGTGAGTACATTGTGTATCTGACTGCGGGTGTTGTGCAGGTTGGTGTATGGATTGATGCTGGGAGTCGGTACGAGAATCAGAAGAATAACGGCGTGTCAAACTTCCTGGAGCACATGATTTTCAAGGTCGGTGTCAGTTTCTCAGTTACCTGGCAGGACTGTTGGTTATTCAGCTTGTTTGGATCAATTGGGTAATTTGGGCAAAATCACAAAGCTCTTGTCAACGCTCAAAATGAAGTAATTAAATATTGTTCTTTAGTAGATAGATGTGAATTAATTTATGGATTTTAAGATCCAGTTGAGAATAGTTTTGGGGGGACTTTGAAGGGGAAATAATGTAAAGTAAAGCTTAGTTTCAAAGAATGTGATCTGAGAGCTCAGGAGACGTTTGAAGTGGACTGACGAGGGTTTGTAACCGGCCGCTTTCAGGGTACAAAGACGCGATCACAATCAGCGCTGGAGCAGGAAGTGGAAAGTCTGGGCGCCCACTTGAACGCATACACATCCCGGGAAAACACTGCCTTCTATATGAAGTCTCTGTCCAAGGATTTACCAAAAGGTACTGAGACCTCTAACCTTTTAACAGCGACGTGTCTCCTCGGTATGGGTGAAATTCGTTCAATGAAATTCTGAATTAAGAGAATATCATCTTGGTTTCTTTTATTCTCCACTGATGTTATGATCTTGGTGTGCTCCTCGCTAACTACCTGTGTTTTCACTCCAGTTGTGGAGATTCTCGGCGACGTGATCCAGAACAGCGCTCTGGCTGATTCCGAAGTGGAGCGGGAGCGGCAGGTGATTCTCCAGGAGATGCAGGAGTTGGAGGGCAGTTTGGAGGATGTGGTCTTTGACTACCTTCACGCCACAGCCTTCCAGGGCACTCCTCTGGGCCACACCATTGTGGGCCCCACTGAAAATGTCAAGTAAGTGACGGGCGGTTTAAGAGGTGAGCAGTGCAGAAAGCGACTTAATTTTGCACCCACAAAATACACAGTTAATTCACTTTACAGTATATTCAGGCTGTAAAAGCGCTTTGAGACGTCTCAAAGACGTGATAAGGCACCATATCAAACACAGGGATTATTATTATTAATATGAATTCCAGCTCACTATCCGTTGACTTTTCCATCCTCTGCATTGTGCTCACCCTGAGCAAGGAGGACAAGACGAGACAATGAGAATCTTGAATGAGGATTTATGAATATGATACTGTATATAATTCAGGACTCTCAATGCAATAGAAATTGTTTTTGGAGGGATTTGGAAATTCTCTTCGTGTAAAATTGCAGGCGGAAAAAAAGCACGAAAAGGGGCCAACGATATATACGACAAGGTTTTATATCGGGGACATTGAATTCAAAAATAAAGAGGACAGATTGAGTGTATACAGGATATTCATTGATTAAAGCAGGAATACTGGGTGAGCAGTGTATTAGAGGAAAGAAACCACATTTTTTCTGTGTGATGTTTGGTGTGAGATTTCTATATTTAATACAGATTGAGAACAAAGCGCTTGTGAAGTTACCACTAAGTTTTCTTGAACAGTTGGGTATTTATTTAACAAACGCCATTTGTTTTATTAAATAAAGGCACCTGGGACGCAAGGACCTTGCAGAATTCAAGAACACTCATTACAAGGCACCGCGTATGGTCCTGGCTGCATCTGGAGGTGAGTTCAAACTCTTGTGTATCGTAGGGATTAGGATTCGGGAGCAACTGTGCTGTTCATTATTTTACAATATTAAATGTGCTCAAGAGTATGTGGCAGCTCAGACAAATACAGTGAAGGGTTCAGAAGGTTTGGTGGGTAGAGAGTATTTCGTTTTGGTCAGTGTGGTGTCTAACATGTAGAAATAATAATAATAATAATAATAATAATAATCCTTGCATTTGATATAGTGCTTTTCACGTCTTCCAGACGTCTTAAAGCGCTTCACAGAATATGCTGTAAAGTGAATTGACTATATATTTGTGGGCGAAACGCGGCAGCCAATTGCGCACAGTAATGTCCCACAAGCAGTCGTGGATTGAAAATGGCCAATTTGTTATTGTTTTGTTTTGGAGGGATTATTATTAGGTGTGTGGAGTAAGGAAACTTGCCCAAGGTTTCGTCCTGCCTAGAATTGAACCCAGGGATCTCGCTTGCAAGGCAAGTGCTCTACCACTGAGCTGCAAGACTCCACTTCACCATGCTTGAGAGTATTCAAACCAAACTGAGCGTTCCATAAATACCACCTACCCATGGAGATTTCCGGGTATTGAAATGGACTCTACGGAGCATGAGAGGGTTTGGTAGAGTTTGAGAGAGTAAGCAGAAGCAACAACAACAACAACTTGCATCTATATAGCGTCCTTCGCACACGGTAGTGTCCCAGAGGGCTTCACAGTGGCGGAGCAGGACTCTGAGCCGAGGGGGCGGAGGGGGGAGTTGACCTGAGGCACGTTCGAATAAGAAGGTCTTCAGGCGTGATCTGAAAGTGGGGAAGGGAGGGGTAAGGCCTTGGAGGGATAGAGGGTGAGAGTTCCAGAGTTTACACAGGGCGTTTGTTTCATATGGTTGAATTAACAGTGCGCATCTGTTGTGTTTGTGTGACTCTCAGGTATCAACCACGATGAGCTGGTGAGCCTGGCGAAGAAGGAGTTCAGTGGGCTTCCCTTCAAGTATGAGGCTGATGCTGTGCCGCTCCTGACCCCTTGCCGTTTCACAGGGAGTCAGGTCAGTGCTGTCTCACACGCCTCCTCCATATACCCTTTGTGGAAAGAACTCGATCCTAACCATCGCCTCCTTCAGGACATTCGTTTCTCCCCCCCGGGCAGTCTAAATATGCCACTGTTTTCTTTTCCTTCTCAGATTTTGGTCCGAGACGACGACTTGCCTCTGGCACACATCGTGATGGCCGTGGAGGGAGCCAGGTGGTCGGATCCTGATACCATTCCCCTCATGATCGCCAGCACCCTCATAGGCAACTGGGACCGCACGTGCGGAGGCGGCTCGGTAAGGAACAGTGGACGGATCAATGAATGGGGAATGGATGGATGGGTGGGTGGGGGAGCAAGAGTCCACTGAGCTGAGGGATGTGTGTAGGGGGAGCTCTGTACCATATGTAAACTAAGGCACCGCCTCCAACCCTGTCGGTTCCCGTTTAAACACTTCTCGTTTTTCACCTGCTTTTCTGTAGAATCCGACCAGTAACCTGGCCCGGATTTCGTTTGAAAATCAGTTGTGTCACAGCTTCCAATCGTTCAATATGTGTTACTCCGACACGGGCCTGTGGGGCATCCACATGGTGTGCGAGGGGATGACCATCGAAGACATGCTTCACTTTACACAGGCAGAGTGGTGAGTGGTCGTCCCACACGGGGCTTTAACATTACCTGAATCAACTTGTAACCAGACAATGAGTGTTTTCCTTTTCAATTGCAAATACAATGGAGCAGTTTCTCTGGGCACAGTCACTGTATCATTCACACGAGATGTTAAACCGAGGTCCCCTCTGTCCGTTCAGGCAGATGTTAAAGATCACACGGCACTATTTGAAAGAGAAGGGAGTTTGTCTCTCCCAGTGTCCTGACCAACATTCCCTCCCAAATAAAATTAGTTACTCACTCCATGTTTGGTCCATTATAATGCGCAAATTGGCTGTTGCTGTTTGCCCACAAAATGCACAGTCTATCCACTTTACAGTATATCCTGTGAAGCACTTTGGGACGTCTCAGTGACTTGATAAGACACTCTATCAAATGCAAGGATTATAATAATAATTATTATTATCTTAGCATTTTCCCCAGTTTCAGCGAATACATTTTCAGTTGATAGCGATGTGATGGTGGGTTTGTTTCTGTGCAGGATGAGCCTTTGCACGAGTGTGACTGAGAGTAAGGTGAACAGAGCTAAACGCACCCTGAAAACCAACTTGATCAGACAGCTTGAAGGTACGATATAAGAACATAAGGATTTGCTGGCGAAAGAAGTCCGAGGCCCATCTAGTTTGCCTTCAACCATCCTGGCAGACGCTTGACATATCATGTCCCAAACTATGCACTGTAACCCGAGATAGTATTTTCTAGCAGAAATCTATCTAATTTGTTCCTGAAACAAAGGACATGATGGGAGGGGAGCGGTGATTTGGACTTTTATGCTTTGAGGTTATTAGGAGGTGACCTTATTAACAAGGAATGTTAAGAAATGACAATTACCTTTTATGTTGTTCCCCCTAACGTGTCACCGAGCTGCACAAATCCAGGTTGGTTCCATGGGCTGCGGAATTTGCAGATCTCAGTGGGACCACTGGGGGTGGGAGGGGGTGTTTGAACTCAGTTGCTTTCAGCTTCCTCCACCAATATTCCCATTTCTAATCCGCATTCAGTAATTCCTGCTTGAGATGCAGGGTTGGTTGGTTCCCACTCCTTATATGAGCCAACGTCTTGGGGGAAGAATGTGGGGAAACCTTTGAACCCTGGTCGTGAATGGAGAGCAGCAACATCTCTGTGCGTTCACAGGTACCACGCCACGATCTGAGGACATCGCCCGGCAAGTCATGAATTACAGACGCCACATTCCTCTGGCGGAGTTGGATGCCATGATTGATGTACGTCACTGATTTAACATTCAACATTTTTGCACAGTGTTTTGCGAAAGCAGTTGTAATATATTCCATAAAATTAGCGGATGAAGCCACTGCCTCACGTGCAGTGGAGTCCTCAGAACAGGAAGGTGCAAGGTTTAAACTCGAGTCTGTGTTGATCTCAGCATGGGGAGTAAGTTGCCACAGTTCACCAGATTATTTCGATTAAGGAGGGGGAACAAGCACTATCCTGTGACCACCACGAGAGATTTGACACTCAGTCTGGGCTTAACACATCAGTAATTGCTACCTAGGCTATGACAGCACTTGGAACCATTTTCGAGCGAACGCCAGGCCTTCAGAAGGAGGGGAGAAACAAACTCAACTGCTTTAAACACAATGGGTTGTAACCAGGAGGGTGAGGATTGACTAGATAGAGGGCGAAGACTCAAGCTCTGGGATGTTACCATGCACTATATGAACGCAAATTGTTGTTGACTGTAGCAGTTTCTGGTTGTAGTTCAGGTGCTTTGTGGATTTTGCTCACAATGGTCTGCATTATCCTCCGAGTGACTTGAGACTTTGTGCTTGTTCACCGCAGGCTGTTGATGCCAAAGCCCTACAGGAAGCTTGCAACAAGTACATCTATGACCGGTGTCCTGCCATCGCTGCAATCGGTAAGTTTCACGGTACTTTTACTCCACTGAATTCAGTTGATATTTAATGAACTGAACAACGACATATTAGGATAAAAGGCAAAAATACTTCAGATGCTGGGTATCTGAAATAAAAACAGAAGTTGTTGGGAACACTCAGCAGGTCAGGCAGCATCTATGAAGACTGGAGAGTGGGTGAACAACAACAAGATTACATTTGTATAGCGCCTTTCATGTTGGGAGCACATTCCAAGAGTGTACAGCAGATCAGACCCGAGCTGGGGTCAGCGGGGAGAAGGGAGGAGAGGGCAAGGGGGGTGACAAATGGCATGGTCGAAGAGCAGGGTTTTGAAGGAGGCTAAGGAGGGGGCGAGGCGGAGTGATTGGGGGATGGAGTTCAGGAGGTTGGAGGCAGAGTAGCTGAAGGCTCTCCCGCCAATGGTGGGGCAGGTGGGTCGAGAGCTGTGGAGCAGGCCAGAGCGGAGGGAACGGGCAGGTGGGTAGGGGGTTAGGAGGTCACAGAGATAGGGTGGGGCGAGTCTATGGAGGGCTTTGTAGGTGAGGAACAGGATCTTGAACTGGATCCTCTGAAGGATAGGGAGCCAATGGAGTCGGGCGAGAGTGGGGGAGATGGGGTCACAGAGTTTGGTGCGGGAGAGGACACGGGCTGCAGAGTTCTGGATTATCTGCAGCCAGTGAACGTTTCAGGTCGATGACCAGTTCTGACGAAAGGTCATCGACACATTAAGATGTTGTACCTGCTGGAAAGCTGATTAATGTTAAACCAGCGATCAGTTTTTTTTAAGTGCCCAAACTGGTAGATAATCAGAATGAGTGAAGAAAGCCACAGGAAGCACTCGCTACAGTGCGTGAAAAGAATTTCCTCACTACGTTGATAGGGTTTTAAACGGGGTCACGGGCTTTCTCATTTGCAGACAGAATACAGTCAGGTTCGTTTCTGCTGACCATAATTCAGTTGTCCACAAATCAGGTAGCATGTCAGGTAGCATTCAGTAGCACGTAAGTTTCTTATTCCTAAAGAGGATGCTGGTTATAAAGCAGTATTATGTGCATGTTGGGGGTGGGCCTCATTCTAGATCAATTCCCTAAATGGGTTTGGGGTACTAAATACTGATTTTCTTTCTCAGGTCGATAGGTCTTTAGACATCCTGACTCATGTAGTCTTTGACATGACTGCCAGACACTGGAATCTGATTCACACAATCTGATTTAAACACAGTCCTGTTGTGTGTAGATTGATAGCGATCTAAACCAGTCCTGGTTCGAAGTATCATCTTTGCCACCTGATTTTCCCTTTGGAGCCTTTCCCAATCCGTAACTAACTTTACTTTCTTGTTTCTTCCACAGGCCCAATTGAGCAGCTTCCCGATTACAACCGGATCCGCAGTGCTATGTACTGGCTGCGACTGTAAACCAAGTCAATGTCAACATGTTTCGCTCTGAGCCTCTTGTTCTCCACCATTTCAGAACGATCTCTTACTCGCTTGTGCTTTTATATAAAATGCATTCTGTACTGTGTTTAAAATTATGTAACGTCGGTCGCAGAACGGTCTTGCAGTGTGCTTTGAGACTGATTAAACAGCGAGGCATTGTAAACCTTCAAATGTACAGAACTTAAAAGTAAAGGTTAAATTATAAAGCGACTCTTGTAGCTTCAAGCAAAATTATTTCAGGTGTCAATTAATGCAGTAAGTTGCATTAATTGACACCTCGTTCAGTTGGTAGCACTCTTGAAGGTTATATGTTAAAGCCCACTTCAGGAATTTGAACTCACAGTCCAGGTCGATGCTGTAATAACAGTCCTGGGGAGCGCTGCATTGTCAGAGAATGTAAAGAATGGCACCAGTTGGAATATTATGATGACCACTGACTGACGGAATCTCCTAACTGCACACGTCACGTTACCTACCTGCTGGAAATGTCCAAAATGCGAAGCCATCACGCTTTACAGCAAAATTCCTGCGAAGCACTTCGAAACAACTTGCAGACGTGAAAGACCAAATGTAAAGATCGTCATTAAGGCATCGCTCACAGTGGTGGATCAGAGTAACCGAATAGAAAATTGTCTAAAAGCAAACAAGGAACAGAATATCAAAACAACGAGGAACATTCCAAGGAGGCGAAACAGGATATCTTGAGTCAGTCTTGGGAGCTATGGTCAGCCTTAGGGGTCAGCCTGGCTCGGGTGGTAGGACTCCCAACCTCCGAGTCAGAATTCTTTGGAATCGTAGTCGAAGGCGGAAACTCCCGACGCGGAGCCGAATCGTTGGAGGTGAAACTTCCAAACCAACGTCCCACCTGCGTGTTCGGGGACATTTCGAAACGGGGACGTCTCCAGAATCCCTGTCCCAAACAATAATCCCGCAGCGAAAAATTGGTCAATCACTTCATCGCTGTGTACTGCTCACGGCATCGCCCGTGTTTGCTCCCCGGTCACTACGCTGCTCCACCGTAAAATCCTGCAAAATGCTTCCCGGGGCAGTCGGACACCGGGCAAAGTAATAGGGAAGGCGATCTCTCCCCCCCTCCCCCCTCCCCCAACCCCAACCCCCCCCCCAAAAAAAAAATACTTCCTGAAGAACACATCCAAACCAAGTGGGAGATGAACCCAGGCAAGTGGAGGCAGGAGCTGAGGTGCAGTGGCGGGTCAGGCGCGGTAGGTGGCGCCGGGGAGTCAGTGGGAGGCGAGGCGTGTCAGCTCTTGCCTGCTCGGCGGCTCTTTGGCAGGGCGGGAACCTGGAGCAATGGCGGCGCTGGTCGTCTCCGGCCTCCGCGGCCTCTGGAGGGGCTCCGGCTCCGGCCTGAGACATCGGCAGCAGCTCAGGTGAGGGGGAGGGGGGGGGGGGGGGGAGAGAGAGGGGGTTACGGGGCAGAAGCCTCACGTGGGGACTTTTGTTTACAATGACAATAATAATCCCTGTGTTTGATATGGCGCCTTATCACGTGGTTCAGGCGTCTCAAAGCGCTTCGCAGGATATACGCTGTCAAGTGAACCGACTGTATGTATCTCTGTGGGCAATGACCAACAGCCCCCTCCCCCCCTCCATATCCCTCCCCTCCCTCCATTCCCCCCCTCCCCCTCTTCCACCCCCCACTCCCTCCTCTTCCATACCCCCCTCTCCCTCTCCTAACAAAGTGACTGTGAGACCCTCTCTGGGATTCCCGAACTGCTCATCCTCACCTACAAGGCTATTCACGGCCTCGCTCCCTCCTCCCTCTCCGACCTACTATCCCCCTACTTACCCGCCCGTACCCTCCGTCCCTCTGGCTCTGGTCTGCTCCACATCCCCCGCCCCAACCGCCCTACCATCGGTGGCCTTCAGCCTCTCAGCCCCTCGGCTCTGGAACTCTATCCCCAGTGCCTTCGCCGCTTCCTCCCTTTCCTCCTTCAAGGCCGGTCTCAAGACCTTTCTCTTTGACCGAGCCTTCAGCTCCCCTCTCGACTCTCTTCCTCCTCCTCGCTCCCTCCCTTCCCTCCCCTTACCCTGACCATTTCCCCCCTCCTCGCTCCCTCCCTTCCCTCCCCTCACCCTCACCATTCCCCCTGCTCGGGTCTTGACCCAACTGTACAGCGCCTCGGGACGTCCTCCTGACGTGAAAGGCGCTCTATAAATGCAATGTTGTTGTTGTTGTAGCGAAGGTGTGGAATAGTGCGTTACGCTGAGGTGAAAGCCCAGAGAGCTGGACACTGCTGAGTTGAAAAGAAGGAAGATAATTTGAGCAATAGTGGCTCATTCCTCCCCGAGCTGACGTTTATGAGTCTGCCGCTGGTGACCGAGGCATGGACATGAAATTATGGGGGAGTAGCACGAGTTGGTAGCTCTTTGAAAGAGCGGACGCGAAGGGCCTCATTCTTTGCTGTAAGATTCTTTGATTCTATGAAGCATTTTAACCTTCGACAAGTTGAATTTTTTTTCTGCAGGCAGCCCAGCCGAGGGCACAAGCTGACCCCAATGGACGATGAAATGTACCAGAAGACAACCATTACCTTGTTGGAGCGCGACAGCCCTGAGACCATGTTCATCGAGAATTACAGCAGTAACGGCTTCCTCATCAACGGCGACAGAGTCATCGGTCCCTGTGCCGTGATCCCACGAGCCGTCCTGCAGTGGAACGTGAGTCCAGAGTTCAACTACCAGCACCCAGACATGAATTCAGGTCAGGTGTGTGTGTGTGTGTGTGGTGGTGGTGGTGGGGGCGGGAAAGAGAGGAGGAAACAACAACAAATTACATTTGTAAAGCGCCTTTCACCTCGGGAGGACGTCCCAAAGCCGCTGGACAGCCAGTGATTTAGACCCGAGCTGGGGATTGGGATCAAGGGGGCGTGAAGGCCAAGGAGGATGGGGGTGTGGTGGTGGGGGAGTGTACAAAGGTGTGGTCGAAGAGGGTCTTGAAGGAGCAAGCGAGAGAGCGAGGCAAAGGGACTGGGATGAATTCTAAAGAGTGGGGGCACAGAGGCTGAAGGCCGGGCGGGGGACAGAAATGAAGAAAGAGGTTAAATTTGTTGCCCTTTTCTCTCTGTGCAGGTAGGAAGTTACAAGGACATCACTGAGGACAGCCTGGCTTTGTTCCACTTGTTGGAGCCGAAGATAGGTGCGTATGTGTGTCAGTTACAGAGAGGTTCACCTCACCGCTGCTGTGATGGGAGGGGGGAAAACTAAGGAAGGTCGATGGTGGTGGGTAACAGAAACAGTAATTTAATCATTGCCTGCTGCATTCATGTTAGTGGATGTTGTGTGTGGAGCTCAGCTGTTTCTAAAGATTTTCAGAGGTCAGGATTGTTTCAGACCCGGGGTCTGCAGGGAAACGAGAGTGAGTGGATGTATATGATTAGTGTCTGCAGCTTCTGCTCCTGATACAGGTTATATCTCCTGTTCTGGTTTGTGCTTTGCAGAGATTCTGGTTTTGGGACTCGGCCACAAGGTGGAGAGAGTGGATCCGCAGGTTCTGAGGTTTATAAGGAGGAAGGGAATCGCGGTGGAGATACAGGACACGGTGAGTCACACAGGAGCTGCCGTCCTGGTCCCCTTTAAGCCTTGAAGGGTGACAAAATAGGAACTGGAGGAGGCCATTTAGCTTGTCGATTCTGTTCCACAATTTTATCAGGATTTTATTTGGCTACAGTTTTTTATCCCAATTTCCTCTTATCTCTTACTTTCCAAGGATCTATCTCCTCTTTAAACATCTCAAATCGTTTTGTATCTGTGTCTTTTTACCATACTGTGTTTAAATAGACTCTTTGCGTGCAGAAACGTTTTCTGATCTCATTCGTAACGTTAAGACTTATGCCCGTTTGTATCGGATGCGTTTGGTCAGTACCCTTTGTTGTGTTAAACACCTCACTCGGGTCTTTTTTGGGTCTTTTCCCCTTAGGCAAACGCTTGCGCCACATTCAACTTTCTCACAAGTGATCGGCGAATGGCGGCAGCTGCTCTTATCCCACCGAGCTACCTACCCAAAAAATTGGTGTAAGGACTTGTGCAGTTGTTAGCTTGTAAATAGCAATCATTAAAGTACATTGCGTGATTAGCTGATGAGGTTTGGTCAGTTGTTGGATGTTAGGATTCCTGGGGTAACTCCAGTTTCCTATTAGCCTCAAACTGAACACGAGCAGCACTCCTCCGAACCTGACTATTTGCACACCCACAACCTCTCCACGGAGTTGCAGACCAGGGGACATTCAATTGATACAGCGCTCACGAATGTCAGCCGGGATGCTGCAATTGGCTTGAATGACCCTGATCTCTGGAGGGAAAAATGAAGCAGCCAGGATTCTCACCCTTTCACTCTCAAGTGATTTCAGGTAAGGAGCAGATGAGCCTCAGCTCAAAGGGGAGTGAGTTTTTTTCCACTGCAGTCAACGATCTGCTGCCTTTGGTATGGCTCATATCAAGCCCTTTGCTACATACACCCTCAGTGGAAATGTACCCCGACCAGAAGAAAGGAGAAAACATTCTTTTGATCTTTCATTTTCCTGTTTTAAATTCTGTCATGTTGGGAAAACACTTGCAATAGTCTGTAAAAGAGTTTTATATACCAAAATAAAATTCTTTAAGAAATTAAAACACTTGTTTTTGCACCAACCTGGAATTGAATACATTTTTCCTTCCACACTTTGTACTCAAGGTGCTGGCAGATGTATGTATACCCAACAGATAACTAACGGATCCGATTTCACTCATTAAATAGAGGGCATGACATTGAGGTTGTGACGATTTATTCTGCAGCACAAAGGGAATTCCTTGGTAGAGTGGCACAACATTTTGCATCAGACTTGCAGATCTACTAATGCTCAAAAAAACAGTAGATAAACATTTTTTATCATAGAGAGGCAATGTACAGGACCAGCAGATGTCAATAGTATTGGAACAGACTTGTATTAATGGATTAATGTTAAAAGAGACTCCAGCTAGGACAGGTGTCTACTGGAGCTTCCAAGGTTAACAGGATTAATAAAAAAAATTCTTATCTGTTATCACCAACTCATCTTTTACTTGCCAAGGCTCTGTTGGCAAAATACTACGGAAGGATATTCTCTTAGTTTAAAAAAATTGCATGAAAATATAAAAGGGCAGTTTCTCGTGTAAGACCCACATTGGTGATTCTTTTGTCAAAGAAAGACAAGTCTCCCAACTGTACAGCCAGTACAGAGATCCATGTAGTTAATACATTGGGGGAAATGCTATCATTAAGATGTATGAAAAATTATTCCAAATAATTTACAAACTTTGAACATTCTATCTTAAGACATTGTTGGGCGTCTAAAGCTTCAGAAACCACATCTTATTCTTGGTGCTGAAAGTGTTAACTGGCTTATTAACAAGTTCTGCAAGTCATCAGGTTAACCTTGTAAGCTCAATAGTTAATACTTGAAAAGCCACGGGTGGGCAGGAAAGTGTTCAACACATTCAGTGCTAAAAATGACTCCAGATTTTTTTTAATGCATCAACTCTTCTATAATAAGGCCAGTCCAAATCTGTAACATATAACCATTTGATATTGGCAAAAATACTTAACAAAACCCATTGGAATTCGGGGAGAACGGAGAAGGAGGGAGGGAGAGAGGCAAAGGCAATTCTATCCCAGTTTGAGTGAGAGAGTAATGCTGGACTCAGCCCCAGCAACGGGCTTTGCACTTGCAACTGGTCAATCCTGTGAATGCTTAGCACTGAAGACAGTCACACTCAGCTCTAAGTGAGAGCTGTGAGCGCTTTAAAAGCTCGAGTTGGATAACATCAGTGCATTTCAGTGAAAGAATGAACCGTTTGTAGGAATCAAACCCCAGTTAGAGACCGATTTAACCACAGAATACAAGAGAATCAAACTGCACACAGTGAGTGTCACCTCCCCAGACGCCCACGTCCTCAGTATCGATCGCACAGGGATATTGCAGCGTTTGTTTGGAAGTCAATGGACGCCAAAAACGGGTTTCGATGTGGAGCAAGATCTCGGTCTGTGCAACTTGTTGGAAGAATTTACAGCCAGTGCTTTCAGAACAGTCGCTTCTCGTATCTGGAACAGCGCAATGGGGACTTCAGTGAACATAGCATCACCCTTTACGTACAATACAACGTACATATTTATACAGCCCCTTTCATGTCAGGAAGATGTCCCAAAGCGGATTGATTTACAGTGCTGGAAGGGCACCTGAGCTCAAAGCCTGACAACACAACAATCCACATCTGCTACCTGTACAGCTGTATGTTACAGAACAGTACAATACACATAAAATAAGGTGAGGGTTAGGTGTAGGTCACCAATGCCTCTTTCTGCAGCAAACCAGTCTTCAGCCTTGTAATATAAACAAACGCCCAGAGCCAGTTCAAAGTAATTTCACACAAAACCTATTAGTGAAGGATTCAGTCAGTCAGTGAGAGCTGACATTCACTTTCTCTACTGGATGACAGTTGCAGCTTTCACACTGAATAAACTGCCATAACTTGACTTGAAATTCCCCTCTCTTTTGAAATACTGTCCTTGGGTCTTTTACATTCACCTGACCAGACATACAGGACCTCGGTTTCAACATCTAATCCAAAGGATGGCACCTCCAATAATGCAGTGCACCCTCAGTACTGCATTGGAATGTTAGCCTAGACCTCAAGTCCTAACTTGGTGTGCGTCTCAAACCCACAACCTTCTGGTTTAAAGGCCTATGTACCAGAATGATGTGTAAAGATACTTACGAGTGCAGCCCATGGACCCCTCCTTCCACCTGGGCACAGAGAGTTCTCTTCTCAAACTTCAGCTCCCCCGAGTACATCATGGCTCTGAAAACAGGAATTAAGACGGAATCAGCCACTGACGCTGGAGTTCAGCCATCGGTCAAGTCAGCGGCTCTGTACATTGTGGAAGATGGACGTACCTTAATTGTGTCAGACTCTTGGCCCCGATATCCTGGCAGCCATGCTGGATTCCAGCAATGAGATAAGGAATGAACTTCTGAATAGAACCCTTGTCCTGTACAGCACCAGACACTCCCTGAGCAACTTTGATCTTATCAGACTCACTGGAGAAGGAAGATATTTAGTTAATAAGAGCAGTTGGCGAGTTAACAGGTCTTTAGCAGCACCTCATGCAGATCTAGTGGGCCCTCTGAAGGTATGAATGATTGCTATACAGTTGCCGCCTCTCTCTACCCCACCCTCTCCCCAGGCAACACTGACTGCACTTCTAGTCGTTCCAAGTGCCCACAGTGCACAAGTGTAATTAATCTCTGACCTGAAGTAGCGGCTTTGACTGCCCAAGTGTTTGTCCATGGCATCCAGTGAACCCATCCCTCTGTATTTCTTGAGCCTGACCCCGTCCGAGAAGAAATACTCGCCAGGGGCCTCTGTTGTGGCGGCGAGGAGCGATCCCATCATCGCTGAAAGGTACCAGCCGGAGAGCAGGAGGATTAGAACACGTCTAATTGATTGTCAGACAAAGACGAACCCTCTCACATCTAATAATAATAATCCTTGCATTCGATATAGCGCCTGATCACGCAGTTCAAACGTCTCAATTTACTTAGTATTGAAGGTGACATTCTGTGCCCTGAGAAACAAATTAACGAGATGACCGACACATTTGTTTTTAACAAAACTGATTAAAAAAGTAACCCATTTACACTCGAGAACATTCGACAACCTGTTTTTCCGCAGGATAAGTTTACTTAGCCCACAGCGGTGAGTTTTGGCCGATTGTGACCGTCACAGCTGAGCCCAACCCCGCCCTCGCCCGATATCCACACCCATGCAAATTCCAGACAGTGATCAGCAGTGGGAACTGTGGGCGAGGTGCAACAAGCTAAATTGTAGCACCTCATTTATTCCCAGGCTGAGAGAAGCTTCTTAAACAAACCCGGAATTAAACCCAGGCCCTTCCAAGTCTGTGCGATTCAGTTTGAGTCTCGGTCGTCTTTACCAAGTAAGTCACTGAGTTGGCTCACCGCTCACATTATTTTAAATCAGGATTATTGCTTTACTGTAAAACAGTGCGGTTTGACTGTGACTGGAGTTTGGCAATCACCTGTGGAAGCTCCCAGCGCTAAGGCCTTGGCGATGTGTCCCACGGTCTGAATCCCTCCGTCCGCAATGACTGGAACCCCGAACCTCCTGGCGTATTCTGCCACCTTATAAACCGCAGTCGCCTGAGGTCTGCCCACAGCCAACACTACAGAGGGAAGCAACCAGAGGAGACGCATCAGCGGAGTACAGAGCGAGCTTCATTCTGTACAATTTAATCAATTGTGAATTTAGGCTGTGTCCTCAGAGAGAAAGAACCTCGCATCTTTACATGTAAAGCACAGATTTCTATCCCAGTTCGCAGTGAACCAATCTCGAGTGTGAAAAGGCATCAGAAACAAATCAATGAGATGACTGACATCCGGTTTTCCACAACTAAATACAAAGTTAAAAAAAAAATCCATTTACACTCAGGAATGTTTGACTGCCTGATTTTGCACAGGCAAAATGGAGCCATGCTTCAAGGCAACGCTGGAGAAATAGATCTAGACTCCTGAAGCGCCCTGCAATCCCCACTACTGTAACCTCAGCGCAAACCTCTGTGTTTGTGGGTACCTGAAGCATTTGTAGTCATGTTCCCATTCACCGAGTGTCAGTTTTGAGGCCCTATTGCACTCTGACATGTATGTAGTTCCCCTTCAGCACTCTGAGGGTTTAATTTTCACTCGCCCCAGACAGAGGTGTAAATCTACAGTTGGTGTGTTCATTAATTTTCTCCACGAGTCTCTCCATTTTCCACTGACACAAAGAAACCGACTCAACTTTTAAAGCTAATCATTTGACCCTCTTTTGGCAAGAGGATATCCGCGAATTCTTGCTCCAGAGGATTTACCCTCATCACAGCTTTGTTGGCACAAGATTCGTTTTGTTGCAACACTTCAAATGCACACATTTTCACCCGGGGGGAATCATTGGGCTCAGCCTTCCCTCTGTGCGTCATGCACATGCAGAGGTCCCATGCAACTCAAAACACCGAGCGCGTCAGGTTATCAGGTGCACGATAACAGACAAACAAACACAGACAAAACAACTGATGTTAAATTAGCTCTTTTGGAGACGCACACACTTGTCCACACAAGTCAAATTCACGAAGCTGTCCACTGTCATGTGAAAGGGCTCCACTCTCACTCCCAAGTACTTTGCAAAATGAACAAATGGTTTGGAGGTTTAAAAAGGAAAGAGCTAAAAGGAGCATTCAATACTCAAATGTGAAGGTACGAGTTTCTACCCATTTAAGGATGTGTCTAGCAATCAAACAAAGATTTGGAAGATACAGGACCAGATAAAGATTTACATATGAGCAACTGACTGTAACTTCTAACTCCAATCAACACAGGTTCCTCACAGACCACTGACTTCATCAGAAAGCAAGGTCCAGGATTCCAGTCCCATTATTTTAATCTTGTGTCTGCTGCACACACCACCAACCACACACACATTGCTTGAAGTTACCTTTTTGAAATTAATAAATAAAACTAAAATCCTTTTAATTGACATCCCTCCTTTCATGCCAGGAGGCCGTCTCAAACACTTCAAAGGATTTACACAGACTGTAAAATGCAGTGACCACAGTAAACTACTGATAACTCAACCTTGGCTTAACTTGTCACTATCACTGAAGTCATCTCGCTGTCAGTATCCCGGGCACATTTATTTATGTATTTATGCATATGCCTAACTTGCCATTCTGGATAACTCCTCACTGAGCCCCTTTCCCCTTGGAGACGAATTTACTGCACCTTGTAGGCAAGCGCCCTGGGACGCTACCCTGCGTGAGGGGATCTGTATATAAATGCAAGTTGTTGTTGTTGAATGTGGCAGCCAATTTGCGCACAGCAGTGTCCAACAAACAGACACGATGTGAACAACCAGAATTTAGCAATAAGGTCTCAGCTGACTGTTCAGACCAGTGGTGGCCAACCAAATAAATTTTTTCTGGAATGAATATTCCCTGATTTAATGGCCACACCAGATTGATTGGTACTCAGTAGCTACTGGAAACAAAATATTGATTTAAACAGACTTACCTAGACTAGTGTGAATGTTTTGGCCCACTGGCCATGGGTTGGCCACCACTGGTTTAGACACTAGATGGCAAACAATCTGATTTCCCTAGTGATTCTAGTTAAGTCGAGGATGATCATTTTCCTATGGTTCAGTCGCATAGAAACTCAGTCTGATTCACCATAAGATTGTTAGTGAATCTCATAGTGATGGTGCACCAAACCCCTCCACCTTGCTGATAAACACAACCCTTCCCCAGGCTAAAGTGCTCCCAACAGATTTGCTGTCAGTGTCAAACATTCGAATGGTTAGAATCAAAGAGAAAATTAAGCAAAAAAAACAAAAGCCACAAAACCCCAAATCGCATCTAAGACAAAAGTGGATCCAGTTTGGCGTGTGTGGCTGGCTGTGAGAGAGGCACGTGTTATTTTGTTTTACTTTTGGGTTTGTGGGATAAATAAAAGCAAAATAGTCAACGGTGCAGCCAATTGCAAACCAGCTAACAACACAGCCTAAAAGAAACTTACTAAAGGAGCCAGAGATGGTAGATGGGAGTTTGGGGCTGTGAGACCTAAGGTCTGGAGGGATCTTTGGCATAGCTACAGGTGGGGGGGGGAAAAAGAGGGGGGAGGGGGGAAAAGAAAGGTTATAGCAGAGAAGCAAAGTCAGACAGAGTGAGCGAGAGATCACACCTCGTGCCAACTGCTGCAGAGAAACTAAGCTGAAAGAGAGGAACAAAGGACTATAGAAAACAAATGCAGAAAGCAGCTCCCAGATAACGTGCTGGAACGGACAAAAGCCGGGATTTCTAACGCCCACGTTTTGAGCCAGTCACTTATATCGGTGCGTGGACCAGTTGGGACGCACAGAGCGCAGAAAGCACTCAGTTTGAATGGTCACCCGGGGAGTAGAGACGATTGCAAGGATATTCCCAGGGATCAGTGCAGACAAGTGGGAAAAACTGAGTGGCACAGGAGCTGCTCACTGGGTGTGAGGAGTGCACTGCATTCTCTCGGGACGCAACATGAATTATCCAGTCACTGAAGGTCAGTTGGACGCAGACCCTCTGACACACACACAGATTCGCGCCCTCTCCGCTTACCTTCCTGTGTGATGCAGATGGATCCGCTTCCCATCCCCACGCGCAGAGCGTCCACTCCGGCGTCGATCAGATTCTTGGCCTGCGCCGCAGTCACCACTGTGTCACCGAAGGGCAGAAACGGCTTCGTTACAGACGTGGTTACATGACAAAAATCACACCCGCGAAACGCCTTTCGCGCCGGGAGGAGGACTTCCCAACACGACGAGCAGGAGAGGGGCAGGCACCGCCACCGGGATGCTCCAGTTGTTATATTCAAAACTCACCCACCGCCCGTGCGTTTTATAGAGCCTTATGGTTTACAGTAATTAATGCCGAGTGAAACAACAAGAAGTGACATTTGTATAGCGCCCGTGGTGTCAGGAGGATGTCCCAAGGCGCTGGACGGTCAGGGATTTAAACCAATCTGGGGTTGGGATCAAGAAGGGTGGAGGGCAGGGAGGGTATGGGTAGGAGGGTGACCAAAGGTGCGGTCCAAGAGAAAGATCTTGCATAGAGACTGTTGCAGCCATTTTGTGTAAGTTCCGCAGTACGTTCTTACAAACAGCACAAGCGTAAGATAAATGGCCGGTCAAGGTGGCAGATTGTTGGGCATGACTGTCCCCGAAGCTGCAGCTACAGGGAGGCTGTGTGTAACAGCGCTTCCTCTTGCCCTGAACAGCAGCAGCTCAAACCTTGGATCCCAACTCATTCGAATTGACTTACCGTTGCCACCAATGACCTGCACGTCTGGGTACTTTTCTTTGATGTGTTGAATGAGGTCGATCTGGAAGATGGAATTTCCTTGAGAGGAATCCTGGAAGATAAAGGAGGGAAAGAAACGTAATAATCCTTGCACTTGCTATCGTGCTTTATCACATCGCCAAAAGGTCTCAAAGCATTTCCCACTGTACTGTATTTTGCAGCTAAATGCAGCAACCAATTTGTACATGTCCCACAAACAGCCAAGTGAACGTCCCTTCTCTATTTGAATAGTGCCACGAGATCCTTAAAGTCCACCTGAACAGGTACAAGGCATCTCAGTTAATGCATCATCCCAAGGACAGCGACTCCAACAGTGTTGTTCCTCCCCCAGGATTGTATTGGAGTGTCAGTCTCGACTGCGAGTTCACAGTCTGTGACGTGGGGCTTGAACCCACAATATTCTGAATCAAGAGGCCAGAGAGGGGCCAACCGAGTTGGCCTTAGAATACTGCAGAGGGCTTTTCAGTAGCTGGCGTAGAAACAACAGCTTGATGCTTCATCCAGTCCTGAACTCACCAGAACCACCACATCCACACCGGCCTGAAACAGCTGGTCCAGCCGGTATTTGTCGTCCTCGTGGGTCCCGATAGCAGCTCCGCACAGTAGCTGTTTCTTCGAGTCCTTGGAAGCCAGCGGGTAATCGCGATTCTTCTTCAGATCGGTCCTGGCGATGATGGCCACCAGCTCGTCGTTGTCATTCACAATGGGCAGCTTTCCTGCAAACAAACACGGCGCAGGGGGATCAAAACTCCCAACTCCAGCAGCCAAGCAATACACAACCCGGCCCTCAGATCCGGCCACAGTGAGATTATTCCATTATTATTGATGAGGGTCTGGCCTCCGCATAGCCTGAGAACTGAAAAGGTCAGACCTTCAGCAGCTCCAAGACTACACACTATTGGATGGAAGTCAATCACCCCTTCGTCTCCAAACAATGCCCGCTCACATTTTCCAGCAGGAGTCACTAAAATTGTGAGCAGGATCCAGACAGATTCTCTAACATCCAGTCTCAGTTTAGGGACACTGAAGCCAACTGCACCTCAGCCCAACTGAGATTATTTTGGCACAGACCAGGGAGTGACCCTGGCTCTCTCGAACTCTTTACAGCTTCCTGCAGCAAAAGAATCAAGGGGTAGCTGAAACTTTGGCTTGTTTGGTCCTGTGCCTTTAATTACTTTGCCTCCCTCCACGTGCCTGTTGGAACACAAACGTTTGTCTGTGCGGAGAGCATCAGTTTTGTCTCTCACAAGGCCAGCCTCAGGCAGGCACGCACCGTCAGGTTACCTTTTTTACTTCTCTGCAGAATCTCGTTGGCTTCTTTCAGAGTGACCGCGGCCGGTGCCACCACCAAATCCTCTCTCCTCGTCATCACCTGCTGACAGACAGGAAGAAGATGAAGGCGAAACAGGAAAAAACGAGCGGCTAAAAAAAAAACCCAACAAACTCTGCAGCAATGTCTGCACCACAAGGAGCCAGGTCTGACCTATTTTATGAATGCAAGTGTAACACCCCTGACAATTCCACACCCAGCCTCACATTTTCAGGTCGCGCTGAGCAGAGCACACAAAAAAATTCCTCCTCCCAGTGGCTCTTGATGTCAAGCTGCAAGTGGCTTCTTCACTCAGAAACGACACTGCTTACACTCCAGTCTCTCAGCCCGTGTTACGTCACTGGATCCACTACAAGTTACACCCTGGCTATGCTGCTATGTTTCAGTCGCGATATTTCCCAAGCAGTTGCACATCCACACAATGACACAGACATAGAGATACGTGTTGTTATTATTGTTCCATCAAACATGCAGTTAATGTGGGGGCTCAATGCAGTGACTGCTGGGAGTGCAATCTCTTGGAACTCGCCCTGGGATTAAGATACACTATAGAGGTTGGATTACACTGTGAATGGGAAACACATTTGCACCACCACATAATAATAATCCTTGCATTTGATGCAGCGCCTTATCACCTTGTTGAGAAGTGCTTCACAGAATATACTGCGAAGTGTATGACATTGTGTTTAGTGGGTAAAACATGGCAGCCAATTGCGCACAGCAGTGGCCCACAAACAGTCGTGGATTGAGTGGCCAAATTACTGTTATTATTTAACGTACAACATCACAAGTGAAGTCTCACGTACCTCAGAGAGCAGCAGGTCATGCTCCTTTTCAGTAAGGAAATCAATATCCCGAGAAGAGATGATTCCCTTAAGCTTTCCGCCCATCTTCCCGTTGTCTGTAATTGGAATTCCGGAGAAACCGTGGCGAGCTTTAGCTTCGAACACGTCTCTAACCTTTTCTGAGGGGCTCATAACAACCGGGTCTGTGATGAATCCCTGCTCGTATTTCTGAAACAAAAGACCACAGAGATCAGAGTAGATTTGAAGTTTAAAAACTCCTCTTAACGGAAGATGTTTCAGTGCATTGAATTCAGTTTAAATGGAGGTGTCAGCCTGGCTCAGTTGGTACACCCTCACCTCTGAGTTAGTAGGCTGTGGGTTCAAGCCCCGCATAGGCACTTTGAGCTCACAATCCAGGCCGACACCGCAAAATAGTGCTGGGGGGTTCTGCGTTGTCGGAAGTGCTACCCTTCAGGTAAAACATGAAACCTGATCAAGTGGTTGTTAAAGATCTCACAGGAGTATTTGATAAGAGAAGGGAGTTTAAAAACAAAAAAAACTTGGGATAATCTCATGCAAGGTCACATCACTAATCTCAGGCCTTAATTCAGTTTATTGTTGCCCTGTAACACCGCGCTCAACTCAGTTCCTCTCCTGGAACACGGACAGACCAGACATACCTTGACTTTGCGAACCTCGTTAGCTTGGAACTCCGGCGTACAGTTGTGATGGATGAACCCAATTCCTCCCATCAGCTGCAGGTGAAACAAAAACACAGAAATATGAAGCAACGCGATGTTCTGGCAGACAGTATCCACTGCCCACCCACACCGTCAGCAAGTCTGTCCTAACCCAGGCTGCCGCTCGTTCACCGGCAATTCCAGAGAAATGAGCAAACCAAAGGCAGGGCAGACAGAAACATGGGAGAAATTTTCATTAACAAATGCGATTTGGTGGCTTGGGTGGAACAGTACACAAGTAAACTATATTTTACTAAAGTGCTAATTTCACAGCACATGTCTTTGGGAAGGGAGGGGAGAGAATTTGGGTGAAGTGAAAAATCTTAAGACACACACACTTGAGGTTCCCCCAAGTAGACAATTGAGCAGCCAACTCACAGGCACAAGAGAGAGAGAGCGCATTCCTCAGTAATCAATTTAATGTAGTCCCGAGGTGCTCACGTTGGGAGGAAACTATTCTGTCTATTTAGCCGAATAAGGGAATAAGTTAATTGAATATGGTCCACTAGCCTGACCTGGCTGGGCATGTAGGTCAAACATGCTGAGAGAGAATCAATCCATTTAAAAGTTACACATTTACATTAACCAGAAAATGTAATTTCGGCTTGTGACTGCATGAATGGGAAAGAAAACTAAGAGCAAAATCCAATTAAAAAATATATATACTATTTCTCTTCTTCAAACAGCTTTCTCAGGTGGTAAGAGAGCGATCAACCCCCCCACGGACATAAATCAGAACCCAGTTACAACACACGTCATTGTAACACGATTATTGGATGTGAACTCCGACATTGATTTGTTACAAAAATTCAAAATCCTCCCACTGCCTCCATTAGACAAGGGCATGAAGGGAGATTGGCAGTGACCTTAGAGCCCAGATGTTAGTCATTTTGGCTTCGTGTTTGCCAGCCAGCTTTTGAGGCGGCAATGAAGCTGGACATCTTTCTGCGTGCGTGCACAATAAAGGCTGAAGTGCTCACTGGTCACCTCGCCCCACTATAAGCACTGATTGTGAAAATTTACGGCCTTAGCTACAGTTGGAACAGGGGCCCTACTGTATGCCAGAAAGAGGTACAACAGGCAACGGGGAGATGAATGAAGATAACTTTGATGTCGAGTGGCTGGGTGGGACACCGCAGTTTGCATCGATGCAAATATTTATTGGCTCCTAAATGCCACGGTACAACCACAAAGGCCAGGAGGTAAGCATTCGTGAATCATTTCGTCCCTGTCTTATTTTTTGTGTAGTAGTACACTTTGCGAGTGAACAAGGCTGAGTATCTAATGAATACTAGAGACAAAACAAAGCAATAGACAAATGGCTGGGACAGTCAGGACTCCACACTTACTGCCATAGCGATAGCCAGGTTAGCCTCCGTGACTGTGTCCATAGGGGATGAAACCAAGGGTGTTTTCAGGGTGATTTTCTTTGTTAGGGCAGATGTCAGGTCCTGCAGATAAAAAGTACATTTAGAAACTACTAAACTTTCATAGATTTACAAGATAATTAGTCCTATGTCTACTTGTTCAGGTCAATGTTAAAGATCCCACAGCTCAAAAAAAGAAGGGGATTTCTCCCGGTGTTTGGCCAACAACCCCCCACCCCACCCAATTAAATTGGTCACTCATTTTATAGTTCTTTGTGAGACACTGCTGGGTGCAAAATTGGTTGCCGCTTTGGCCTATAAAATATAGTCACTACACTTCACTGTAAAATGCTGTCAATCGCTTTGAGACGTCTCAATGTCATATCAAATATAAGGACTATTATAAATCAAGGATGATTGAGCAATTTTCTATTATTGTGCTTGCAGGTTACGAGTCTGATGCCAAGTGGAAGAGCAAACTATATACATTCGCACCCTCGCTTGCTTCTGGCAATAGTAGAGACTTATCCTCAAAGCCTTTTCAAATCAAATACTATTGCGTTCATGTGATTCAAGTATTTCATGAGCCTTGTCGCGAATTAACTGGGCAGCTTGATACACAAAGTTTAATGCTGAAACTTACCACCTGATCAGAGGTGAAATCGATATATCCTGGCAAAATGAGGAAATCACTAAAATAGAAAGAAACGTACAAGTGTTAAACACAGTCTGAAACCAATGGTCAAGTAATGTTCCCCACTACCTCTCAAACTTAACCCGAGCAGCCCAGACACGTAAACTGTTAATTTACTACTGTGTTTCCTTCAGGGTGGTTTGGCCCAACTATTCCTTTCACAACAGCCTTTCGGCAGGGTTAGGGGAGTAGTCAGGTTTCCTGAGGGAAAGAGAGAAACGCAGACATATGTACCTCACATTCATGTCACCAATCTGTGAACCTTGGCTTCCGAGGTCAACATTAATATTGAGTCAGAACTTTTCCAATAAAAAGTACAGTACATTAGCAGCTACCCATATGGTGACCCCACTGATGAAAATAACTCAAACATCCTTGGGTTGTGCCAAGTCAGTTGATCTCTTCTGGAAAGCAGTGGGACAGTAAATGTGCCTTCAGTGTCTCTGAGATAGGGAGAGGAAGATCATCCAAAGTTCTTCCTTGTGAACACTCTATAGTGACTTCCGCACGAAAGTATATGTGTGAGAAGGATAGGAGTGGGCTTGGCTGTTGTTGTTCTGGAGAATCCTATTTTGCCAGACATTTACTCTCCAGGTTTACATATAAAGGCACACATGGAAAGTTACCAGAACACACTGTGGAAATGTACCCGAGAACCTTCGGGGAGGGGGCAATTTTCACAACCCCTGGCTGCTTCCCTGATAACGTTTGCGTTTCACAACCTAAAATAGCTTCCAAGATGTGTGATAGACAACGCCATGTGTGGCCGTCACAGTATGAGGCTGCAACAGCCTTTCTACTGGAATCCAGACTATTTATAAGCAATGACCACAGATGCTGGCAGATGATAGCTAAGCTTATCCTAATCTGACCCCCCCACACAAATTTTCCAGCAAGAGTCACTGCCTAGTGATCAGCCACAGGGGAATTTCTGACTGCTCCTTCACCCAGGTGGCTGAAGCCAGTTTTGCACCCCAATAGCTTTGGATTCCAGTCTCTCTGGCTCAGTGTCACAAGGTGATGTGCTTGTTAAAAGGAAATTAATCAAAGAACATAGTTCAACTTGGGTCCAATATCAAACACTGATAAGAGTATCCATGTTATATCAGTTCATGGACCGTCACTTCTGACATTTGGTGGGAAATTAAAAAGAATTTCTAACTCTTTCGACCGACTGATATTCTAACAAACCCTTCTCAAGAGAAGCCTGGTGGAATCTCTGCTCACAAGGTTGACCTGCTTCCCACCCCCCCCCCACCCTCCAGAGAATAACCTCTTGATGCAAAAATCAGACCATGAACAGGACCCCTGTGCATTAAACATAATGAACATGAATTGCAATAAAGACATTGAATTCATTCATCCCAATGCCATACGCATCTGAAATCCAATCTCAAGTGACTACTGTTCAGTCACGATGAGACATCACATGCCGTGGCAATGCAGGATCACAAGTTATTTATTTACTGGAAATATCTCCTGATCGACCGCACAATTAATTTAGTTAAAATTCATATGATATACACTTCTACACTTCTGGCCAATCAAGCCATTTCATATCTGAGCTGCTGCCTTACTGAGCAGGAGGTGCTTGATGTCCAGGTCTATTGGGTTACTCAAGAGTTCTTTCCGCATCACTTTACTCACTTCTTCAAAATGCACAACTCCATGGCTCAGATAAAACATTCCACCCAGTCAGAGTTCGCTGAGTATTTACATTTATACCCACCTGCAGTCTAAACGAGATATCAGCCTTATAGAATAACTTCACAAGGACATTTGAACTCCATGTGGCCAACTCGATTATCAGACACACAGGACACCGGTTGGGAGGTGAAAGAAACACACACGTGCACAAGTCTAGTTTCTAACAATTAAACAGTTCAAATCGAGCCGTGAAACTGAAATGACAATTTCAATTGCCCGGAAATAGCCGTCACAGAAAGTCAAACCCCTCACTGAAATAAACCATTTAGTCTTACCTGTATTTATCCTCAGTGAATACAGTTTGTGGCGTATATCGAGGACAGCCACTCTGCCCTACTGGAGAGTTTTGCGTTGACCCCATTTTACATTTAGGAGGCCTGCCTCATAGCTGATTGCAGGTTATAGAGATTAGGTCATATTCAAATGTAGCAGAAATGCAACTTGCGTATAACCCTCCTCACCCCCCGGGCACTGGACATCAGATAATACCCCACACTGTTTACATGGCACCTCAGAGCTTCATAGCCGAAGTGGATCTGATGTGATCTGAAAATCAAAAGCTTGCACAAGCTGCTGAAGGAAACGTTTAGCTGAGACGGGCAGCAGCGAGGACACACACGCGCGCACAATCCATGCAGAGGGATGCATCTCTAATCGGTTATCTAACTGGATTTGCATAATTCAGTTATATATACAAAATCTGCTGCTGAATAGATAGTCACACCCTTGATCTGTGATAAGCACAATTTTATTCAGCACGTGGCTCCCGATAACCAGGGCCCAGTGAACTCCCCACGCCGGTCTGATCCCCGTTAGGCCCTCCGATAAGGAGCAACTCAGCTGGGATAAAGGTGGGAGAATCGGCCCTGGATCACAAACCAAGGGTTCAACAACAAGAAATTGTATTTATACTGCACCTTTCCCGTCCAGGGGATGTCCCACCGGGCTGGACGCTGGAGAGTTTGCACCGGACTGGAGCCTGGTGTCAAGAGGGGTGGAGGGCAAGGGGGTGGGGGTGAAGGTTTGAAGTGGGAGGTTGACCAAAGGCACAGTTGAAGAGGAAGGTCCCGAGACAGGCCTTGAAGGCGTCAATAGAGGGTGCGAGGCAGAGGGGGCTCTAGGATGGCGGGGGCACAAAGGCCGAAGTTCCGATTACCGAGGCCGGAGCAGTGAGGGTGGGGGGACATGGGGCCGGTTCACGCCCCGGCGGACGCGGGGAGCGGACAGGTCAGTAGGGTTCCAGTAGGTCGCAGAGAACGAGGAACAAGACAGCGGAGGGTTTTAAATGTGAGGGCGAGGATGGTGGAATCGATCCTCGGGGGTGGGGGGTGGGGGGGGGGAGCTAGTGAAGCCCGGCGAGGACGGGGGGGGGCGATCTCCTCACCGAGCTTGGGGCGGGGGGGGGTGTATGAGCTGCGGAGTTCTGAATAATCCGCAGCCTGTGGACGGAAGAGTCGGGAAGTCTGGCGAGAGAGGAGTTAACACGGTCGACTCCTGGAAAGCGCGTGGGACTTGGAACGACAACCCAGAAAAGGCCCAGACAGTAAGAAACGCCAACTGCTCTCCCCTTCCCCCCACCCACCGGTCGGATCACAGTCTCCCCCCCACCCCCACCCCGGCACCACCCGTGTCCGTAAAAGCGCCGGCACCGCCTGGACGTCAAGTCCGCGTGGTTCTAGCAGCGCACAAGAGTAACGTCTAGAAACCGCCGCCGCCGACAGGAGTCGACGTGCGCGGGACGTCTGCCGCGGGCGCATTTTGCACCCCGACCCCCACCGCCCCCCCCAAAAAAAAAACCCCACACACGTACGATCAAATCCACTTGTCAGGGATATCCGGCAAAGCGTTTCGAGGCGTCTCGACGATGGGAGGGAGAGAGAGAGCCCATACCGTGTGCCACAGGATTATTACTATTATTATTATTATGTTATTATTATTATAACAACACGTGACCCCGGCGGCTGCTTTAGGGGCTTAGTATTGGGATGATTTGGGGGTTACAAATTAATTGGTGGCAAACCTGACCCCCGCCCCTGTGTATTTCTTTCTCTCCACAACCCCCCCCCCCTATTCTCCCCCCACACCCCGTACCCCTCTTTCTCTCTCCCCCTTATTGTCCCCCCCCCACCCCGTAACCCCTTCTCTCCCCCCCCACCCCCCCCTATTCTCCCCCCACACACCCCCTTCTCCCCCCCCACCCCGTACCCCCTTCTCCCCTCCCCCCCACCCCGTACCCCCCTTCTCCCCCCCCACCCCGTACCCCCCTTCTCCCCCCCCACCCCGTATTCCCCTTCTCTCCCCCCCACCCCGTACCCCCTTCTCCCCCCCACCCCGTACCCCCTTCTCCCCCCCACCCCGTACCCCCTTCTCCCCCCCCCACCCCGTATTCCCCTTCTCTCCCCCCCCACACCCCGTACCCCCTTCTCCCCCCCACCCCGTACCCCCTTCTCTCCCCCCCCCCACCCCGTACCCCTTCTCTCCCCCCCCACCCCGTATTCCCCTTCTCCCCCCCCACCCCGTACCCCCCTTCTCTCCCCCCCCCACCCCGTACCCCCCTTCTCTCCCCCCACCCCCTTCTCTCCCCCCCACCCCGTACCCCCCTTCTCTCCCCCCCCACCCCGTACCCCCTTCTCTCCCCCCACCCCGTACCCCCCTTCTCTCCCCCCCACCCCGTACCCCCCTTCTCTCCCCCCCACCCCGTACCCCCTTCTCCCCCCCACCCCGTACCCCCCTTCTCTCCCCCCACCCCGTACCCCCTTCTCCCCCCCACCCCGTACCCCCCACCTCCTCACTTGTAGGTCAGGCCGTCGCCCGCTCCCAGCAGTTGTTGGGCGCTCTGCCCGTCGTCGGGGACGTATCCGGTGCCTCCGCTGATCAGGTAGTCGGCCATGTCGGCGCCGCCGTTGGGCCGGGGCTCGCTCTCCCACGGCGGCGTCAGGGACCGGCGGCTTCTCGGGACCGCCGCGGCCGGGGCCGGGGCCTCTGCGCCCCGAGGTTGGGCGCTGCAGCTGTCCAGGATCGTGGCTGTGCGGGACCGGGGCGGCGGCGAGGAGGGCGGGAGGCGGGAGGAGGGGCGGGAGGAAGGCCCGGGGCCGAGCCGACTGCACGTTGTGGCAGAGAGAGAGAGAAGGGGGGGCGGGGGGGGAGGCACGTGACCGATAACGCACTGTGACGTAACTCGAGTGCCCCCGCCCAGGAGGGGCTCAGGCCCCGCCCAGGAAGGGCTCAGGCCCCGCCCAGGAAGGGCTCAGCCCCACTGCCCAGGAGGGGCTCAGGCCCCGCCCAGGAAGGGTTCAGCTCCCTCTGCCCAGGAGGGGCTCAGGCCCCGCCCCCGCCCCCCCCCACGTTGGGGGCAACGGTGGGTTCCACGAGAGAGAGAGACAGAGAGAAAAAAACGCGGTTCGTTTCCAGAACGAACGGTGGCGCGCGGCCGCCGTGTCTCTTTCCGCCATGAAACCAATCCCGCGGGAGACCCGCCGCACACCGTTCGGGACGCGGCCGAACCGAGCCGAGCGGGCGGGTCGGCCGGGACGGCGAACCGGGTGGACCCGAGCTTTCCTGGCGCCCGGCACGTTCCCGTGTTGTTTTTGCCCCCACCCCCCACCCCCCACCGAGAATGGTGGACGGGATAATAATAATAATAATCCTTGCATTTGATATAGCCCTTTTCACGTCGGGAGGACGTCCCAAAGCGCTTCACAGAACACACTGTAAAGTGAATTGACTGTATATTTGTGGGCGAACGCGGCAGCCAATTGCGCACAGCAATGTCCCACAAACAGTCGTGGATTGAAAATGACCAATTTATTATTGTTTTGGGTTTTGGAGGGATTATTATTAGGCTCTGTGTGGAGTAAGGAAACTTGCCCAAGGTTTCGCCCTCTGCCTGGAATTGAACTCAGGTCTCTCGCTCGCAAAGCGAGTGCTCTAACCGCTGAGCTACAGGGATCTGCCAAGCGCTTCGAAGACGCGATATAAGCATAAGCGCGTGCAAGGATCATTATTCCGGATGAATGGGGGGGGGGGGGGGAGGGGAAAGACTTTTCGAGCCCGTTCCAAGCTTTCCCTCCACAATACCCACTCCCCTCCCATTCCCAGCAAAGCCCATCGCAGCACCCGCTACGCGACACGGTATCCCCAGGGCCACTGTGTTGCGTGAACCAAACCCGGGGGCGCACCCAGACACAAAAAAATTGGGCTCGCCCCAATTCCTGATCCTGGCGGTGTGACGGGGGGGGGGTGGGGGGGATTGGTTCTCGGCTGCGTTTCTCTGCTGAGTGTGTCGGGATTTGGAATTTTCTTGCCCGGTTTGTTGCTGAACTCCAGACTGTGGCTCACAATACCTCATCCACAGGGGCTGAGCCTGTAAATCGGGGACGTACGATTACCCCCATCTTCATAGATCTTCTTTACACAGAGGTTGACAAGAATGTGGAACTCACTGACATACGCAAAGACCCATGACTGCGCCGAAGTGGATTTCTCTTGTTGCACAGTGTCATGATCCCTTTGATGCCTCATCTCTGTCACAAAATCTTCCCAGAAGGGGAGGAAAATCAAGCACACGGGCCCACAATCCCACCATGTGTAAAACAACCTTTCGGAGGTGTAACAAGTTATACCATCTTGTCAGCCTGTCCTTGAATGACACCCCAGAACCGCTCCTTTATCGCTGACTGTTCCATACAGAAGCCAATGGCTTTGGGAAAAGTCTGTGGACCGCTATACCATTACACAAACTTAATATGAGAGCACAAGTCTTGCTGAAGCACAGATAAGGTCAGGTTAGTAAAAAAAAAGTACTTTAATTTCTATCCTATCCTTTGGGATTCATGAGCTTTTAGAAGAGAAAAAAGTTAAATGGAGGATAGAGGAGAAATATTTCAGATTTAATGTTTTAAAGCATCAAATGCGGGATGGGGGGGGGGGTTAGAGTTAAGGAAAACTAGAAATGGCGGGCAGGTACTCAACTCTATACAATTTACTATAATTACCTCAGAACTAAGTGGTAGGCAAGGTAAAAATGAATTTCCAGGCAGAATATTAAATATTAAATGAAATTTATCATCTGAAGAAAACAGTTAATGTGGTAAAACTACACCCCACCACAGAACATCAGGAATTTTATTAAAGGGGGTGGGGGGGGGGGGGGGGGGAAGAGAGCGGAGTGTAAAATAAATTATAAAAAAAGGCAGAAATTCTGCCGTTAGCACAAACATTTCAACTAGCACCAACTGAATACAACGCTAATACTGTGTTGCAAGCAAGGGTCAAGTGGCGAGGTTTATANTTTTTTATACATTTTTAATGCCCACCATTTATTCCTTCCCGTTACAATCCATTCCTGAAACCAATGATCCATATTGGGGATATAGCTTCACAGATAACGGCAGACCATATACCCAACATAAGCCTGACCCTGTCCTATCTCACTGACGGGACACAATATTCTCCCAATAGCTGTGCACATAAATTTTCAAATAGGCACCAAATGAACAATGCTCAGAGATCAAAAATGTGGCCTACACGTTTGCTGCCCTCCCTGACCAATCGACTAACGTGGCACCAACCGAGCATCATAACGGCGGCATTTATTCAGTGAGCATCAGGCAACACCGGTGTTGTCCATTTAATTAAAAGCAATTGTGGCGTTGCTCGTTGCCAAAAGAAATTCAGCCAAGGCTACTTTGAACTTTTCAGCACAATCCAGCAGAATATATAATCGTAGCATTTTTATGTGTTAAATAGATATTCGTGGGCTTTTTTTTTTTAACTGACAATATACTTTATTTAAAAGATACAGGCGATCAAAAGATCTAATAAAGCCGTGACATTGTGTGACTTGCTGGGATTTCTTCTAAAAAGGGCAGCTCGGGACATTAAGGATCTTGGTAGTGACAAGTCAAACTCTTTTGACAGTCTTAGGGAGTTCTCTCCAGTATCTTGGGATGATTCCACACCTAAATCAAACCGCTTAAATTGAAGTTTGGTCAAGTATTTTCTTTAGCCTCAACTTTTCAAAGACATTACAGGAAGAGGGAAAACCTACATTGCCGCTTGGCATGTTACTCCCCACATAATTACACATTTTTCATGTAACCATCGTAGCAAGCGCTTTACTTGGCAAAAAAAACATTTTTAAAACCTGTGTCCCGACTGTAAAGTCCTACTGTATTATTCAAACTTCAGAGAAACCCCTGAAGGTCATTTTGTCAAAAGAAATGGGAAAATATATTACAACCCACTGTATTACTATTTCAACAGCAAATGCAAAATGTTCAGCCAACAGTCAGGAACTAGGACATCATTCTAACAAAACAAATTCCCGCTTTTATTCATTTTATAGAATACTACAGTAAGGTAAACGTAGTGCCAGAAAGGTAGAAAGCAAATATTCTGCTAAAACATAGAAAACCTAGTCACTTATTCATGAATCTTTTAGAAACTGATCGAAACCCAATTCATAAAATTCCTGCACCAAAAGCATTTTCTGACTGTCCATTTTATTACTGGCCACAAGAAATGTGGAACATTTTCCTAGTCAAGGAGGGGTGTATAAGACTGATTAGACAGTTCTGTAATGCATTGGCAGCTCAAGGGCTGCTTGAGCCTTCTGTAAATAAACGTAATTCCTTGTGAAAACATTGTAAAGCCAATTAGTCTGCATCAAACTGAAACAAAATAAGTAAAATGATCAATGTGCTGAGCATTGGGGCACATTGCATTGAGCCTGACCTGCATGAGATGGGGTTTTGACGCTTGCCAAGCCCTCTGTTACCATCTAGTGGCATGTGAATGTGTTCCACGTGTAGTGCTGCTCAGAATTCATTATCCAAGCACATCGCCCTACATTTTCCAATGGTTTTGATCACGGCTTTTATATAAAGGCAGACATTAGAAAGTAAGTGGCCCAATGGGCGAGATTGCACTCCTTTCAACAATAATACCAAATCCAGCACTCAAATGGGATGGAAATTTCTCCCCGTCAGCTAAAAAGGGCCCCTAAAAACCATCGACAAAGAGCTAACCTAATTCAGAGACGCTACAAATAGCTGACGTGGGAAGCACAAAGGTTGCTGTACCTTTAGTCGAAAATGTTGGTGTTGCAATATTTTAGTAGTAAGAGAGTTTCTGTGGCAGTTGACCTCTGAGTGCCCAATATTGAAGCCAGCTGCTAAAGGTAGAAGATATTCCAGACATGTTGGAGATATTCTTCAGCTCAAGTAGCACAAGATTCACCAACATTGGAAAACTGTGCAGGAAGCCTGCAATCAGATTGTTTAATGTTAGTGGCCATCAAAGACTGACAAATTGTATTCGGTCAAATTGATAAATCAAAGGCTTTTGAGTTTAGTGATAACCTAAACTTAAAAGGGGTGTTAGAAGAAATATGCAACACAACGAAGTACTAAAAGAATTATATTTACTCATATCTCTGAGGTGATTCCCACCTCCCCCGAGCCCGTTGGCCTGAGAGGGAGAACAAAGTATGAACGAGTCAACGTTTTAGCAATTATTATACAGCTGATTTGCTATTTAATTTTTTCTAACAAAACCCCAACATTTTAAACTTTAACTTTATTTAAAATACTTGAACCTGTATGACAAGGGTGAAATACATGAAGGAATATTATACACGATCAAGCTTTTGCCCTTTAAATTTGTCCTAATTAATTTCAAACATGGATTCCATCTCTCTACAATAAAGCAAAAATGTTAGACTCTGAAGTACCTCAAAGCTAAAGCACTGTGGCACGTTTCTTCACTGGTTGACAGAGGCCCTGGGGAAACCTGGAAGAATAGAGCTCCCGTTTCACATGGGAGTTGAAGTGTTGTGAACTGCACTCTGGTGTCCCCAAATCTTGGCTCCTACCAACCTTATGCCTAATACTCTCTGAAATTAGATAAGACGTATGCATTGCACTCAGTGAGAGATTGTGCATTCCATTTCAGATACAGGCATATTCTAGGCTGCATACACGTGCGCAACTCAAGTCTGGTGTGATGGGTTTCCACGTGTCTGACCAAAAAGAAAATTGTTCTGAATTGCAAAACAACGTCAAAAATTATAAAGAGAAATCATGAGCGTCTTTCAGCTGCAGTTAGTCCTCCAATTAATATTTTAAATTAGCTGCTCAGAAACAACTTGGGCCATTTTGAATGGTATTTTTCAGTGACATTAAGAAAGCAGAATAACCTCAGCTTGTGGACACCTCAGTAATCAAAATATCTGTAAGAACACCTTTTATCCAAGTCTCTCTTTCCTCCTCCCCACTTCAAACTGTTGTTCAAAATCCCCAACTCACTAATAAGGACAAAGAAGGAACATATGCCATACACAATTAATATCTACTTAGCACAAAGGGATAGGCGTAAATATACTGTGCTAGAGTGGTTGGAGGAGGGTTGGTAGTCTCCATATTTTTACAAGATTCTGAGTGGGGAACAGACACTTTCCCATAGAGAGGGAAAAGTCAGGAGAATCATCAACAAACCACTTGTGTGAATGATCGTTTCAATAGACATATGTAGAGATAGAGGGGAAGAATTGTCTCAGAACGAAAAAGTCCAGCAGGATAAAGCAGAGAAACACCACCAAGCGGTACAGATGGCTTTTGTTCCCAATACAGTATTTATATATTAAACAGCATTTCAGATGAATATGTATACAGTATAATGCTCTTTATCTGCAAAGGGCACGGAAATTGAACACTGCCTTGAGAGTCCAAAACACTCTTGCGGGTACATGCAAAGTTGTGTGTAAGTTTTCTATGGAAGCTTTGATACCAGCTATGCGATCCAAGTAACCTTGTGTGCATGCACAAAACTAGGCACATGCACACTAATGTTTTTTTTTGCAGGTTGTGAAGTTAAATCTACACTTGCAGTATAGTTTAGGGTCAGAGAGAGAGAAGGCAGAGTGAGAAAGAGAGTAAAAGGGTCAAGAAAGTGGAAGAGAAAAGAGCTGACAGTGTGATATTTGATACTACATCAACTGTATAATGTCTGATGGAACGTCTTAGCACTGCAGGCAATTTGCATTTTGCTTGTTGACCAATTACCATTTTTTGCTCATCCGCAAAGCTGATGGTCCCAATTAGTTTGGGCAATCAATTAGCGCAGATAATCAGCTACCGTACTGTTTAAAGTTATGATTTTGGGGTGGTTAATGAAACTGGTTTGAAAACAGCTTAGATGAAGTTTTTTTTGAGGGTTCACCAATCCTCTTCACAGTTATGAAGTAAAGACTCAGAACTCAGTGGAGTGAGCGGACTCTGTGCATTGATGCTCTGATGTACAGTACCAGCTCTGACATTGTAATAATCAGCTGAATCCTATCTAGAAAAACACATCTAATATATTACAGATGTGAATAGCTAAGGTGACCATATGGTCCATATCTGCTTTTGTCAAATCCAAAGTAAGTGGAAGGCACTCGCGCACACAGCTGTGACATTGCAGAGCTCAATCAATCAGCAGATTATCACAGTTCATTCCCAACACTGCAGATGCCAAGTCAGGGTGGCTCTCAAGATCTGCCTCAAGTTTCCCACAATGGCCAGACAAGCGACTTTGAGTGGGAATCTGGAGGCACTTTCAGCCAACAGTTTCCCCAAAGCATCCCAATATTGTAAAAAGTAGAGGGTACAAAACATTGCAGAGCACCAAAATGTATCCACATGATAAGATATTAAATTAATAAACAGTATATGCTCACAATCTGCAGGCAGAGATATACATTCCCTTAAGTATTTAAGCTGGAGCTTCATCGAACAAAGAGCCCAAGAATTTCAACAAACTGATCCCTTGCATGGACTGCATGAACTCACCTTTGCTGGAATCTGATTACGCAGCCATGATAAAAGGTGCAAGAAGAGCCTGTGTTAAAAGGTTAGGGCATCAAGTGTGAATTTTAGAAATGTTGACTTAATTGACCTAGATTAGTAGTAACTGGGTTTTTTTTTTATGAAGCATTCCAATCGCCTCAACTGAAAAATCTCACCTTTTACAAAATATTAACAAATAGAAACGTTTTTATCTTTCTGGGTGTGTGGATCAAGTTCATCGCTAGCGATTTCACAGTAACCAAATGTGCTGCAATTTAGCTTTGCAGCCTTGTCTAGAGTTGGGTGATACTGAAAATTCTGGACCGTACAACACTCCAAATATTGCAATGTGGTATTCACAATAATTTCAATTCCTTTTTAGGAAACAAAGTATAAAATCAGAAACTTTTCAAAAATAAAGTTACTGTATCTTTACAACACAACTTTGCGATGTTAAACACTAACACAATAAATACAGTATCAATATTAATGCTAAATCACTGTCATTCATAATAGATTAATACCATATCGCTGCCCATCGCTAACCGTAGTGATACCAAAACAAAGACAAAAAAAAAACGTTGTACTTAGGATGATCAGAAACACATTGTGGATCGTTTGGCTCAATGCGTGACTTCATATTTTTTTAAAACAAGCATTTTAATGTCTAGCCTATATATGCCACCATGTCCCACACATTCTGAGTTTTAAAGATGGACCTCATATCTGGGAAATAAGTAAGTGGAATTTGCGGTTCCACCCACAAATATATGTCATTTATTTCTGAATGAAAACTTCTTGCATATAATCCCAATCTGAACAAAAATCTCTTGCTGTGTTGTACAGACCATTAAAACAAGAACAGAGAAACAGAAAGGTCTCTTTATAATGGTACATGAGTATATTACAGTAAATCCAAGCGTTTTGCTGGAGTTAAGGCCTCTGCACAAGGCCGAATGTGTGAAAAGTCTTCAGTTCTAGTTCACTTTCTAAAAACATCATTTTTTTTTGTTTTTAAAGTGTTGAAAAACTCTTTATATAAACCTTCATCAGCTTTTCATTTGCTCCCCCTTACACTAAATCCTCTTGAATGGAGGCCCAGTTTAGGCCAATAATTGGCAGAAATGATTAAACAGTCTGCCTCACCAATCACATGATAGGTACCCTAGGGTTTCGTCAGTCTCTGGCAGAGTTCATGACAAGGGTTACCAACTGTTAGCAGTACATCTGCATCCACAATGCTGCTACCAAGTTTAAAACAACAAAACAAAAAACAGGATTGCCAACTGCTTTAGAAAAGTCGACTGCCAGATTCCAGCTATCTGGTAGTGAAACCCGATTATACTATATTGTCCATAGATACACATCTGATGATTTAGTAGAAACCTCTCAAGGCTGTTGAAACTGCACTAATAAACACAGATGGCAGAAATGTCTGGCATCTTTTGTTTAGTGCACAAGATTTGAGTTTGTCTTTTTCTGGAAAACATTTAGTGCATGCTCGCAGCAGCTATGGCAAAAACTTCCTGGATTTCGCGCACCGTCAGGATTCGAGTCAACATCCTTTCCATGTGATCCTTGCCAATTGGCTGGGTAGAGTACCAAATCGGGCTGTTCGGTGCCACCACTGGCTCCGGCGTCAGATAAAAGGTATCATTCCTACCTTTCACGCTCTGGGGACTAAAGAAAATACTGGATTTGTAAATTGTACTCCCCAAGAAATACAAAAGACAAAGAACAAACAACTTCACATTCCCTCCTCTCAACTCACAGGATTTTCCCCAGAAGGTTCTCTGCTTTTAATAGCTACAACGATGAGCTAACAGGTGCATGAGAGCCACTTGAAGTGCTAGAGGTGCACTCCTGACATGAAAAGCGCTATACATTTGTCTTTGCACTGCCTTGTGTTCCCCTCCGATAATTCAATACATCTCACTCAGTTTATCAAGAAAGTTCAGCACAATTGATACATCAGGTCCATTAGCCTGCAGAAGAAACTCTCTTCCACTTTGCCATACGTTGTTGGCTGAACTCTGGCATTACTAAAACATATAAGGGGTTAAAATTCAAGGGTAAATGATACATAAGAACGGAAAAGGGAAAGGATGAAGGAAGCTAGCTTTGAAATCCAGAATACCAAAATCTACAAACACTGGAACAGAAAGACTGACAAGCTACCTTGTCCGTGCTTAGAAAAAGGATTTTGTATTTTATAACACCCATTAACATTAGAATGTCTAAAAAAAACCTCACATAAAGTGTTATTTTTAAATAAGGCAACTGTTTTTAATAGGTAAAAAGGGCCACAAGTAAACTCCGCAAACAGTTATAAGGTGAATAGCCATGTTATCTGGAGATTTGTTGGCCATCTGAAGCAAATCCCTTCTTTTTTGGAAACTTAATCATTGGATAAACAAATGCAAATTCTCACCATTTAAAGAGGTAGAAATCATAGAGCTTGATGGGACAACGCAGTGGATTCTCTGGGTTCTCGGACTGTTCTGCATACATATCATCCGTAACTGAAGAAATAAAAATTAGATTTTGCGGTCGTGATGCCCATCAGTTTTAAATCTCACCCCCATGGTATCTAGGTAATCACCAACATCATCATACTAAGTAAAATACACCCTAGGATATAGCACTGAGACATACCAACCAAGAGGGCTTTCATCCATATCAAAGGAATATGGTATCCTGTTAATCTTGCATTACCAGACAAACGTAACCATGATATTCAGTGTTCCCTCCACAGCAGTAATGACCCAAACATATCATCTAATGCCCTGTTCTAAACTCAGAAGGCCCTTCTAGCTATGTTGACATAAAACAAAGTACAAGTCAGGTAGGAAATATGCAAATGAATGCAACGAGTTGGGTCTTCTATCAATGCCATTTCTTTTCCCTCCCTCCAAAATATGTGAAGTCAGCAACAGTCTGTGTCTAGCAGGTGACTGTTCCAAAGATCCTGACCTTTTTGCCCTGTTGGGTGCAGACCAAGTGCCTTCAGATAGCGAATACTTGTGCTTTTGTCCTTGGGATTTACTGGGTTTTTCTTTGTCTGCCGAACTACCTTTGAGAAAGCCAACTTCATATGCTGCTCCACACTCTTCAACAGAAAGTACCTAAAAGGACACAGTAGTAATTACAGGGCTCTGAAAACAAAAAGCTCAGTGGCACGAAAGATTGTGTTCATCATCTCTCTTCTCCTCCCCCGCAACCCCCAAAATTAAATTATGGGGATTCAACTCGTAGGACTGGCTTGCACTCAGCCCACCCACCCAACCTTTGTGACTAACAGGTGGAGTATAAAATAGAAAATATTTTAATACAATCACAAAATTACATTTGTATAATGTCTTTCATGTTGGGAGGACATCCCACGGCGCTGGACAATCAGTGTTTCGGACCCGAGCTGGGGATCGGGATCGGTCGGGGTGGGAGACTGAAGGCACGGTCAAAGAAGAGTGTCTCGAGACGTGTCTTGAGGGAGGAAACAGGGGGGCGAAGCAGAGGGACTGCGGGATGGAGTTCCAGAGTGGAGGCAGAGGGATCACCCTGCCAATCGGGGCGGGCGAGGCGGGGGACATGAAGCAGGCCAGAGCCTGCTGAGCTGAGGGAATGGGCAGCTTGGTAGGGGGTTAGAAGGTTGCAGAGGTGAGGGCAGCAAGGCCATGGAGACAGTTATGAGGAGACAGTTCAACTACTCCTGCTTCATTGAACCTCCTGCCAGATGACCACATGTTAACTGCACCAGGAAATGCACACTACTCATCCTCACAGTTCTAAGGAAATCTTAAGGGGTTTCTTAACAAAGGAGACTGCTTCAGGAGAAACAGAATAGACTGAACAGTGAAAAAGAGTTGCTTCAGCTGAGAGATTGAAGATGTTTGGACACAGCAGAACACACTCCCAAAGACTTCAAAAGGGAACAGAGTGACTGGGAGAGAGCGGGAAGCAGAGAGAGAGGTGGTTTAAGGGAACAGCGGTAAACAACCACAAGCGTTACCATTTGCACTCTGATGCCTTCCACTATTCAAAACTCTTGAACCCCCTCACTGGTCTCTCTTCCTCACTATCATGGGCCTGACCATACTCTGTTAATCATCTGCTCTTCATCTCTGCTCACTGAACTCCTCAGCTCCTCAACTAAAGAAGCTACAGACCACCCAGGACTCTGCAGCCCATGGTTCTCTCCTGCACTCATTAACCCATCCTTCTTCGGCTCCACTTTCCCTAGTGGACAGAATTCAATATCCTTGTCCTTGTGTTCAAATCGCATCATGGCCTCGACACACACTACCCTCTGTGATCTCCTGAACCTCTGATTTACTGACACTCAGCTAACCACAGCCTTGGTGGGTGAGCTTTCAGCCATTCTGCCCCCGCTCTCTGGAATTCCATACAGAAATCTCTCCATCTTACCCTCTCCCTACCCATCTTTAAGGCCCGCCTTAAAACCCAACTTTTCGACTAAGCTTTTGGGTCAGCTATTCCACACCCTGCGCCAGCTCTGATGCCCAGTCAGCTGTGTAAAGCGTTTTGAGACATTCTCCCCACATGAAAGACTATGTAAATTAATGATGTTGTGAAAATAGCTTATTGAAGAACTCACTTTGTGTTGAAGAACATGAGCGTTGTAAGAAGTGTAGAAGGGGAGTGAGCACCAAGCTGTTTGCATTCCCATAGCATCTCCTCTGTGATGTGACTGGGGATCATGTAACCTGCTTAAAAAGAAACCTGTGCTCAGTAAGGGAACGAGTGCTGAAAGTCTACTAATTTAGAAAACCCAAAAGCTTAAGAATATAAAGCAAGTAATTCAGCACCTGAAAGAGTAACCTAGGTTAACATTTTAGGTGCATCTTCATTAGTTATGAAGAAGGGTCACATCAAATTATTCTAACCTATCTTTCTCAGTCAGATGCTGATTGACATGTTGAGTATTTCCATTTCTCTGGTGTTATTTGACATTTCCATCAGTTTTGCTTTATAACCTCTGTTCATTTCAAGCTGGGTGGAAATTTTCTGGATAGTTGCATATGTCCTGCAGTAGAGAAGCAGATTCCCTGCTGGAAATGCTTGAATATGCAAACAGTACAAATAACTAACATATTTTCATGAAATAAGTTTAAATTAGACTAAGGTATTAAACACTTTAAATTACATTTCTTGGTGAAAGAACCCTCAGAGAAAATGCTATCCCTTAGAAATGTATTTTCATTTGTCCTGCAGATATAGAGAATTCCACAGAACATTTCCAGAAATGTACACAGAAGGCATCAATGAATGACAAACACACAGTTATAGAAAGATGTTGTATGAAACATCCTATTTTGTTGCTTAAGGTTCCTGGTGTAAAGGAGATTTCAAGTTGCATGAAAATCAAGCTTTAAAAAAATCAAAAATGTATCTAAAAATCAGCATATAGATTTTGAATAAAAATTTACATGTACTAATCATTACAAATTGGTGACTACAATTTACACAAAAAAGCCTAAAAGATGTTAAAATATAATAGTTACTACTGAGCTTCGAATAATGTATTAGGTAGCACACTCTGGAAATGAACCGAATCAAAATATCAATACAACTTTCAATTCAGGCATTTTTCTTTAGAGAACAAAAATTAAACTGAAGAGTTTGAGTTTTATAAAACATGACAAAGTATTACAGACATAAGGCAGATCTTTCAGCACCATCAACAGTGTTACGAGTGTAAATCCCCATTTTACATGCATGACACATTGACTCAGCACTTCATTTAATTAAAAATAATAATGCTTGCCTGTCCCAAGATTTACTGTAATGTGTATTTTATACATACCGAGAGAGCTGATTTGAGGTTGCCAATCCTTCAACACATCATGCAACTTCTCAGTGAACCTTGTATAGTAGATATCTGAAAATATATCATCTACCCTGCCATTTTCAAAAAGGTACTGAAAAAGAAAACACAAAACTTTGAAAAACAATCAATTAGAATTGGACAAAAGAAAAAAAAAATCCTGAGTTGTTATACACGTTTTGTGGGCAAACACGGCAGCCAATCTCAACTCTATCCAAGTAACATGTTTGTCAAAATTGACAGTTTAAACTCAAATGTTCCTGGTTAAAATCAACTGCTGCAATTCCAACAGCTTTCCAATATAGAAATAATGGAGTAGCTTTCCAATAGGGAGAATTGAAAAAAATATATTTTTAAGTGCAGAAATGTTACAGATTCCTAAACTAACCGAGGACTAGTATTCCTGTGTGCTCAATTACACATCCCAAACCAAATTTGTCGGGTGTACCTTCTGTAAACAGAGGCATATGTAGTACAGCATATCAGGATCATACGCTTCTCCCTCCGGATTCCGAGCTTCCTTCAGCATTAGACAAAGTCCATAATTCAGTTCTGCAACCGCTGACGAGAGAAGGTCTTCTTGAAAACGCAATGGCTGACGCCCTTAGGAGGCAATCACACGTGCAATACGTTATGTAATTTAGAACTACTTTACTATAAATTCTCTTGAACTATATGTCACTAAAAATATACACCATCAACAACAACTTGCATTTATATAGCATCCTTCACGCGGAGAAGCGCCCCGGAGCGCTTGACAGTGGCAGGCCACTGAAGCAAGCCAGCCTCCCCACCCCTCAGATATAACAAATACACATCAGAATGTTAGTGAATACAACAGTCAACATTTATGGGCAATTGTACTTACTACCAATGGGAGCTGGCCTGTTTTCAGAATCTTTCTCAAATTCTGCATTCTTGGTTTGTGCCCAACTTTTCCAGATAGCAAGGCCTTCTTCTGGCTTCAAGGAGTTTGGCAAAAGCAATTCCGGTGGTGGTTGGGGCTGTGGCTCTTCCTCTGCTACCTGGACCGATTGAGCCTAATGTGGGGGGGAAAAAAACTAATCAATATATGTTTACAAGGACGATTTTAATAGACTACAACTATTTTCTGTCCATTAAATACCAACAGAAGTTCCATAAAACTACCTACTATAGTTATTTTAGAAGTTATGTGATTTGTTTTGTTTTGTCTTAAATAAATTAAAATAAATCCCTTAACTTGATATGGCACCTATCATATCAAACTGTTTCAAATGTGCAGTGATTTTTTTTGTGAGCAAATGCAGCAATCAATTAAGCGAATAACCAATTTTTATTTGGGAGATTGTTGGCCAGGACACCAGGAGAAACTCCGTTCACTTTTCGAATAGTGCCATGGGATCTTCAACATCTACCTGAACAGACAGACAGTCTCGGTTTAATGTCTCATCAGAAGGACGGCACCTCCAACAATGCAGCACACCCCAGCACTGCATTGGAGTATCATCCTCCACTATATGAGTTCCGAGTACAGATGTGGGGCTCGAACACACAACCTTCTTGCTCAGAGGCAAGAGTGCTACCAACTGAGCCAGGTTGGCACATGTAGAAGGATCTGAAGGCAAATAGTTTCACTAGGATCTTAGATAAAGTTCCTACATAGTAAATGCACTCTGAAATCGTGGAATTTTTTTTGCATAAATGATAATCTCCAGATAAGTAATCTTAAGTGTGAAGCAAAGCAATATATTCCTGCGCAAATCTTTAAACCAATATTAAGAGTGTTTCATACAGACAAAATACAAACAACTACATGATTATTATATCCCGTGAAGCGCTTTGAGACGTCTCAATGCAGTAATAAGGCGCTATATCAAATGCAAAGATTATTATTATTAGATGGTGAAAATCACATCCGTAGTTCTGCAACCCAAAACCCCTGTTAGCATGGAGACAGTATATTGAAAAAAATATTTTAAAAAGTTAGAAACCTGTTCAAAATGGCTAGCTAACCATTCACAATTCTTGCTGGCAGTAGTCATTGATAACCATTCACCACTGCTGCCTGTAGTAGTCAGCGAAGTGTCAAGCTGAACAGTTGAAGAGAGTCGCAAGGAAACAAGATAAGTGAAACACATTAACGTGACCCCCAAGCTTGAATTTTAAAAGTTTGTTGATTGTATGAGAGAAGTTATGAGATTTGGATCAATAAGAATTTCTCATAAGCCATCAATATATACCATAAAACGTGCAAAACCAAATAGAAAATAAAATATTTGAAATACTTATCACTGGGTTCAAAGAGACCCTCAGAAAAAGAAAAACACCTTCACAAGATGTTCATCCTTGACTTATATTGTTTTGAAAGGCAAAGTATGATACAGAAGAAAACAGGTGATGTTAGAAGACTGAATAAAGTAGCTCAGAATGAAAAACCGAACAAAATGAGTAACCTCATGGTGTTCAAGTCTTGTATATGTAGAAATACCTGCATTTATTCAAATTATCCAGGACAGAACCCAACTAAATATTCTCCTGATCAGTGCTAGCAAGTAGCCCACCCACCCTACCCAGAAAGAATCAATTCTACAATATCAAAAATACTACTTCCAAGGATAGATAATGTAACCCAGATCAAAATGAACGAGAATTTTCAGTCCAACCAGTTTTCTTCCTACCTGCAGCTGCTGCTGTGGTTGTTGTTGGTGCTGATGAGGGTCCCAGAGCTGGACTGATTGTGCCTGGGTCTGGTACGAGCCCCCCACGGCTTGCACTGCTACTGGAATATGGATGTTCCCATTCATGAACTGCGCAGGAAATATGGTGTTGGCCAATGTGTGAACCACCTCCTCGTGAGAGTTCTTCACCACGGAACCACACGTCACCAGCTTATCCTTATCATCCTCCAACTTCACAGTAGCCACTGTTGTAGGGGAACCACTGACATGAACTACATTATAGGCCTCCTGAGGGATAGCTACATGAGTGGCAGTCTGTTGTTGAATGTCAGTACGAGGTTGTGTAGAGTACACAGGGATGGTCCATGTCTCCCCACTTGGGCTGGTGATGGTACCAGCAGCTGTTGTATAGAGATGGCCACTGTCCACGGTTAAGAGATCAGGTCTGAGAGATACGTAACCTTGCTGTTGCCCCTGTGGGATAGCCAGTACTGTGGCTACTGGTTGCCCTGAAATAGTGTATGAAACTGTGATTGGCATGTCCACTTTGCGCTTCTTGACAGGTTGGAGGACATTAGAAGTGCTGGATCTCCTTTCCCCGTCACGAGGGGAGCCTTGCTGTTGAGGAGGAGGAGACAGTGTACCCACTGTCTGGATCTGAATCTGCTGTGTTTGGCCAGAGACGAGTTGAGCTTGGATCTGTTGGTGTTGAATATGTTCCTCTGTGATTTCTGAAGGCTGAACGTGCTGCACTGAGATTTGAGCTGCCTGGAGTTGGGAATTTGAGAGCTGCTGAACGGTGGTAGGACTGTGCATCGGCTGGATTTGTTGTGAAGACTGCTGTTGCTGAGTGGTTACCGGCTGCACTTGTACCTGAATTTGCTCAGACGTCTGATGAAGCTGGGGAGATAGCTGCTGTGTGGAAACATGCTGTGGTGACTGTTGCACCTGAACTTGAATCTGGAGATGGAAGGAGGGAAGCGAGAGCACATTTTCTGATTGCTTTGGTCGTAAAAATGCAAAGTTCTGTTTTAGAATTCATCTTATAATGTAGGCCAATGTGCAATTACTGTATACAGGAGTTGCATACGGCACAACTGTCATTCATTACAGGTCTGCTTAGAAACAACATTAAAAACGCTTCTCAGTTTGAGATCCAAATGCAATTACAAACCACTACTCAGTGCGAATTGGAAATTTTGAACAGAATACTTCTATAAACCTAAAACATTTCTGTTTGTTCCTAGAAAAGGTACAGTGGCAAGCAAATAATTCTGTTTCAGCAACTATTTGATGAGAATTGTTGACGTCTCTCCCACAGTTTCTCAACTCGCATTTACACTCGACATGTCTGGGTCAGGCAATCGCAGTTGTCATCCTACAGTTTGAAATGTACATTTCAATACCTTACCTGAATCTGCTGTGCCTGCTGTTGGATTTGCTCCTGCTGCTGTACGGTTGATGTTACAGGACATGCAAGCTCAAGCAGGGAGCCAGCCACTTCGGTGCTGTCTGTGTAGATACAGTTGCCACCCTGCTGATATACTGTCATGGTAGTCTGCTGGAACTCCTGAAGAGCTTCGGGTCCTTTTGCAGCCAATGATTCCAAGAACTCCTTCATTCTGTGCTGAGGGATAGTGCGTGCTTTCAGTCGAATGTACTCCTCAAATGACATGGTGTTATCTAGTGAGTTATTCATGTTTACAGTTTCTTCGAATGCCTAGGCAGAAAGTTTATTTTATTATTAAGAATATGTTTCACTTCTAATCTCTTCCATATTATACTTTGAAACTCTCAAAGACGTGATAAGGCGCTATGTCAAATGCAAGGATTATTTTTATCATTATACTTCCAAGAGTGCAGGGGATATCCAGCTTCCAGGACTGCTCTATACTGACAGTAGCAGTAAGAGAGCATGTCCATAGATTTCTTTCATTCAAATAAAGTACTATTATCTCAACAACAATAATTTACATTCATACATCACCTTTCTTTCGCTTTGGGAGGCTGACTTAAAGTGGGAAGGAGAGGTAAGTCGGAGGTACTCTAGTTGGAGTTCTAGTGTGGGTCAGAATAATTGAAAGCTCAGTAGGGCAGATATTTAGCAGAAAATGAAGAATTGTTAGCTGAGCGGAGGGAACAGCTGGGGCACAAGAGGAATGGAAGAAGGCCATGGAGGGACTGGAACTTGAGCATCTTGAATTTGATCCACTGGAGGATGGGGAGCCAGTGGGCTGAGTGACTATGGGAGCAATAGCCTCATGGAAGCTGGTATGGAGGAGGACACAAACTGGATGTTCTTGGATGGTCTTGTTTTTGGCCTCCAGGATAAGTAAGCTTTAGCCAGATCTGATGCTGGAATGAAGCCAGTTTTGAGCCATATGATTTCAATAGCACAAGCCTGGGACTTTAAGCAGCAGAGGTGAGTTATACTAGAGACATTTGAAGGGATAAGAGACAATTTGGGATGAGATGGCATAAAATTGACAGAGGAGTTAAGGTCATCGTAGGCAGATGGCCAGAGGCAGGAGTGCTCCTGTGCAGTTGTGGGGATTATTTTTTTCTAGGGGCAGCAAATGATGAGGGAGATAAGAGAAATGAACAAATGACCAGTTAAGGCTTTATTGGAGATGGAGAGAACTCAAGCGATTACCCGGGGAAGCGAGTGGGTGACCGTGTATGTAGGTGGGGGAGTTGATGTGGAGGATGAGGTTGATGAAGGAGAGGAAAATAGGAGGGAGATGTCCCGGAGAAACGAGGTATGGGGTAGAGTAGCAGTAATCAATGAAGATTTTGAGGGAAAATTGGAGGGATGGTAGTGTGAGATGCCCTCAAGGGCAGTTGATGGAATAAATTGCACAATCTAAATGTGCACCTACTATTTTCATCTTTGAACTTCCAAATTTCCTGCAGAATTCATGAATTTCCAGATACCTATATGGATGTGAACCCCTTAAGAGTTTCACATTGCTTCTATCCTCACTCAGAGATGCTACGAGAAGCATTTTCAAGATGTCAAGCCAATTGTCAAAGCTCCTTCCTGCAGCACAAAATAAACCCCCCACTTTGTAATGCTGGGTGTTGAACTGACTAAGAACATTCAGAGAGAATTGAAAAACCGTCAGCCATTGGCCTAGAATTACAACATCCCAACAGATCTGGACTGATTTGAACTATCTGAGAACTCCTGGCGAACACTGTTCTTGATTCTGAGATAACTAAATGCCTTCCGTTTGAACTGTCTTCACTCTTGTGGCATCAGGCACTGTCACCACAACAATAAGCCTGCATTGACACCCGCTGGAAAATAACTTTAAAAAATTTCCATGTACACAGAGTGCAAGTTCCAAAATAACCATTTTTAATAATTATTCCATTTGATATTGCACCTTGCATGCTGGGACGACATCTCAAATGCACTTCACAGAATTCACTGTAAACTGTAGGTGAATGCAGTGGTTCGGGGGTGGGGGGGGGGGGGTGGGGAATAGCGCAAGGCAGGGAAAGGGAGCAAAGAATGGACAACAACAACAGCAAGATTGCATTTATAGAACGCCTTTCATGTCAGAGCGCAAAAGGGGATACAAGGGCAAGGTAGGGGGAAGGAATGGATTCGAGGGCATCGCGGGGGGGGGGAAGGGGCGGGCAAGGGATGCAAAATGCAGAGGCAAATATATGTAAAGGCACAGAGGGGGGCAGGCAAGGGCACAGTTAGGGACAAGCAAGCAAGGGCACAAGCTGTTTGCCACATTAGCCTACAAATGAGGTCATACATTGCAGTAAACTCTGTGAGGCGTTGGGAGACCTTTTTGACAACGTGACGAGGCATCGTGTCAAGCGCAAGCATCGTTAACATCGCCGAGTGATAGGCGTGTGTGTGTGTGTGTGTGTGTGTGTAGTGGAGGGGTAAACGGATGCATTCCAAAAAACAGGGAAGTGAAAGAATTAATCCGTGGAGAGCAATGCAGTCGGAGGTGGTATGTGTGTGGAAGGGCGGAGAATCAGTGAGTGTGGAGGGAGGAGAAGGGGGAAATCAAAGGGGGGGGAGGGAGGCAGAGCCAAAGAGGTGAAAAGGGGGCAATCGCCTCGGTCGGTCCGCAAATACCGACCGCGAAAGCGCTGCAGGATGTCCCGGGCAGCGCGTCGAGACGTCTCAACAACGTGACAGGGCGCCACGTCAAATCAAATGCAAGGATTATTATTATTATTATTATCATCATCATTAATTTATTATCATCATTATTATAAATGCGCGGGAGCCTACCCCACCCCCTTCTCTCTACTTCCCCCCCCACCCCCTCCCCTCCTCACCCACCCCCTCTCCTCCCCCCACCCCCACTCCTCCCCCCCACCCCCAGCGCGCGCCGCCCGGACCCGATTCAAAACAAAAAAAAAAGCAGCCCCAACGGCCGCACCGACCGCGGGGGGTGGGGGGGAAGGCGCGCACAGCCCCGGGGGGGGGGTGGAGAGTGTGTGGGGGGGGTTGGGGTTGAGGGGCATTGCTTTGCTTTTATACCTCGTTCTGCATTGCCTATCTGTCTGCGCGCCAAAAGCCGGTCACACCGCGCACTCTCTCTCTCTCTCTCACACACACACGCGCGCGCGCGCACCAGAGTCAGGGTGAGGCCTACCATTCGCGGGGCCGCAGCACCGTTTGCGCTCTCTTTTTTTTCTCTCTTTTCTTTCTCTCTCCCGCTCCCGCCCACCGCCAACCACCCGCCCCCCGCCGCCCCCGCCGCCTCTTTTGTATGTTTAGCGGCCGAGCCCCGAGCCTCCCACCCGACCCGCTCAAGTCGTTCGCTTTTTACCTCAGCCCCGGGAACGTGCGGGCGGTCGTTCGCTCGCTCGTTCGTTCGCGCGCTCCTCGGCTCGGCTCGGGCTCGGGCCTGGCTGTCTGTCTGGGCCTGCAGGCCTGGGCCTCTGGTGTGTCAGGGCTGCCGCTCGTGAGGTAAAGTGCGGCCGCTCGGTCCTCGCTGCTGCTGCTGCTGCTGCCGCCGCCGCCGCCGCCGAGGGAGCGGGCGGCTGAGCTCCCGGTCCGGGGGGGTGCGGGTGCGGGCGCGCGCGCGTGTCTCTCGGTGCCCGGCCGCTCCGGGCCTCTCAGCCGCCAGGGTGTTCTCTCTCTCTCTCTCCTTTCCTTCCTTCCTTCTTTCTTTTTTTTTCTTTTCCTTCCCTCTCTCGCTCTCTCTCTCGCTCTCTCTTCTCTCGCGCGAACAATTTTCACGCCGCCGCCATTTTACAGCTCTCGGCCGCCGCGCGCCAATCAGCGCCGCCCTCCCGCCCGCCGCCAGATCTCGCGAGACTCCGCGGCCCCTCCCCCCCCCCGGACACGCCTTAAAGAGCCCCTGTCAGTCCCCCCCCCTCCCTGCAAAGTCACTCTGCAGATGGTGGTGATGGTCATCATCATCCTCCTCCTCCTCCTCACTGACCCGTGCATTGGAAGGGAACCCATGGCTACGGCCCACCCACCCACGCGCCGCGTCCGATAAAGCGCCCTCCTGGACCCCACCCCCACCCAGACGTCTCCGAGCGCTCTTGGCGGCCGCGGCCCGAGTGACCGACCGAATTACTATTATTCGGAGTCCTGTAGCTCAGTGGTTAGAGCACTCGCTTTGCGAGTGAGAGACCTGAGTTCAATTCCAGGCAGAGGGCGAAACCTCGGGCAAGTTTCCTTACTCCACACAGAGCCTAATAATAATCCCTCCAAAACCAACAACAATAATAAATTGGTCATTTTCAATCCACGACTGTTTGTGGGACATTGCTGTGCGCAATTGGCTGCCGCGTTCGCCCACAAATATACAGTCAATTCACTTTACAGTGTGTTCTGTGAAGCGCTTTGGGACATCCTCCCGACGTGAAAAGCGCTATATCAAATGCAAGGATTATTATTATTATTATTACTACAGGAGTCCTGTGGCTCGGCGGTTAAGAGTGCTCGCAAGCGAGAGACCCGAGTTCAATTCCAGGCAGGACACGGGGCGAATCCGTGGGCAAGTTTCCTGACCCCACACGCACAGAGCCCTAATAATAACCCCTCCCAAAAAAAAAACCCAAAACAATAATAAATTGGTCGTTTTCGATCCGCGACTGTTTGTGGGGCATCGCTGTGCGCAATCGGCAGCCGCGTTGGCCCACAAATATACAGTCAGTTCACTTTACAGTGTGCACTGTGAAGCGCTTTGGGACGTCCTCCCGACGTGAAAAGCGCTATGTCAAATGCGAGGATTATTATTATTGTTGTTGTTATCTGTTTTCGAAGGGATTGCTGCGCCCCCTCCCGTCGCGGGACAGCCATCCGTCCGGCACATCGACTCTGAGCCATTGTTCTCTTTTTGATCGCAGGTTCTTCTCGCGCCTGCAAAATGCGTTCACTGGAGTGCAGTTTGGAGCTGAACCAGTATACTTCCGACTCGGGAGGCCGGAGTTTTTCCGAACCGAGCCAGGATAACCCCAAAGATACACTCTCACATTTGTCCTTTAATAATAATAACACCTCTTGATTCAGGTTATTGCTCAGTAGGGTTAAGGCTGGAGGTAGTAGTTGTTGGAAACTCTGGAACAATCTCCCTCAATCCCTCTGCCTTTCTCACCCTCTCTTCCCCCCTTTTCAAGTCCTGCCTGAAAACCTTCCTCTTCGACCACGCTTATGGCCACCTCCGCCGCTGTTAAGTGCTCTTGAGACGCTGCCCTGTGTGAAGGGCGTTATGCATGTTGTTGTTGTTATGATCCATAACCAGCACAAGTAGCCAATTTCATTAAAAAAAAATTAACAGTTTGCAACTTTTGAGTCCCTTAGGTGAAGGTCTTTCTGCTGTCAGATAGATATGAAAGCAAACTCATCAGTGTTTCCTTTTTATCATTGAAGGATGATTAGTGCAGTCATATGTGGTCAGAGAAAACCAGGTTGTAATTGTTCTAACAGTTATCGTATAATGTAGAGCAGTGGACCACAAACCTTACCCATACACTTGCCTGTTTCTTGGTGAAATGTTTAGTCTTAGTGTTGAAAATAGTTACTAGGAAAAGTACAAACTGGAATACAATTACGAATGCAGACAATTTCTGATCTTTGTTGCTGTAGTTTATTTGCGGGTCAGAAATTGTTAACACAGCTGTTCATACAATCAAAAACTTTCGACAGCACAATCCAACAGTCCCTGACTGTAGTGCAGATGTGATTTGTCTAACACACTCCCACCTGACACTGCAATAGGCTTTCAGAAAATTCACCCCCATTTCAGAAATAATGAGAGCCTATACAGCTATCCTTAAATTCCATTGCTTCAATTAAAAGTAAACATTCCAATCATTAAAAACAATCAAAACGCTGATCTGGTGTGATAAATATATAGAAAATGTACGTCGGTCTTCACTAGAGTGCAAGCACTCTTGATTTATTGTGTGCTCGCACGTTTAAATAGAATTGCTGGTTGAAAAATATCTATTTTAAAAATAAAATAGAAATGATCTGAACATCTCATGATTACTTTTGCAAAGACTGCATGAAAGGACAATTTCTCTTCAGTACTTTGGCCAGCAGTACAAAAATCACAATGTTATTCTGATATTCTACTACAGCTGTAAATTTATAATATCAACACTGATGGCTAAAATACTAACGAAGAATGTAATAGCGACGAACATGAAGCTTTTATTAATTTCAGGATGTTTTCTTATCACAAACCTTTGTGGCTTCAGTAAACTGGTTCAACACAAAAGTGTTGGTAACTGACTTGGACAAGCAGGAGAATGAAGCACGAGGTAGAGACTTGGGTAGCACTTAAAACAGAATTAAATTACAAGTAGCGAAACCATTTAAGGCTGTTCGTGGTTATTATGAGGGACAAAAGTACAGGTCCAGGAATGCCTGTGTGCAAACGATTGGTGCCTTAGCTGATGAAATTTAGCCTCTGACACTGGATGTTTTTGTGAACTTATCGGACCTTTTGAAACGGCTCAAAACTAAACCAGAAGTGGGATCTGACGATATCAACGAGAAACTGCCTCCTGTTTTATAATGCAGAACATTTCTGACAAAAAACTGAGGCCCCTTCAGTGCACAATTTATTCCATAGTGGTTCAAGACAAACATGTATGCTTTGGCTACTTAAGCAAATGTGCATTTATTGCAGTAAATGCATTTAAGGGCAATTTGCCAACCTTCTACATTATGGCACAAACAGGACATTCCATAAGAGATAATGTAATGAGGCAGGAGAAAGAAATAATAGCAGCTGCAGCCAAATTCCAGGAATTCTGCAGCTAAAAAACTTAATGTGACAAATTCGCCCATTTTTTAATCCTTGAGGGCTTTAACAAGAATATCTGTGCCGTGGCATTGGAAGTAATCAGGAGTCAAGGAGTAGGGATCACTCCAAGCTTAATGCTGCTCTTCGGGGAGCCCTGGTAGCAACATCCCAAATGCGCTGTACTTTTCTTAAATATCTTGGAAGGCTTTATGGGTGTACTCTAGTATCCGGATCAACACAACTTACAGGTCGCTCCTTCCCAATCCTGCCTGAATTAGAGAAGGTTTTGTCAACCCATTCCCTAATAGCTGGGGTACTGTAGTACTGGATTTTACTAGCGTTGGCTTCAGTTAAGTTTGCGTTGTCGACCACGATTTAGTCGTCTAACGCGCAGGTATGGCCATTTTTGTGGATAATGATATATGCCCACGGTGTGGGTATCGAGGGCTCAAATATTATTCAGAACCGTTTTCCTCCTAGCTTTCGGGCAATGTAGTTACAGACCTGATCCTGCCTCCTCAGGTGGAACGCGAAGATGTGTGCTAGGGTCTCTCGAGAGCTACAGCCCCCATTGCACCATATGGGTCGGCCTCTTGCCTGCCTCTTGCCCCGCAACTTATGGTTACCTTTACCTTGCGTGTAGTCGATGTAGGATCGACCGGTTAGGACTCTCGAGCCTCCGGATATCCAATTTTGGTACCCTTTGACCAGATTGTTACTGGAGAGCCCTTTACCATCAACCAACTGATCGTGGCTGTCGAGCCCAGATATAATATGCAGTCCTGGCGCAATGAAGGGTCTCCCCCATGAAACCCTGTGCTTCTGATCCTTCCAGAACTCGTTTTCGAAAGGGATGGGAAGCTATTGTCTCTTGCATAATGGCGGATCTGGAGTTCTGTAATTTGTCGAATTGTTTAAGTATGAGGACATCGCCCCCAAACCAAACAATATTGTAATTTTGGCATCAGGCGGTGGATCCTTTGTTGCTGTTTCAGGGGAGTCTTTTGAGAGGTTTTGGATACCATGATCCAGAATTGACCCAATAGACTCCCCCTTCCCCTTATGGTGGAATTAATTCAAGGTACTGTATTTAAATTGACTTATTGCAGATAACAAAGTCGATGGTAAATTATTTACCAGAAATATTTGGGAAGCATCGACGAGATAGCATTTGTGCTTCCCGTCGATGACAATCGACAGCGTCTGTGATTTTGTAGTGTTTAATGTTAACCCTATATGTTCCAAGTTTTTCAAAAATGATTTAGCAGCCTCTGCAGCCCTGATGGTATGGATGCAAACAACAGGACGTGGCCAAAATGTTATGGAACCCTCTTGTAATTATTGAGGAGATAGTTATTATTCTGAATTGACCAGATTCAGCAGGGGAAGAAACCTTAGGGTAGTACGATTTACCCTGAAGGGCAACGGTAAGTATGAGTAAATTAACCAGAGGTTGAACATTTGATTCAGGTATTGGCAAGGCAGATCTCCCCCTCCCTGACTGGAAGCATAAGCTCCCAGACAACTGGGCTTGGGGACATCGGCCTGCCATCAGGGGTTAATCGTTTTTTCAAATAAATCAGCCCAGTAATGCTTGGTGTTTGTTGTTAGGGCCGAAGATGATTCTTGAACTTCCCATTTTCACCGCTGGTTGATGATAGTTATCATCAGTCAGAGATGTACATGAAGATTTTGAAGCCCTTCTCTCGTTTCCCCTGTTGAAGGCCATGCATAGATTAGCAAGCTTCATGAAGGCAGTAACTTTTAGAGGTAGCATTTCCTCTGTCATCCAATATGGAGACTTCCAATTATCCCCTTGTGCATAAAACTTTTTGTAAAGTAATTGAAACAAATACAAGACCAACAGCAAAATGTCACAAAATGGTACTTGATTGTTTCACACATTCAAAACAGGATCACAATATTATCAGTATCTGAGTCCATTAATTTTTCCACTTTTAGCTATCTTTGTGCAGAATTGCTTGGGATATACTTAAGACTTCCAATAATTAAGCTATTGTTTTAAGATTATGTCGATAGAGAAATAAAGGATTACTGTAGATTTCAGTTTATATGTGTTTAGGCATTTCCTCAAAATTCTACCTTGCCTCTTGGAAACGAGCTGAATTTACAAAGGCATTTGTGAACAGATGAAGAACGTTTTTGATACTTTAAATGTGTTTGCTGTGGTCTCATTTATTTCACATGCCTACAGTAGTATCCTGTTACAAGACACCCGCCCACAGAACCCACCCACCATCGTTAGATCACTTGTAAGGTGGATGCTGATTTCCCACCCGCTAAAAAATGGCCAACTTCTGGGTCATTACCATCACTTCCTCCACGATGCTCTATGTGCAGGAAGCGATGTCAGTGGCAGCCTAATGACCCCCAAAAGTTGGGGGTTCTTTTTTAGCGGAGAAAGCTGTATTTCTATTTCCATGGCCCATATCCCTCAATATCCTTTTCTGCACAAATGCAGTGTGCTGACCTGACCAGGTGCACTACTACCACCTTATAATGGTTCTTTTGTAGTTTGATGGAACGCGAAAGAATAAAGGTATCTCGATTAAAAACAAAATAAATCCCAAATATTTGCAGTTGTCTCACAGCGCCAGATCTCACGATCAAAGCTCAGATCTTGCCCGGATCCTCTTTCAGCGTCACTGTCCTGTTAAACACCAACTAAATAGAGAAGAAACAAAAGTTAAATAGCAGACAAGGTTGAATTTCTCACACATACACAACTGCAATTTAAGCAAGTTACAGGGACATGGACTCTGAATCACATCTACAAGCCGAAGTTAACGCCACAGTCACAGCAGGTACTATCACACTGGGATACAGTGTAGAGGCAGAAGACTGGCACTTTGGAGTAGTGACACTAGAAGGTGCATTTACATGGGAATTATTGCAAGATTTCACTATGTTGCAGAGAACTAATTCAAACTTGTACAGAATTTCCTTGAAGTCAGAGGTAGGGTGAGGGTAGGGTCACTCATTCCAACTGAAGTGCAGGATCCAGTTTGTTCCTCCCCACTCCCCTCTCCATTTTCACATCTGACAGGGGCATTCAGAAAATTGAACAGATCCTAATAGGAACAGGAGTACTCCATTCAGCCCCTTGAGCCTGTTCCGCTATTCTACAAGATCATGGCTGATCCGTATCTCCAATTACCCGCCTTTTGCCCGATAGCCCTTGATACCTTAACCTATCAAAAATCTATCCACTTCCCAACTAGATCAGCAACAAGCATGAATGAACAGATTTATTAACAAGCCCTGCATTAAAATCACATTAAATGGAAAGTGATTCTGATCAGTTTGTTGCCATCAGTAACATGCATTATCTGACTTACTATGTGGGAGTTGGATTACATATATACCTGAAGTTGGGGTCTCTTTTCCCCCCACCCCGCAAAAAAAAAAAAGGCCAATTGGAATCTTAAGGCTCCAATTGTAACTTTCCATCGCAGTGTTTACTGGAAGAGAAATTAATATCACGGACATCAAGCCAGTAGGTATTCGAATCATTGTTCGAGATAAAAATCACACCCACCTTTGCGCCTGTGCTGTCTGGATCCACAGAGAAGTACCCAATCCTCTCAAACTGGAACTTATCAAATGGCTTAGCATCTTTGATAGATACATCCACCAGAGCATCCTCAATTATTTTCATGGAATTCTAAGTTGAGACAATAACAGTAAATTATTTGTCAGAGAGACAGACGTGCCTCTTTCAGAATGCTCACCAACTGGGTTAAGACTGTCAGAACTCATTTTGCACAGGACCCTCACTGCCAACAGACTTACACCTTCCATTTGAGGCACTCTTTCAATGCAATGTATTATAAAGATTTATGTCTATAAGTCGCAGAATTCCATTGAAGACCAACGCATCAACTTTTTTTAAAAAGCGAATTTTAAGAACGCTCTCTCAAAATGCACTTATAACTGTAACTGGTCATAAAATTACATTTTAAATCAAGTAAGACTTAAGCCTGGGAACAAAGGACAAAACTTTCCTCTCTCTATAGATAACTCCTGACTGCTGAGTGTTCCCAGTGACTTCTGGTTTTATTTCAAGAGTTAAGACTGACCCTGATCCAGTCATCTCCTTGGCCCATTCAGCCATTGTTTGAGCTGAAGAGTGGAATCCAAGGCAAGAGGAGGGAATACAAGTGGAAATCCAGCTTTTACCCTGAAGTTAAATGTACTCACAGGGTTAATGTCTGTCAAGAAGCCACCTGGCACCTCACTGGGGTCCTCGGGAGTTTTGTGCAGGAAGCTGTACAAATATAAACATGTTAAAAGTCAGCATCTTAATTTGGGCAATATCAAAACATGAACAGAAAAAAAGTAGTACTCAACTATTAAAAAAGTACAAATAATAATAATCCTTGCACTTGATATAGCACCTTATCACCTTATCGAGACATCTCAAAGCGCTTCACAGAATATACTGTAAAGTGAATTGACTATATATTCTGCGAAGTACAAAGTGATACAAAGCATGGAACATTTGCTTTTATTTCACTCTCAGCTTTTCGCTTAGTCACCAAATCTTCTCCAAAGCTGGAGTTATATTCCGAAAGTATTTAAACATGCACCATAAATGGGCTGTTCTTGCGAGGTAGAACATTTTATCTGCTCTCACCTAAAAGCTGAGATTGCAGGAATTGGGGCGGGTGTGGGGGAGAAAAAGAATAAAAGGGAGAGAGAAAAAGCAGGAAAGCTGTACTCAACATCCAGGATTTAGCAACTGCAACCAAAAAAAGAGAGTATTGGAAGCAAGCTGATGGCTTTAACTGAACTATTTATAAATTAATTGGTGTAAGGTAAGTGTGAAATCAAATTGTCACTGAGGAAATGCAAATGTGATAACATTGTCTGGAATCCTCCTCCAAAACAATTTACATTTTGTGAGTTGACGTTTGAAAGTTACAGTGCGAGGAAAACCAGTGCTGGCTTCGTAACTGCCTTTAGTCCCAGTAATCAGACTAGAACCAGGTTACCCTCTTAACATTATGACCCCTCACCTCTCCCAAGTGCCCATATTAACTTTGCAAACAACTCACAGTCGCTCATAGAGCCTTAGCTCACAGGACGCGGGATTGGACACCCAGTGGATAAAGGCCTTCGGTTTTTCTCCTGCTTCTGATTTTTGACACGTGACCTCCAGCTCCACCAGCTTGCCATTCTTGTTCTGTGGATGTAAAGTAATATCAGCGCATTCAAAGGGAGAGGCAGAAAAAAACATTTTCTTTCAATATAATCAGGGTAGCCAGGAAACCCAAGATGTTATCCAAGTGCGGCAACCCTCAAACTGTGAGCTTCGAGAGATTCCCGTGGGATTGACCGAAAAGCAGTCAGGACCTGCCGCACCGTGGCCAGCCAATCACAACCGTGATGAAATACTTGCGTCAGTCTGTCAACACTCTCTCTCTCTTCTCCAGAAGCTTCCAACTTAACGCCTACTCAAGAAAACACATTCGGTTGACAATCGTTCACTCAAACCAATCTGATGAAGACCGACACTTACCCGAATGAGGTTGTGGACAGAGATGACGTAGCCAGCGTGCCTCAGTCCCACCGGCTGCTCGGGAGTGAGCCTCTTGTAGCCCTTCTCCATCACCTGCACACAAACACTGGGAGATGAATAGTGTTCACGTCACTGGGAATGGATGGCACAGTGCGGAATGTGCATCCGGGGCCCCATCGCCACTGCCATTGGTGGCCGCACTTTCAACCACTACACCCCAAAACTCTGGAACACTCTTCCTCTAACCCTCTGCTTGCCCCTTCCTTCCCCATCTTCAGTTTGCACCTGAAGATCTTCCTCTTCACCCATGCCTACAGTCACCTCTCCCTTGCCCTCGGCTTGGCGTTGTGCTCCACCACTGCCAACTACTCTGGGACGCTATCCTGTGGGAGGGCTGCTGTATAAATACAAGTTGCTGTTGTTGCCTGTGGGCTTTACCCTCCAACCGGGTAACATACAGAAACACTGAGAGGAATCCACGCTCTTCAAATTGTCTTCGCTTCCTCACAATAACCCTTTCGAAGAAACGCCCTGTTCGAAGTATTTATTTCTCCCTTCTCTACCCCGTCACGCCACATTCCTTAAACCTACAAGAAAACAAAGTCTAAAGCTAACCATGTTAATAATAATGGAGTGGGATCATACCTCTCGGAAATCAGACTGCTCGATGTAGATCGTGGTGGACATCAGCACTTTGTGAGATCCTTTACTTTCATCTGCTGGGAAGTTTGGAACGGTTACCTCTACAGGCTGCAAAAAATATAGCCCCATTACTGGAGAGATAGAATGAGGACACACCCTACATATTTGGTATGCACCACTCAACTTCAGCAAGTACAACACACACACACACACACAAAATGAGCTGCAGTAATAAGTGGGCAACCTCGCAGAAGCAGAGTGTCTAATTTCAGAGAAGAGGGGAAAAGAATAAGGACTGGTGAAAGGTGTGAAGAGCTCTGGCACTGTCAGAACTTGCAAGTGAAAACTACCTCATGGGAAGAGTTGGAAGGAGAATTTCTTGGGCAACGTGTCGATTTTGTCTCCGTACCTTTCTTCTCCTAAAAAGTATCGACTCGTGCAGGTTCTGGACTCAAATATCGTATCAGCCATTTTTCATACGAGAGCCTGGACAGTATTATCAACTATGTACCTACGGAGAGTTTCATTGATGAACCTAATCAGGCCCACACATGCACTTCAAGCAGGAATCATTGGATAGGGACTGTTGATGGTAGCACTGACTGCTCATTAATACTAGGATGAAATCTGGGAATTCTAGCCAGTGTATAAAAAAGTACAGCAGCAAATTAGCAAGAGAAAGATGCTGTTTACAGCAGTGAAACACCAATATTGGGGAGCAGTGAATATATTTCCAATACAGTGAAAACACTGGCACTGGTTTACTGGAACTACATGGTTGATCAAACCAGATAGCCTACTTAGAACATGGTTTCCATGGCTACATCCATACTGATCATCTGAGTGCTGCAGGCTGGGTGAAACTAACACAGTGCGAATGCTTCAGGGGCATATTTCATGATTATAATCTATGGTTATGCGTCAAGATGTGGGGTTCACATTTGTACAAACTATTCACGTCAGCGTCGGAGAGATTCACATCAACAGGAACGGAACATGAACAATGCCAGTGCCATCACTGAGAGCGCTGACTGTATAGAAATGATTAGACACTGCCACACAATAAGGCAACATCGACATTACCTCGTCAAACGGGAAGTTTGTAATTGTAACCTTCAACGGCTCCGTAACAGCCATGATTCTGGGTGCCACGTCATTCAGAACATCCCGGACGCACGCCTCTAGCAAATGGGGTTCCATTGTGGTCTGGGCCACTGTAACGCCCACCTGTGAGCATTGAGAAACACCCACAATCAGCCCACAGATCAGTGAGTAACAATTTATTTCATCAGTACAGTGAGCTGAACAGAGCTGGAAATATTACCATTCATTGTACACGGCTGCATCATTCAGTACAAGAACCGTACGACTGGGAGTTTGGTGAAGTCCTAACTGTTGTGTTGGAACACAAATGAGGCAGAGCGACTGTTTATCTAACTTTGATCTTTCAGTTGAACCCCCAAAGTCAATTAATGTATGAAACCCTGCTGCCCATATTGGACCCATCTGCCAGTATTCACTGACTTATGGGCGAGGAGGGGGACCCATGTTCCATGGTGCAGCTTGGTTTCCTGGAAAATTGGCCAAGAAGTGTCACATAACTGACCAACGGTCCTTGTATAAATTATACCATCTTCACATCCATAGCTGGTGCTAAATATGTAAATTACAGCAATTTAGAGTATATCCAAACCTCTCTCCCCCTCCCCCCAATAATTTGTCTCAGTTTCTCCTAAAAGTGTTTTGGTTTGTACCTGGTTACCGTTTCACAGGTATCGTTTGCACTCCGGTGCTTCCTGTGGTACATTTTAACAAACAAGAAACAACCTTCACCTTTGCACAGAAGTTGTTGATGGCCTCTGGAGGAAAGCCTCTTCTGCGGAGAGCAGTCAATGTAAACAAGCGTGGATCATCCCAATCCCTGGAGAGTGAGGAGGAGGAGGAAAGTAAAAAATAAGATTCTGGAGGCCAGCAAAACAAAATATTTTAGGACTGCACAAAGAACCGAAAATGCCAGAAAATTGCGATTGGAAATCTCGACTACAGCTGAATTATCGACAATTAAAAGATTCAGTGACTGCTGCTGTCAAGCAGAACAGTTCCATCGTCTATATGTACGGATACATTTGCTTATAACTGGCGTTTCGCCCACAAAATACACAGTCAATTCACTTTACAGTATATTCTGTGAAGTGCTTCAGGACTTCTCGAAGACCTGAATATGCGCTATAAATATCAAATTATTATTAATCCTTGCATTTGCATTATTTGTTTTGCATCATTAACAGCTCTTTAACCCATCATCCCCTGCCCTCCACCCCATTTTCTCCTTTGTCTTTCTTGCCCTGCCCTCCCCTCTCTGTTAGTCCTTAAAATCTCTCCCTCCCAACATCCCCCAGTTCTGATGAAGGTTCATGGACTCAAAATGTTGACCCACTTTCCATTCTCCATAGATGCTGCCTGACTTGCTGAGCGTTCCCAGCGATCTGTTTTTGTTTCAGATTTCCAGCGTCTGGAAGTGTTTTGCTTTTTTTTTAAATTATTGAATATAAGTTACTTTTTAAAGATTATATTTCACTTTAGGTCACTCCCATTATACGCCATATTACATCCTAGTGGAGATGGTGAGCAAATGATTCCATAAAATGTCTAAATCCTGTCAGAAAAGAGAATGAGGTAAATGCATAAGGCACCTACCTGACGGCACCCATCTCAACCAGTTTGATGATTTTCCTCTTCGATACCACAGTGTAATGGAGGTTCAAGCGACCATATTCCCACTGCACGGGGCAGTACACGTCCAGAGCATTACACAGCCAGTAGTAAGAGGAGCGTCTGCACAGAATAAAGTTACCGTTTAAAGGATCAGACCAGTTAAAAGTTCACACCGATGATTAAATTCCCAGGAACCATTTCCTGGCATTAATTTAATTTCTGTGTAAAAACACGAAGTAATTATTTTACTCCCACACTTCATACTGCGATAGTACAATTGGATATGAAACTTGGCAGCCAGGGGAAATATCAAAGAGTTATTGGCGGCTGTGGAACTGTTCCCTGGCACTGCTCAGTGTCTTAACACACTGAGAAAACTGGCAATAGTATCAGCGAGATACTGCAATATCATGGGTTGATTAACTAAAAGCACTTGGTCAAGGCTGAGATGCAAACGTGGAGTCCTGTAGCTCAGTGGTTAGAGCACTCGCTTTGCAAGCGAGAGACCTGAGTTCAATTCCCGGCAGAGGGCGAAACCTTGGGCAAGTTTCCTTACACCACACGCCTGATAATAATCCCTTCAAAACAAAAAACAATAATAAATTGGTCATTTTCAATCTACGACTGTTTGTGGGACATTGCTGTGCGCAATTGGCTGCCGCGTTCACCCACAAATATACAGTCAATTCACTTTACAGTGTGTTCTGTGAAGAGCTTTGGGACGTCCTCCCGACGTGAAAAGCGCTCTATCAAATGCAAGGATTATTATTATTATTATAAACCCACGACCATACCTTCACAAAGGAAGTGTACTACTTAAGTGCAGTAATGACCACTTGATTTTTGATTTCTTATGTCTGAAATCATTCCTTGTGGACAGTTAGTTACCTCCACCAGAGAGCAGGTAAGTGAGTGAGAAGCCACGGACAGCCTGTGCCAATAGTCACCATAATCTACCACAGTAGGGAGTGTGAACTCTGAAAAAGGAGATTAACCAGTTCTGCTACAACTTGCAAAGTGGTATAAAATATAGTCATATAAACTTTACAGTTTATTCTATAAAGCGCTTTGAGATGTCTCAAAGACGTGATAAGGTGCTATATCAAATGCAAGGATTATTGCTACTATTATTGGAAACCTACGAGGAGAAATGGGAGACATCAACATAGCAATTAAATATTCACTTTCTGATAGAATTCAATGTCATTTGGGAAGAAACGTCCCAAGAGCTTTGGACAACAATGGCTCACCTCGCCTGGAATTCTTTGGTGCACAGGGAGTGTGTGATGTTTTCGATGGAGTCACATAAACAATGGGTGTAGTCATATGTTGGGTATATACACCTGAAAAATGTCAAGCCGGTATAACGACAAACTTCAGAGAAGTAACACTTCGGAGAAAGAACAACAGTCTACGGTTTTGAATATGAAATAAATGATAACGCATTGGTTCCTTTGATGGAGAAAAGTTATAAATATTTATCTAACCCTGCTTTGCCACTGAAGGCGACCTGTACGAATTTTCACTGCAAACACTCAAGGCAGACACAACTGAGTGAGCTACAGATAATCAAGCACCCTCTTTGAATGAATAAGCCTTTTGTAGTTTAAGAGAACGAGATCTAGAGTGCCAGTGGGAAACAAATCAATCTAAAAGGCACAGGTTTGTTTGGTCAGGCAATTGAATGCAGAATTCAGTGTTTAACGTCTTTTATACTAGGCACAGAAATCCAAGCAATAATGCTATCTGGGAAAGTGTTCCATGGATATCAGGAGAAACAAGTGAAGTTTGTTACTATGCGCAGACTTTTTGAATTGATCGACTAAAAGTTCAATCTAACCACATTAGTAAAATACTGTCCTCAGATGACTTCTGATGACATTTACAGTTTAATTTTTTCTGGTAAATTACCATTTATAATAATAATAATAACCATTTATCACCAGTCCTGTGGTGGGGTGTGTATTTGATTCTGTACGCCACTGGATCCATCTTCCCATCCTCCATAATTAACTTCATACGAAGTGTCATCTCTCCTTCGGCAAACTTCCCTTTCCGCATTCCCTGAGACACAAAAAGAATTCCTCTCAGCCCTGTGCCAGTTTCGCCAAACCGCAATAATACAAAATAATAATAATAATAATCCTTGCTTTTGGAATAACGCCATATCATGTCTTCGAGACGGCTCAAAGCGCAAAATAAACTGTAAAGTGAATTGACTGTATATTTTCTGGGCGAAACACAAGAGCCAACTGCGCACAGCAGCGTCCCACAAACAGCTGTGGATCGAGTGACCACATTTTTTTTGAGGGATTATTACAACAACAAGATTGCATTTATAGAGCGCCTTTCGGGAGGACAGTTGGGTCAGGACCCGAGCATGGGGGAAATGGTCAGGGTGAGGGAAGGAAAGGGAGGGAGCGAGGAAGGGGTAGAGAGTCAAGAGGGGAGCTGAAGGCATGGCTGAAGAGAAGCGATCCCCCAGAAAAGCGATCCACCAATCGACTAACAACCGGGTTCCTACTTACTGCTAGGTAAACAGGGGCGTATAGAGTAAGGAAAGTTGCCCAAGGTTTCGCCATGACCGGGAATCAAACCCAGGTGCTCTCACTTTGCGAGGCGAGTGCTCTAACCACTAAACTACAGAACTCCACATTGATGTCATTCCAAACATCTTTGGTCATTTCTAACAGAACACTGGCACTTAGTAGCTAGCAGAGGTCTTCAAAGGACTGCCATTTCTCACGTCACACAAATGTTACCTCAAATAAAAGCAGAGATTCCTCGATCGGTCGATTCCTCCATGGGGACGGGGGTGGGTTGTGTCCTTTGATCTCATCTACTTTTTGGTGGCACACGTACGCGTGACCTCTGAGGGAGTCAAAAAAAGGTTTGCATAACAGAGAGGATATTGTAAATGCTGCAGTACAAAGTTATACAGAACAAATCGCTCACAACATTAGACCTGTGGTGAAAATACCCATTTTCAAGACAGCATTTCAACAGTAAAGTAACAATAAATGTTTGCCTCTGATATCTGGTGCAGCAGTGAAGCAGTATAATGTAGTGTCACTGCTGCAGTGTCAATCCCAGGTATCAAACTCAAATGACAGAAACCGCAATGGCTAATTCAGCCCTGCTACTCACAGCCCCAAAGCACCCAGTTTTATTAATCTGCGGCTGGAGTTTTAACTGCACACACCTTCTGGTCAGTTCCATTGCCCACTTGTACAGCTGTTGAAAATTGTCAGATGCATGGGTCACTGCATACGGTGAATAACCTTTGAATAATAAAATGATTTGGTTAACCGGAGAGGATGGAGGTCATCACCTCACACCTACGTTGACAAATCTAACACTGTCCATTTGATCTAAAGTGCTGACTGTTTTGCATGTTAATCCCTACAGTTTTAATATTTCCAATCAGAAAAGCTTATCTTCCAAAAAAAAGTTAACTCCACTTTCCCTTTATCAGATCATATGGGTGGTATTATCCTGGAGCACAGCAGGTTATAGCAACTGTAACAGACCCAGATTAGCTTGAAGAAAATGCTACAACAGCATTGAAGGGAACCAGTCCGCTTAGATGAGCCAGGGGTTCAGTCAATCAATCAGGGGTTTTACTCATGATGATCATCAAGCTTTCCCTACTGGAGGTGGGTGGATATGGGAGGTGACCACAGGATCATGCTCATCTATACCATCCTTCGTGCTTGGAATATCCTGCTGATATTCACTGTCTAACGCACAATGTATTACTTCTTGAATAATGTATCATGTGAAGAATCACCCCAGAAGAAGAGAGTCAGACTTTCAAGGGAAGGGGTAGGGAGATCTCACCAGTGCCAAACAATAATAAAATATCTGCGCACCCAATAAAATTAATGAATTACTGTAAAATATGAAGCACTTAGTGGACAGCTTCCCTGTAAGTCTTTTTATCGTATGTACCAGGCCTATAAATATTGTAGGTCCGTCACAAAACTCACCCAACCACTCGACCATTTCCTTGATGCCTCGGAAGTACTTCTCTTCTTCTTTCTCTGGGTTTGTATCATCGTAGCGAAGGAAGCAGATGCCATTGTTTGCCTGAGATTAAAAGAGTTTTGCTTTTAAAAATATGTCCAGTAGTCCACAGCTTTTTGACTGTTTCAGACAGTTAACTTTGATGGGCTGAATGCAGTCTATATCAACTGCTGCTCCCTCCACTCAGCAGGCTCTGGTCTGCTACACTTGTCAGATGCAGACCAAGAGCTCAGTCCTACTCCCAAGGACCAGTAAATCTTACTCTCCCCCTGACTTCATTCAAGTTTCGCCCACAAATTATAGTCAATTCACTTTACAGTATATTCTGTGAAGCGCTTTGAGATGTCTTGAAGACGTGATAAGGAGAGTTATATAAAGTGCAAGGATTATTCTTATTACCTTGGCAAAGCCAAAATTGAAATTGATGGCCTTTGCATGACCGATGTGGAGAATCCCATTGGGCTCTGGGGGAAAACGAGATCGCACCTGAGGAAGAGAGAAAAAAAAGCTTTCAGAAAGCCACCATTAAGCACTGCGACAGAGCACTTTGTTTATATGAAGCGCAATAAATGTCTTTAACGACCCATTAAAGAACTGTAAGTTCAATCTAGACATATTTTAGCAGCTTGTCAAAAAAAGCAAAACAACAGGAAGTGAAACACTTACAAAAAGTCAATCGCAATTGATTTTTATTCTTTTTAACCAGTGGGTAAAGCCACTGCCTGTTACTGAACTGGGCCATACAGATGAGAAGGCTGTGGGATCTAATCCTGGTCTGTGCCAAATTGGCTAATTTCAACAGGATCAGCAGTTGGTCGCTGCAATTAACCTGAGCCGCAGTATCTTGTGGGTCAAAGACCAACAGAAGCTTAAGTCCCCAATTGAAGTGAAGTCCCCACTTGAGGAGATCTGGACACAGTCTGACTTGGTAATAAAACAGTCATCACAGAATGAATACGGTACAGATCCACTGGCTGAGTTTCTACGCAAACTGTGCTCCGAGTAGTCACGTCTTCCTTTAGGTGTGTGTGCGCATAGAAACTGTTTCCCTGCAAAGCTGTGTCGGCTGGTGTGATCCTGATCGGTGAAGATTGTGCAAGTTATACAATATCCCGCTGTCAAAGTATGACACCGAGGGTAGTTAAGAGCAGACCACCAACTATAAGAGGTGGTGATGTGAGGGAGGGGATAAGAAACAGGGACAGAAGACGGGGACGAAATAGAGAAACCAACACACCTGTCCTGCAGTCATTTCCAGATGCATCTTTAGAAGGCTCATTGTATTTTGAGTGACGACATAACCTTCCGTCTTGAAATTTTCACCTTTTTTAAAAAAATACACCCAACATTAATTTACCTCATTCTGCTGTAATAGGCCCAGTTGGTAGCACTCCAAGCCAGAAGGTTGTGGGTTTAGCTCACAGAATAGGCTAGCATTGTTACATTATTTTATAAGAACACAGGTTAAGTCAGTCAGAAATTATCTTGTTTTTATTTAGATGAGTCAGAAATGATAAATGGCTAGAGAGGTGAGTGGACTTCACCTACGGATTCAAATCCCACCCAGACTGACTGTCTCAGAATATGTACGAAGTGAAGGGTCATTGACAGTTAGTGAGTTCACAGGCCTTTGAAACTGTTTTCTGTGGGCAAACCTGCAAATAAGGAAATTGGAAGCATCTTTTCTTTCTCGGGCAGAGAGCCAGCCAGCCAAGCCTTTCATCAGCTTAACAGGCCATGGTGCAGACATACCTTTGTACTCTGCAGACCACTTTTGTCGGATCGTCTCAAACATTTCAAACGTAAAATTGGTAAGCTAATAATACAAGGCAAGAAGGGCTGCCAGTCTGTCAGGTATTGAAAAGGTCGTCTTGATGTCTAATTCTTGGGGATTGAAACGAAAAGTCTAATTTCTCTCAAATTCAGGCGCTCATGATTTGTGCCAGCCTAATAACGAGTCTTTCCACATCAGTGACTGCAGAAATATCTCTGATATTGCCACAGAGAAAAGAAGCTGTCACCTTATCTGAAGGCACACACATAGCAGCCTGTCAAGGTTCTAAAGGCATATACCGCTGTGATTCCGTTGGATTTAACAATTCCATTGTAACTTAGCCCGACTGTGGAAGGTAATTCTTACCAGGTTTATGGAATTTCAAAGCTTCACCTCTTAACTGCTCCATCAGGGAGGCAGATTCCAGGTTCACCTCACCTGCGGGTTGGGAGGGGTGAAGGAGTGGTGGGGGTGGGGGGAGAAGGAAGAAAAGAAACCCTTTTATATTCAAAGTAACCTAACAAATGTCATCATAGTAAATCTCCAATGCCCTGGATTTAGAGTTCTCTAAATCACAAGTGCTAGTACAGTTTATTGTACGATTTGTTCTTTATGTCAGCCTGGCTCAGTTGAGAGCAGCCTCGCCTCGCACTCGGAAGTTTGTGGGTTCAAGTCACACGTTGGAACTTTAAGCTCACATAGTCTAGGCGGACGCTGCAATGCAGTGCTGTGCGAGTGTTGCGTTGCCAGAGGGGCCATGCTTCGGATGAGACTTCAACTGATGTCCTGTCTGCCTATTCATATGGACGTTAAAGATCCCATGGCATTACTCAAAAAGAGAAGGAAAATTCTCCTGATGTCCTGGCCAACAATCCCCTAGATAAAAATTGGTTGTTCAATGAATCAACATTTCTGGGATACTTCTGTGCAGAAATGTTTGTCTACAAAGTACGCAGTCACTACGCTTTAGAAGAAATCCTGTGAAGCTCTTTGAGATGACCTCCTGACATGAAAGGTGATATATCAAATGTGAGGATTATTTTTTAATTTCTCTTTGAGATGTGCCCAGTTCAGCAGCTAAGGTTTCTTAAAATCAAGGAATTGCTTTTGTATGTCAATGTGGTCACTAGGGGGCACATCGGATCTGTATCTCACTATTGAGAGCTGTATTTTTAATGTCGGAAAACATCAGTGTCTGGCACACATCACTTAAACACGAGCCAAAAATGTGCATTCCAGGCACGATCCATGATAGGTCACCTTGCTGCAAACCACAGAGTTTTAGACATTTAACAACCGTTGTCACGGTGTACGGAAAAGAATGCCAACTAATGGCAGTCTGATCTAATAAACATCTCTTATGAAGCACAAGTGATCGGATGATTCACCACTGACAGTTGTGAGTGGTTTATGGTACGCCTGAGAGCAGAGTGATTCATCAGACCGTACAGTGAGCCAGCACACGCAGCATTTAAATCCTTACAGCAACTCTGAGTCAAGCTAAGTTTTTTTGTTAATCGTGCATATTCATACATTTCAGCATTGTGAGGGGCCCACTTTTGTTGGAAGTAAACCAGAAGCATGGCTCTATGATTGAGGCACTTTGGGGTCTCAATATCTCTGAACTAAGAAGCTGAAAATCAACCAAGGTTCCAACTCATGACTACCATCCAAAGATCACTAATAATAATCCTATGACAATTTTGCATTTGATGTAATATTTTTCACGTCAGGAGGACACCTCAAAGTGCTTCATAGGACTTTCTTTCGAGTGATTGTTTTTGTAGGCAATAGGACAGCCAACACAGTCGTGTCTTACAAATAGCTGTCAAGGGAATTTCCAATTTTATCTCCTCCAAAGCATTCTTCTACAGAATATAAATCCAGTGAAGAGCTTTGAAAAAGTCTCCGTCACTGGACATCCCAAGAAACTGGACAGCTAAGCGTTTGCTCCTGAGCTGGCTGTTGAAATCAACAGGGTTGGAAGGTAGGGGGAGTGGGGGTAGGAATGTGATCAAAGGTGCAGTTAAAGAGGAAGGTCTTGAGAGGGGATTAAAGAGATTAAAGCAGTTTTTCTGAAATTTAATTTAGTTAAAGCTTTGATAAAATGGACTGTTTCAAACAAGCTATGTAAGGTTTTGTCTGAAATTTATTTTGCTTATCACCCACAAAATATACAGTCAATTCCATGAATATATTCCGTGTGCCTTGAGCTGTCTGGAAGACGTGATAAGGCAGTATATCAAATGCAAGGATTATTATTATCACAATTATAACCCATATTGATGAAAGTGACCAAGAATAAACATATTTCTTAAATGGCAGCATTTTTTACAGTAGACACACAGTCGCTCAGGTTTGCAAATGGAAGCAGATTAAAAAAAAAATCGCTGAATAAAAAAAAACTGTGAAGGGTTGAAATAAAGCTCTTTTAACTAATTCGAACAGTACATTCCTAGAAATGAACAGTACTTCTACTAATATCCCATTTGGGAATAACCCACAATATAATGAACCCACATGTTTTGGACATCATTAACTGTGCAATTCAGAAGTAAGAAATTGGAGATTATTTGATGTTTTAGGGTCAGGAATTCCACAGAGACGTCAACAAGACGTGGATGAAAACCGAGGTGTCTGCCACTCCTACGTTGACAGAGTTCTGATAGAAACTGGCCCAGCTCAAACCGCTTGAGGTTCAACTTGCAAACAAAAACCTCACTTGTTTCATCTCTAGACAGCTCACCTCAGGAGACTCAAAATGGGAATGGCATACCAGATGGTCAAACAGGCCACCCAGAAGAGCAGTAATTAATCTTTAGATGACAGGGAGAATATTTTTATGTGAAAATATGACAGTTGAGGTTGTTTCGTAAACCCAAGCTCAGGTTTTGCAAAGCATAGAAATTTGCAGCACAGAAGAATTTGTGCTGTCTGGCTCTTTGAAAGAGCGATCATGCCATCGTGTCTGTCTGGCTCTTTGATAAAGCAATCCATTCAGTCCCATTTACCTCGGCTGTAACAAACCTCCAATTACATCAATTTACCTTTCGTCTGGCTAAAGCTAATTACTGTTGGCAATGGAGCAGAGATTCAATAAGATGCAATAATACCACTGATAATACTTTTCAATACAATCTGCAGTCATGAAGTTTGATGCATGTCTGGGAACTGAATGAACAGAGATATGCAGGTCTCTAGAAACGACTGCAATTTAATAAATCACTTTCTAATTGAAGATTTTGTTTATTTTTAACCTTTTATGGGAAAAGTAACTACAGGTGGAGCAGGTAACTAGACAGAAAAACAATCCTTAGCCACAGAGACATCTCATTTCAGATTTGCTTTTAACCTATTAACTTATATCAATCTATTTATCTGATTTCTAAATACAGCTGTTCATCGTCACATATTCCCTGGGAAAATATTGGAATGCTCCTGATGGCTCAGTAAATAAATGCCTGGTGTAGCATTGAACAACATAGGCCAAAAACTAAATCCCAAATTGAATCCCTGGTAGGTCCTGAGATAGCCAGGTTAGTGGTAGGGCATAGCAATCTTGTGCTGAAGGCAATTGGGCACTTGAAACCAGGTTTGAATACTATCTCTTCCTCCCCCACACATTCCCATATCACGGTGAAACAGTTTACCAATACTCTCATGAGAAATAGTCACTTGGGTAAGGTCCAAATGAGTTGCAGTCGCCCAAGGAACCATACCCCAGCACAACAACTCAACGCCTTCAGAATTAATACTGCACCTTAGTTAACCCACCAGGAGATGCGCACATATAGTGTTTCCATACAGGGAAGGATGTTTCTCGGGAGTGGAGTGTGGCTTTTGCTTAGCATTGCCCCAACAACAAAGCCTTGCTAATATGCCATAATGATTTTCAATACTTCAACTGGTCTTGTAATCATGCAACACCACCCAATACTGGACCAGATTAAAATTAAAGCACAAGAAGGGAGCTTATGAGACACATACTAAAAGGAAAGCCACTGTTTGTACTTGAGTTTACACAGTAGCTGTAGGCAGCCAGCTGGAACTCGATAGCGTCTTCCTGTCACCACTCTAACCGCAACACACTATCTCCCAGTCCTCAACCGCCGCAGCAACACTGAGCAGTCTTGTTAAGACACAACCTCAAGAACTGAAAAAATAAACCAAGGCAGTTCTCCAGGGTGTGGATAATTTTGCCCTCTACACAGTATGATGTCGAGTGTTAACACCAGGTCTCCGCAGAGAGATCCAAGCATGGTTTTCTAAGTTGAGTCAGATTTTTATTCCAATTTCTGGGCTGGGGTGGAAAGTGTTAAACTCTTCCCAGCCTAGAGTGAGACCAGGATATTACTCAAACTAGTCGGTAGTTATACAAAGTCTTTGTCTAAATAAAACGCATTTCTCTATTCAAAGAAACAGAAAACATTTGAAACATACAAGCACACTTTGCTTTTCCAATGTATATAATAATCCTTGCAGCTGATGTAGCGACTTATCACGTATTCGAGATGCCTCAAAGCGCTTCACAGAATATACTGTATATTTTGTGGGTGAAATGCAGCAGCCAATTATCTCAATATCTCAATTAAGCTACAGAACTACAGCTCAGGTGGCTATTTTGAATCACTGACACAAAAGGAAAACACTGTAAGCCATTGCGCATTCCTTCAACAACTACTCCCGGAACTGCGTTAAAAATGCTGAACGACAAAACAGTTGATTCTGAGAGGAAATGCACCATGATCTTTAAAGTGCAATAAAGGCAAAGGAAATTGGGGTCAGAAACCTTGTGAAGGATGTATGTGCAAAGCATTGGGTTGACAAGTGTCAGAGGTGTCTTTAGCTGGTAAATGTTCACCCTCCTACCGGCAAAATAAGCAGGCAACTTTCACCACTGGAGAAACCTACCTATGGGATGTGCGCTCTGCAAGCACGAGATAGAGAATTTCTGTAACAACTTGCCACTCACCATCCACCGCAGAACCTTTCTTTTCTTCATTCATCTCTTTTGGTACCTTTTGCTTCCCGGCCTGAGGAGTGAACCACAAACCCAAAACGTTCACGACAGATGCAGAATCTCAGCTAAAATAAACATCGTTCTCGGCTGATACAGGGCACCACATCACCAAATAGCAACCCTGCTGCAGCGATGTGTCCGGGTCAACCATTTCATTGTGAAAAAGTACAAACAAGTGTTTCTCCGCTAGGGGAGGTGGGTGCATGATGAAACCCATGCTGGTCTCCTTCATCTTTTAGCAGCAGCCTCTCGTTAGCATTGGGCAGCCGACAAACAGATGGGCCTCCAATCCTTGCTCCCTCCCCTGCCTCCTTCAAGACATGTCTCAAGACCTTCCTCTTCGACCACACCTTCTGCCACCCTCCTACCTCTACCCGCTCTCACTCCTCATCACTCTTAACGTGAAAAGTGCTAATATCAAATGCAAGGATTACTATTATTATATTATTATTATCCCAACCCCCAGCTCGGGTCCAAATCCCCGACTGTCCAGCGCCTTGGGACGTGCTCCCGACACGAACGGTGCTATACAAATGTAATTTGTTGTTGTTGGTTCCAGTGAGAAAAACACTGAAGAGTTTTAAACATACATAAGGATCTTCTCAAATCAAGTATTCTCCTCAAACAACTTTTCACATCAGATTTAGTTACATAACACAGCATTTCTAATCAGTAGCAAGTTTTAAAAAAAGATTGCACTGTCGAGACCGAGGGTATAAACTGAATTAGTGCAATATAAATTGAAATCATCAGAGCGTGAGAACTATTTGTCACTCATTTTGAGTTCGGAGACTGAGAACAGCACAAACATTGCGTGTGAAATAGGATAAATTGCAACTGCAACATCTGTTACACTGTAAAATGAGGATCATATGTGAATCATATTGCCATTAACTTCTTAATAAAATTAGTAAAGAAGATTAGTGACAGACTCTAGCAAATTGCATAATGATATCTTACACAGGATAGGCTTTGGAGTGTAACAAAACAGATGTAATGCAATGTTCCACCGCAGCTTAAACATCTTCCCTTTCCCACTCCCATTGTTTTTCTCACCTCTTCGGAAGGCAGTGATCTGCATTGGGTCACTGCTACTCAAAAGCACAAGTATATTGCTCAAGTGGCTGTGCTCAAGTGGGAGTTTCCCCGAGTGATCACTCAACTATGGAGGGCATCAGAGGCAAGTTTTTCAGCTGGAAATTTACAGCACAGTAAGAGGCCATTCGGCCAACCGAGTCTGCACCTCTCAGAGCAAGTTCTGGAATACTTACTGAAGTTTCTGAATACTTCCGTGCAAAATTTTAAATAATTTCCCACCTCTTTTCTCTCCCTCCCCCACCACCAAGCATAAAGTTGGAGACAAAACCATCTTATGAATTTAGAGAAGAGGGATAACTGCAGTGCAGTACATTTACAATCATAACTGTCTGCTTGTTGAGATCCTGAAGCAGATTAGCCACAAAATAGGTTACAAAGCATTACATCAGAACTCAGCAACTGAGCCAAGTTCAACTCAGGACTGTCTTTCTTCCGGTTATCTGCGCATATCGTCTACACTCAAGTAAAAAATACGGAGCTGGAACTACAGTGATCGATGCAGAGTTTGACAAGGAAACCATTTTTCAATTCTGAAGCAGAATTAAGGAAGTTTAATAGCCAAACAGATATCAATTATGGAAATTATATTACACCCACACAAAATTAGGTCTTATAAATTCCTTCTAATTTAATCAGGAGTTTGGTCTGACCGCTACAGTGCTGAATACTTTTTAATATTTGATGCATAAATGATTTTTGTATCCTGTTTCAGATACAGTATTTAGTTTCATTGACTCAATTTGTTTTAATAAGTAACAATCTATGTTAAGTTCTTGCCATCACCCCTCTGTGATTCCAGCCAGTATTGGAGTGTCACCTTCAGAGAACAAATATCAGTGTTTTCCTTCTCTTCGAAAGAAGCGACACTTTCCTCCATAAAGTTCTCAACTTAACAGCCCTGACATAAGGCGCCAAAACTTGCACTTACAACTGGTACTTTATGAGTGTGAAGCTAGGTAATAGAGCAAATGAAGATACCTTAGGTTTCTTTTCTAGGTCAGCTTCAGTCTTGGGCCCCAGTAAATTCAGAACCTGCAAAATAAAGGTTCAAAAATGATTAAATTGAATCCAAAGCCATTTAAACCATTACCGAACAGCAGTAGTGGGTCAAGAAATTTCTTTTCACATTAGTATCAAAGCAATATCTCACAGCAAAGGTGTAATTTGCCGAGTTATTGTCAGTTACAGATAAAAAGTGCAGGATACCTATAAACAGATGTTAGAAGTGGGTAGATTTGTGAAAGATGCAGTCTAATACAGAAGCATTTGAAGTGGTGGTGAATTCCGGGAGAAAGAACAGGATGTGGAAATATAATAAAAATGATCCTTGCATTCGATGTAACGCCTTATCACGTCTTTGAGACATCACAAAGCGCTTCACAGAATACACTGTAACATGTAGGATTCTCAATGGAGTGAGGAACAGAGGGATCTTGGGGTGCAAACACATAAATTTGTTAAAAGTAGGATTGCAGTAGGATCTGTTAAGGGGCATACCACCAGAGGAGATCGCATGATATTCTACTGAACCAGAACCAACACTCTTACTTCACTTACCTGCAGGTCCATCTCATTCTTGATAATTTTACCATCTGCCCATTTCAATGCAGTCCTCACTTCACCTGGCAACAAAAATAGTTTGCTACGTATTAGAAAATTGACCAACAATCACTATTTTATACCCAAATGGTTTATTTTTTCTCTCAAACATGTTGTCTCCTCTTCGCCCGTGGTACAAAGCTACATTTTATTAAAAAAAACTCACCCATAAGCAGCCCCGTGTTAAATCGGTATCGCTCCGTAACTATCTGGTTCTTATGTTTGTTAATGGTTGCTTCGACCTGGAAAAATAAATAAGACCTTCTTTAAGTCTTACTCTGTGAAACCTTGGCCACTCCCTCTCGGAATCCTTCCCCCTTTCCTTTTCAGCTTTCAAATCCCACCTGAAGACCTAACTCTTTGACTATTTTTTGGGCACCTTCCTTCCCACCCACACAGTCTGGAAACCCAACGTCAAACACATGTCTGAAGATTATTTAAAACCAGGCTGTCACCACCCTTTAAGACAAAAGACATACATCATATTACATTGCAGACCCTCACTTCCTCCTTGAATCTTATATCCGTACTCGTGGCTTTCGTCAGCATCAAAACAGATTCTGTACACATTGTAGAAATTTCCCAATTAACTGAGTTACAGTCTAAGATGCACTGGGAGGTTACAAAAGGGAGAAGGCAAAAGCTTTAAGAAGCACCGTGTAATAGTTTTAATTAGGTAGATTGCATAATTTTTTTTTAACAAAGAAAAGCAAACGTTATTAGTGACACATCTGTGAGGTACAATATATTCTATAAATCTGCTTGCCCACCAGACAGTGTCAGCCCAGAACCACCATGAATGGAATGTTAAGGATAACCCAGAGCTCCCTCCACACATGCTCTGAATTACGAAGAATCTCCCTTGTTTATCAAAAAGTACCAAGGTATTAATCCAAATTTTAAATTTGTTTTTGTGGCTTCAGATATTCTCCACTATTCCTCAGTGGAGGGAACCTGCTCTGAACTGTCTGAAGATGAAGTTCGTAAAACCTCCTGGTCAATCTACCCTCCACCTCCCACTGACAAACTCAATAAGTAGGAAAAGCTCAGTCGCAAACCTTTGTCCTCACATATGCTCAGAGCAAAGGGTAACACCATTGTGCCACACCATCCTGTATAGCTGAGTTAAGCAGCCAAGTTTTGTAACAGTTGATCTATCTTCTGTTGAGTACCCTCTTCTGTCGAATGCCCCTCTTGCACATACACTTACCGCCTCTTCAATCTGTTCCGGCGTCACTACAATTCCAATACCACATTCTTTCTCAAAATTGGTAGCGTCAATTGGATCCACCGGATGGCTTTTAATGTAGTCCAGGGAAGCTGACGGGAGGAAGAGTTGAAACTTTATTTTTCTTCATTTTGTTTTAAAGTTAGCTTTATATTGAGATGATTATTAACTAATAAATAAATGATTTCCTGCTACCAGACCCATCACACTGTCCTAATGATATGGGTTGGCTCTACAGGCAAATCCAGCCATATGATTTGACTTATATAATATCCTGATGCTGAACAACAAAATACTTTTTAACACCCAGTGATCATCCTTACCACTTAGCTGCAGGTCTGTAATCATTTTCTTGTTTGCAACGTAACCAACTAGGAAACCCAGGCGTCTCTGGTCCTTGAGCCGTGTTGCCACATTGTACAGGAGAGTGCCCGTCACCTTGTCAATGTTCGGACCTAAAATTCTTTGTGCCTGTTTCATTTGGGGAGAGAAAGAGAGAGGACCATGAGCTGGGCGAAGAGTCAAGATGCAAGATCCTTCCCACTTTGGCTGTGTTCAGGTAAACAGATGCAGGTATAGAAGCAATGCACCCATACATAACAACAATTTGATATATCACGTCTTCGAGATGTCTCAAAGCACATCACAGAATATACCTTAAAGTGAATTGACTGTATATTTTGTGGGCGAACTGCGGCAGCCAATTGTGTATAGTAGTATCCCTTAACAGTCGTGGATTGAGTGACCAAATTATTATGATTATTTTTAAGGAAAAGCAATCCACCAATCGACTAACAACCAGGTTCCTACTTACTGATGGTAAACAGAGATGTGTGGAGCAAGGAAATTTGTCCAGCATTTCGCAAGTTTCACAAGGAATCAAACCCAGGTCCTCTCGCTTGCGAGGCGAGTGCTCTAACCACTGAGCTACAGGACTCCACATATATGTATGCTCACCCTTTGATCCAACAGCAAAAACTTCCATTGCCAATGTATAATTTTTTCTAATGGATATAAGCTCTTACTAAATAGGTTATGGTTCATATTTTGTAAGTTTTGACCTTCCTCCAGTTTGGCTTCGATCTTGGAAACTGGTGGGATAGGGCTCGATGGGGAATGGCCTACTCCTATATTCCTTAGTTGAAGGTAGAGGAAGAAATAACAAAAAAATGGATGTGACCTGTTTCAAAATTATACAGATAAAAATGTATTGGGCTACAAGTTAAAACTTAGAAGGTATAACTTGGCACTAATAATAATCCTTACATTTGATATAGCACCTTATTACCTCGTCGCGATATCTCAAAGTGCTTCACAGGATATACTGTAAAGTGGTTTGATTGTGTATTTTGTGGGTGATAGCCCTGCAGCGAGTGACCCAATTTTATTTGGGGATTTGTTGGCCGGAACACCGGACGAGAGACACGGCCCTTCTCTTTTCGAATAGCGCCGCGGGAGCTGTAACGTCCACCCGAACGGGCCGACAGAGCCTCGGCTTAACACCTCATCCCGAAGGACGGCGTCTCTCGACCACGCAGCAGCCCCGGCGCCGCGTTGGGAGTGTGACTCCAAGCCCCCGAACCCGGGTGGGGGGGAGGAGGCTTGAACCCACAACCTTTCTGACCGGCCGACCTGAGCTGACGCTGACGAGTGCATCAGTTGCGGGTTTAGCTCAGCGACGGGCGCCCAGTCATGACACGTTTGCCTCCCTTCACAACGCCACTCGCCTGGCAGCGTGTCCGCGAAGGCGCGATGAGGCGCTGTGTCAAACGCAAGGATCATTACTATCAATTATTAGCATTATTATTATTATTATTATTATCATCATCCATTCAACCTCTGGGAAACACGGGCGGCTTCGCGGACTGGAGCAGGGCCGGCGTCGCCACCCGCGGCCCCGACGGTCACCCCGGCCACGTTCAGCGGGAGACGACCGCTGAACCCCAACACCCGGGGAACAACAACAACAACAACAACAACGACGACGACGACGACTGCTTGCTTGAAAACAGCGCCTTGTCACGTGGTTGAGGCGTCTCAAAGCGCTTCACGGGAAATATGCGGCCAAGTGTAGTGACTGTGTGTGTGTGTGTGCGTGTGAGCGGGTGTGGTGGTGGGGTTTGAAGACGGGTTCTCACAAGGCCCAGAACCTTGAGGCTGCACAGCCCAGACCCGGAGGGCCTCGGCCCCCTCGGGGGCTGCAGGTCAGGCCCAGGCCCAGGCCCGGGCCGAGGGCCCACGGGTCCGCCCCCGCGCCAGTACCTGCTCAATGGCCAGTTTGAGAAGGTCGCTCAGCGCCTCGTTCTTCAGCGTCTCCTTGGCCTTCTGGTCGCTCAGGCCGATCCCGCAGAACAGCGACAGGGTCCCCCCCGCCGCCGCCGCCGCCATGTTTTCCCTCACCGCCACACACCCGGCCAGCCAATCCCACGGCGCGTTACAGCCGCCACTCAGGGCCGCAGCCAATCAGGACTCGCAACGCTTCTCATAGCGTTTTCCCCCTCCCCTCCTCCTCCTCTCCCCGCCTCCTCCCGCTTCTGCGCCAATCAGACAGCCGAACGCCCAGCCGTCCAACCAATCAGATCCCAAGGCGTTCCGTGCGAGCCAATCCACCAGCGAGGACCAGCAGCGGGAGCCAATAGCAGCTGCCGGCGAGGGGGGGCGGGGCTTGCGAGGAGCAGCGAGGGACCAATCAGGGCGTCAGGAGTCGCATTGCATCAGCCACCTGGACCTCATTGCTCCCAATAGGACTATGAGCCTCAGTGGTCCTGGTGGTTTCACCCCCACCCCACAGAATATACAGTCACTACACTTTACAGTCTGTTCTGCGAAGCGCTTTGAGACGTCTCGAAGACGTGACAAGGCGCTGAATCGAATGGAAGGATTATTATAATTAATAACAACAACTCGAGTTGGTGTTGTCGTCGTCGTTGTTGTCGTTGCTGTTGTTGTTGTTGCTGTTAACCGCGCGGATCGCATTTGCGTGTCGGCTAAGCTCAGTGGTAGCTCTCTGGCCTCGGAGGCAGGGACCCCACAACGGGACTTGGAATCACATTCGGTCCAAGATGGGGGGTGGGGGGGTGGAGTGGGGGTTCCATTGTCGGGGATGACGTCCTTTGGAGGAGATGTCAAACCGAGGTCCCTTCTGCTCGTTTAGGTGGACGTTAACGATCCCGTGACACGATTGGAAAAGAGAAGGGAGTTTCTCTCTCCCGGTGTCCTGGCCAACAATTCCCCCAAATAAAATTGCTCATGCCCTCCACGACTATTTGTGGGACACTGCTGTGTTCTTCCACAAAATACACATTCAATCCACTTCACAGTATATCCCGTGAAGCGCTTTGAGATTCCTTTCGACTGTATCTGCGGTTCAGGGTCGTTTGATATTGCTTCACATCCTTAGTCCTGTAGCTCGGTGGTTAGAGCACTCGCCTTACAAGCGAGACACCTGGGTTCAATTCCAGGCAGGTCAGGGCGAAACCTTGTGCAAGTTTCCTTACTCCACACACAGCCTAATGATAATCCCTCCAAGAACAAAACAGTAATAAATTGATCATTTTCAATCCATGACTGTTTGTGGCACATTGCTGTGCGCAATTGGCTCTGCGTTTCGCCCACAAATATACGGTCAATTCACTTTACAGTCTATTCTGTGAAGCGCTTTGAGACGTCTAGAGGACTTGAAAAGTGCTATATCAAATGCAAGGATTATTATTATTATTATTAGTTACATTGAATTGCAGCTAATCCGTGACAGACAGATTCCACAAACAGCAATGAGACAAGAGAAAAACAGAAAGAGATCTACGGGAGTCATTGCTCTCTATGCCAAAATAGTGTGAGGCACCAATAAACAAGACAAACAGAATGCTGGGACTGTATTGCCAAGTCAGTTGAGTTCTGATCCTTAGATGTCCTACCTAAGCTATTTTGTGCAGGCTGGTCAGACCACATCTCAAGTGTTGCATGCAGTTTAGATCAGCGGGACATGAGGGGGCTACTCAGGACCCAAAGACAGTGCAGGGGGGAAGCAACGAGGATAATAATAATAATCCTTGCATTTGATATAGCGCTTTTCACATCGGGAGGACGTCCCAAAGCGCTTCACAGAACACACTGTAAAGTGAATTGACTGTATATTTGTGGGCGAACGCGGCAGCCAATTGCGCACAGCAATGTCCCACAAACAGTCGTAGATTGAAAATGACCAATTTATTATTGTTTTGGGTTTTGGAGGGATTATTATTAGGCTCTGTGTGGAGTAAGGAAACTTACCCAAGGTTTCGCCCTCTGCCTGGAATTGAACTCAGGTCTCTCACTTGCAAAGCGAGTGCTCTAACCACTGAGCTACAGGATGACCCCCAATGTTAGAGGAATGAGCTATCATCAATGTTTAGACAAATTAAGGCTCTTGAAAGGAGTATTCTCAGAAGAGGCCTTGTAGTATCCAATATTTTAAATGGGTTTGGAAAAGTAAACCCAGAACAATTCGAACAAGAGGTTATAGGTTTTAGACGATTGCAGGGAATTTATTCAAAGTTGAAAAGTTTGTATCAATGTATTTAAGAGGAAGCTTAATACCTACATGATGGAGAAGGAAATAGGAAGGCATAAGATATGTCGGGGTTCTTGTGGAGTATAAACACGGGCACGGACTAGTTTGCGTGATGGGCCTATTTCTGTACTATATTATTCTTTGTAATTCTATGTAATGCTTTCTATTTTATGCTGAAAAAAGCAGTCACTGAGTCAAAATTATGCAGTGAAATACGACATCTGTTAATTGTACAACCAATTAACTTCTCTCAAGTGGAGTGGAGGTGGGGGGGTTGTTATTACCATTGACTGGTTTTATCTGGTCTTCTCAAAACATTGGGTTTAGTTTTCCCTTCCCAGTTGTTTCATCTTTTCTGACTCTGTATATTCTCTTTTCGTTCTTTTATCCTCTTTCAATTTTTTTCCCCTTTCTCTCCGAAAGATGCTTGACACCAAAATGATGAATGATCTTTTCTAGCTCAAAGAATTGTTGCGTCAACGACTCAGCCCCTGTAATGCCTGGAAGTTAATGTGTCAGCCATCAATAATTGTAAATGACTAACAAAGCATTTGAGGGGTACATTAAGCTCGGCAATCATAGGAGACCGAGCAATGCCAGTGAGGTCGCACAAGTACATCTGCTATGTCAAGGGACTGGGTGTCCATTTTTTAACTTTCAATGTTCTGCTTAGCGAGAGGGCACTGGGGTCTGGTAAGATGAAAGAATGTTTAACTATTTCTTATGAATATTTAAAATGCAATAAAATAAACCGCACGAGGCCACACAATGAGAAGCACCAACGAAGAAGCAAGGGAAGCAAGGAACCCCCTTCAGTTCCTTGGGTGAGGAACTGAAGGGGGTTCTATTGAAGTGTACCTTTGAGCCTTCATGAGGAGAAGAAAAAGGACAAAAATGGTCGAAATCTGTCTCTTGGTTCTGAGCATTTACTGAAGGATATCTCTCGCCGCTGTTCAGAAGTGTTTGGCAAATTATTTCATCTCTGACATTGCAAAAAAGACATTAAAAATGTAGTGGTGGAGCTGGAGGGAGTTGCCACCTAGGCTATGAGTGTTGGAACATTGCTGTGTGCAAATTGCCTGCTGGTATTGTCTTCAAAAGCATCACCCCACATTACAATAAACAACAACAACAACTCACATTTATATAGTGCCCTCCACCCAGGGTAGCATCTCAGAGCGCTTAACAGTGGCGGAGCCTAACTCCGAGCTGGAGGTGTTGGGAGCTGACTGTAAGCACTGTCGAAAAGGAAAGTTTTCAAGAATGTAAAGCGCTTTTTAGCATGTGAAGCGCTTTGAAACGTCCTCCCGACATGAGAGGTACTGTATCAAATGCAAGGAGGATTATCATCATCATTAGTGTTTGGTAACATGATGAAAGGCATTCATTGAACATGTTTAGTCCAACCTGTATTTTAGATCCCAATGTGCTAATTAAGAAACTAGCCACTGATGGGAGGGTGCATGATCCAAATTTTGATCAACAATTTGAAAGCTGGATGCGGTCTACTTCTGTGGAGCTTAATGCTTGATTATTAATATTTAACTTCATACTGCCGCATTGGTGGCACCATTCATAGGTGCTGGTGTTGAGTCAGCCTTTTACCACGATGGTTGGGTTTACAGCTCTGAACTAACAGACACGAGGGGCCGGAAAAAGGGGGTAAAGGGAGAAACTTATAATGCCAATAGTTAAAATTAGACAGACTTTGAACGGAATGTTCAGTGCGCAGGGAATTGTGACTCAAAGCTAGAATAGCTTCACACAAATTCCAATCACACTGTTGCATCCCTGTCATTACTTAATGGTTCTTAGCTTGGAATTTGATTTTTTTTATTTGTTGGGCAAGCCAAGGCTGTTTCCCAGCTTTTGAAGAGGTTACAGACACACGTAACCATTGAGATGCGGAAGATTTCAGGATTTTGGTCCCGTAGGTGTTCCAAACGTGTTGTTCTTTCAGCTGGGTGTGAAGGACAGGCATCGCTGCCAAAAACAGGGGCATCAAGGTTATGGCTGGCTGCTGTACAATACAATATTACTTTGGTATAGCACCTTTCACGTAGGGAGGACATCCCAAGGTGCTGGACAGTCAGGGACTTTGACCCGAGCTGGGTTGGTGGGGTGAGGGTAGTTTGGGGGGTTGTGGGTTAGTGGGTTGGAGGGCAGGGAAGGAAGGAGGGTGGCTGAAGAGGAGCGTCTTGAGATGTGCCTTGAGGGAGGCCAAGGTTCCAGGTTCTCTATAGCATCCAGTGCCTCATCGCAGTGTCATTCTCATTCAAAGCACAGGAGCACTGACACCAGTTGTAGTCCCAACAGGCCAGGGATCAAACACAAGATCACAAGATCGCTTAGGATGATTGTGGTTCAGCCAACCTGATCTCATCCTTCCAGAACACCAAACTTACCATCCCCCAATCGTAGCAATAAGCTGCTTTTTAATTGACTACCTTTATTGACAAAAGCCGAGGATCTTGCTGATCTGTGTTGCTCAGTACCACATTTCAAGGTGAATGGACCCTCTAAAAGTTTCAAGTTCAGAGCTGCTTGTCAACCATTTCTGTCCGTCTTCCTCCTCGACCGTGCTTACGGCCACCTCCCCTCCCCCCTCCCCCAGGCTCGGAGTTAAGCGCCCTGAGACGCTACCCTGCGCGGAGGGCGCTATAGAAGTGCAAGTTGTTGTTGTTGTCGGTCGGCCTGTAGATAGTAGACCCCTGCAATTCTCACTTGTACCACTAGATGTCGTACCAGCCTATGCCAGCACACACGCTCATTTCTTTGAGGTGGGGAGTGCTGAGGTAGACATGTGCTGAGGCTGTCAATTACTCTCTTCCTCCCAAAGATCATATCGCTACCACGCAAATGA